CGTTACAAAATATCATTGAAAAACAAGTGTATTTATAATTCTTGCGCGGAGTGTACATTCCAAAGTCAACATGCAATCTACAAATTTTAAAACAAAATAATGATTACAAAGTATAGTTGTTAAGCATTGACACGGCCTGTGTTTTTGGTTGCTTCAAACTTCAAATTTTAAGAAGATTTTTCTTGAAAGCTATTGATCAGAGAAACTTTTAAAACGTACAAATGACTTCAGTCTTAACATCCATACAACCCATATGTCCATTCAAAATTTGAAAGAAATTAATTTTGCCAGTTTTCGCCTAATTTTTTGTCAAATATAGCAATTGTGTTGATTGTTTATTTTTAATAATAACAGTTGCTAAGCTGCAAAATTGACTTGTTCAATTTGTTTCTCTACATCATCTTTATCACCAAACTCTGTGTAACCAATGTGCTTATTAAGCACTCAAAGTTTATCAAAACACTTGAGAGGCTGAATAAGGAATTTCAGCCATTTTCTGATTTCATTTTTATTAGAGACGTTGATCTACTTTATTAAAATTTATAAAATTATAAATTTGTGATTCATATTATTTTTGTATTGTGTTTAAATAAGTATCAAATTGTAATGGGAAGGATCAGAAAAGATGCTTTGGATCTCGAGTTTTTACCCGCAACAAGTAATGTTAGATTTATTGGACCAGAAAGGATTACAAGTTTTTCAAGCTACTATGACAAAGAACGTAAAGAAGTATATCGCTCTGATAATTCATCGCAGAGGTATCTAGACGCCATCAAGTTGAACATACCAATCAACTGCGATACTGAATCTTATGTATGTGATCTTCCAGGCATATGGGAGTATTTCATGAACTGGATTGGCAAACATGAAGAAATTATTAGAGGTCCAAATCCTCAAAAGGATCCTCAACAGCAGATTGATTTTATATGTACAAATCTGGAATTGAAAAAAATAATGCTTTCATGTTATGAAGAAAGCGACTGGGCTGTATGGACATTCAGAATCGAAAATGAAATTTTTATGCGTTTATACGATGGAAAGACTATCGAAGACAATATACGAAAATTACATGGGGTAGAGTCCAAACCGCAATATAATCCTAGGAAAACCAATAAAATGAATTATGCAAGATTGGATGTCATCAGAAAGATAACTAAACGAGTTGAAGAGCGTGAATTGAACTCTGACACTGATCAGGATATATTAAGTGTTATTGCGACTTCAAAAATTGGCCAACATCGTATATTACATGCTGGTATTACAGAGTTTGTGGCGGATAAAGATGATGTGGATAAGCCAATTGATCAAGTCAACTTTGCAGCACTGAAACTCATACCCTACCTGTTCAGAGGACGTAACACAGGTTTTAATATATCATTATATCGTCATCTGTATTGGTGGGCCTCTGCACTGGTTGCTGGAGTCGAGACACTTATTTGTGGAGATCTTGATGAGGATTTTACTCTCAGTAAATTGGAAGTTTTTCCAGCCAGTATACTTAACACAAAATATCATGCTGCAGCTCAGAAGAAATGTCTCATTACTTTAGACAAAATTTTACATTTCATCAAATCTGAAGTTAAAGAAAAAAACATGGTTTATCACTTTCATTTGAATGCGGAAACTCGAGAAGTCATTGTGTCTCCTCCAAAAAAATTAAACTTAGAAGCTATTACAAATTGGAAGTTACCATATGATATTAAAGACTCAGCAAAATCTTAGCCATGCAATGCTGAATTGTCGAAATTACTCATTACTTTTTAATTTAACTTCAATCAAAGCTCAGCTCTGTTAAATAAATCAAAATTTTGATAAATTAAAATTAACGACAAAAATTAAGTTAATTAACTTCAGTTGTGATTCATATAAACTTTTTGAAATAAAATGAATTTATTTTAACTTAAATTCTTGACAACCTATTGAATTTTTGACCTATCTAATTTTCAATGACCATACAAATGCCCATAGAATAGTAAATAATTTTTTCTAGAAAGCAAGGAAAAATGCTGAAATCGAAAAGTTGGCAGATAATTTCGTTATTTCAGTCTTCAACAAGGGCTAATATACCGATATCAACCAATAAAATCTCTATAATTCTGACGGTTCCCTCATAATGTCAACTGTTAGCCCTGATACTAACTGTATATTGTAGATGGGACTTCGAAAGTGAAAAAGAGCTGACTGGATTTCATTTACCCTAACTGTTGATGTTGATGATGTTCACTTTCGTTAAATGGCAGATTAAAATCAGCAAAGAGTTGCTCTCTTCCGAGATGTCTGATCAGAGTCCTTCAATGTTTAAATCAACAAGTTTTAATTCACCGATATGCCGAAGTATTTTGATTGAATCTATTTACATAGCGACCTGATGTTCGAAAGGGATATTTTATAAAAAGTTGGTTAATATTTTGTGTGGACTTGAAAACGGTTCAGGTTTTGCTTAAGCTTCAAAACTACAAAGTTTGCTTAATCAATTGGCTTGTCAATATCATCTTTACTTACCACAAACTCATAGATTTCTAACAACTATCTAAACTTCTAATATCTACAAATGATTTCTGGTAATAATGCAGTGCAGTCTATTTTAGTGTTTGACAAGTTTGTGAGTCTAATTTTCTCTCTTCAACTTGTTAAGCTATCTTCCTGAATTTGAATCTTGCATAATGAAACTTATTGGCTTCTCAGGATCGTAATGGGATTTTATCGCTAGCCTTTTCGTCAATAGCTTAACTCATGATGATACCGAATATGATATCCAATTTCAGCAAAAATATTAAAAAAGTTAACATTTAAAAACCAATTTATTTGTAATTCTTGCACGAAGTGTATACCTGTCAGTGTGCTAATGAAAATACTCCACACAAACAAATGTCCAACTGCTTTGAACAAAATTTTAGATTTAATCAAATCTGAAGTTCAAGAAAAAAACGATGTATAACTTTCATTCGGATGCGGAAACTAAAGAAGTCATCAAAGATTTATTCATTATGGTACTTTATTCTTGGGAAGTCATTATACTTCGTTCAGAAAGGTATCATCCTTCGATATCATTATCGTTTCCTAACAATTCTGTAAAAACTATTTTCTGATTAAACACTTCAGCTTCGCATATTTTGAAGTAGAGACATCTAACGCTAGTAAAAAAGAATGAGCTGGTTTCTTGCTGCGATGATTGTAAATTACAGTCTCTGAAGATTGGGTTAGTTTTATGATTCAATTTATACACACTAAAGGGTAAGCTAATTTAATTGTTATCACTGTAATTTTCAGTTACCTCTAATAAAAATTAGCAAATTCTGTTTTTTGAGCGTTGAATGTCTCTTCTCCTACAATGCGCAATATACGAGATTTTAATGTTTATTAGAGGCGTTAATTTACTCTCATAACATTAGATAAACCACAAAATTTCATCAAGAATGAATCACGAATCTTGATAAGCTGAATGAGGAAGTTCAGCCATTTTCTGAAGCTACTTAGAGACGCTAACTCACTCTTTGAACATTTGTAAAATTTTCAATTTGTGATTCATATTATTTCTGTATTGCGTTACATAAGTGTCAAAGTGTGAAATGGGAAGGATCAGAAAAGATGCTTTGGATCTTGAGTTTTTACCCGAAACATGTAAGGTGCAATTCATTGGACCACAAAGGATTTCATGTTATTCAACCTACTTTGATGAAAAACATGAAGTAGTATATTGTCCTGATAATTCATCGCTCAAATATTTAGTCTCGACTGAATTGGACGAGCCACTTAAATGTGCTGAAGGATGCAATCCTGAATCTGATGAATGTGCACTTTCATGTCGATGGTCTGATTTCATGCATTGGATTGACAAACATGAAGAAAATATTAAAGGTCTAACTTCCCAGGACGATCCAAAACAGCAGTTTGATTTCATATGTACTAACATGGAACTGAAGTATATAATGCTTTCATGCTTTGAAGCAAGTGATTGGGTTATTCATGCATTCAGAACCAGAAAGGAAATCTTCTTGTATTTGGCTGAGAGAAACATTACTAAAGACAAAGTAGAGTCTAAACCCCAATATAACCCTATGAAAACCAATAAAATGAGTTATGCAAGATTGAATGTTATCAGAAAGATAACTGAAGCAGTTGAGGAACGTGCAACAAACTCTAACACTGTGACGGATATACTTAGCACCGTTTCATTATCGACAATTGGTCAACATCGTATATTACACAATGGTTTTACGGAGTTTGTGATGAGCAAAGAAGATGTAGATAAACCGATTGACCAAGCCAACTTTTCAGCTTTGAAACTTATGCATAATCTGTACGAAGGACAAAACGGAGGTTTTAATATTTCATTTTATCGTCATCTGTATTGGTGGGCCTCTGCTTTGGTTAGTGGCGTTGAAAGACTCATCTGTGGAGATCTTGATGAGGATTTCACTCTTCGTAAATTGGATGTACTTCCAGCCAGTCTGCTGAACACAAAATATCACGCTGCAGCTCAGAAAAAATGTCTCATTACTTTAGACAAAATTTTACATTTCATCAAATCTGAGGTTAAAGAAATAAACATGATTTATGTATTTCGTTTGAATGCGGAAACTAAAGAAGTCATAGTGTCTCCTTCAGAAAAATCCATAGAAGATTACCTTCCACCATGGTATGTATCAGGTGATACTCCAGACCAAGCAAAATCTTAGCCATGACAACTTTAAATTGAAAATCAATATATCAAAATGCACTCACAACTGTACAATTAAAACTCAATCGTTGCTCTGCTCTGTAAAATGAGTTAAAGTATCAAATGAAATAAAATAATTTTTCACTTAAATTCATGGCAACCTATTGAATTTCTGATTTTACATCTAGCTGCATGACCCCAGTCGAGTGATACACTGACGCCATTGAAGCGATTCGCCGAGCACGATGACTGATGAACCGGAGCGAAAAAATATTAAAAAATGAAATATTTAATGGGGTCAGATTAAGAATAAAATTTGAAAATCAAATATGATCGACGATTCAAAATATAATATACTCCATAATATAATGTATTCCAAAGTCAAGATGGTATGAAATAAGTTACAAGCAATCTTAAATTTTAAAATAAAATAATGAATACAAGGTGGTTGTTAAGCATTGACACGACTTGTGTTTTTGGTTGCTTCAAACTTCAAATTTTTAAGAGATTTTCTTGAAAACTATTGATCAGAGAAACTTTTAAAACGTACAAATGACTTCAGTCTTAACATCCATACAACCCATATGTCCATTCAAAATTTTTGAGCATGTTAAGAGAAACAGGAATCTTTGACGAAGCTAAATCTTCAAAGAGACTAACTGAAAGAGACGCGGTAACCTCTCTACTAGCTTTTTTAGCATTGAAATGGACATCGTAAAACTTGTTGCTTTTTTTAACTTTAGATTTTATGAAATCTAAAATTTTGTCCAATGCAATGAAACATTTTTTCTGACTGGCTAAATAATTTTCGTTGAGTATACTGGCTGGAAGAACATCCAATTCGCGAAGATTATAATCCTCATTAAGATCTCCACAGATAAGTGTTTCGACGCCACAAAGCAGAGCAGATGCCCACCAATACATAAGACGGTAATCCTTGATATTAAAATCTTTGTTATCTCCTTTGTACAGGTTTGGCACGAGTTTCAGAGCTGCAAAGCTGGCTTGATCAATTGGCTTCTCTACATCATCTTTGCTTAAAACAAACTCAGAATTACCTAAGTGCAGTACATGATGTTGACCAATCTTTGAAATAGATACAGTGCTGAGAACGTCCAATTCCGTGTTTGAGTCTGATTCCCTCTCTGCAACTTGTTTAGTTATCTTCTTGATTACTTTGAACCTTGAATAGGCAAGTTTATTCTGACGAGTATTATTGTCGGACTGCTGTTTCCTCTTTTTTGATAGATCTATATCGGTAACAAACATGAAGATGGTCCTTTTAATTTTAATAGCATTGATAATCCAATCAACTTCAGTGAAGGGCGAAAGCATTATATGTTTCATAACGGCGTTTGAACAGATGAAATCTATCGATGATTTTGATTTGTCCAATCTTGAGCGATGAATGATTTCCTCATTTGAACTAATCCAGCGAAAGAAATCTGGCCATGTAATTGGAAGTAAACATTTATCAGTATCAGGATTGAATCCTTCGAGACAATACAGCGGCTCGTTCAATTCAGTCGAGACTAAATATCTTTGTGATGAGTTATCAGTTCGATAAACCAGTTCATTTCCTTTGCCATAGCAAGTTGAAAAACACCCGATCCTCTTTGGTCCAGTAAATTCAACTTCCTTCGTTTCTATTAATAGTAAAAGCTCCAGATCCAAAGCATCTCTTCTGATTCTTCCCATATTCCAAATCGGAAATTGTTGACAAACGGTAAAATATCAATTGGAATTGAAAATATAAAACTGTTAAATACTAAAATTACAAACACACAAACTTTTAAAGCAAATGCATGAAAAATAAAAGAAAACTAAAGATAAATTACTTAAACTTATAGAATCTTTGAATTTACCAGTTTAGTAACTGAAGCAAAGTTATTGCAGATGTGATTGTAAGCGCCAATTACGAATAGTTATTCGTCAATATGAGTTAATCAAATGGTAACTCAATTCTCAGATATATCAGTTCAATAAGCTCAAAATGTGCATCCGAATATTTACGATTTCCGATAGTTTAAAATTTACAACATTTCTGACAATTCTCCTTCGAAGTGCGAAGTTACCAGGGAAATGGCTTATTCATAGATCCGATCTTTACAAGTTAAAAATTAACGAAGAAAAATTGCGTTAGTCAATTTCAGTTGTGATTCATTTAAACCGAGATATCTGCTCAGAATGGCAATTTTCAATGCTGAAATCAACAGGTTTTAATACACCAGGTTGTCGAAGTATTCCTATTTTGATTACATTTGTAAATATATTTATACTGCGACTTGATATTTGAAAGGGATGTTTTATGAAAAGTTGGTTAATATTTTGTGTGGAATCGAAACCGAAAAGGGTTCAGTATTTTCTGTATTTATGTATTTCAACCTCATAACTCTTTATACGTATTTTTCTTTATCAAACGATTTCCATTTATTACAATTATACAATTGTACAATATCAAAAAAGCAAAAAAGAATTTTCCAAAGTTGACTTGTTATGAAAACTAATTTATCCTCAGATTATACAGATTAAAAAGTGAAAAGGATGAAATTTTTATAATTTAAACTTTAAATTTGAAAGTTGTCATGGCTAAGATTTTTCCTGTTCTGGAATATCCTCTGATGCATTCCATGGCGGAACGAAAGCTTCTATGGGTTTCTCAGAAGGAGACACAACGACTTCTTTAGTTTCCGCATCCAAATGAAAGTCATACACCTTGTTTTTTTCTTGAACTGCAGATTTGATGAATAGTAAAATTTTGTCTAAAGTAATGAGACATTTTTTCTGAGCTTCAGCGTGATATTCTGTGTCGAGATTGCTGGGTGGTATCACTTTGAACTTTTTAACTGAATAAAATTCATCAAGATCTCCGCAAATAAGTGTTTCAACCCCACTAACCAAAGCAGATGCCCACCAAAACATGCGCCGATAAAATGGGATATTAAAACCTCCGTTACGTCCTTTGAACAGATTATGCATAAGTTTCAAAGCTGCGTAGCTAGCTTGATTATTCGGCTTGTCTACATCGCCTTTGCTCATCACAAACTCTGTTAAACCGGTGTGCAGTATACGATGTTGACCAACTTTTGAGAATAATATTATACTGAAGAAATCTGTTTCAGAGCTTGAGTTGAATTCCCGTTCTTTAACTGGTTTAGTTATCTTTCTGATAACATTCAATCTTGAATATGACAGCATTTTGGTTTTCTTCGGATCATATGGAGATTTTAAACCTTTCTTCGCTCTATTATCTCTGGTAAAATACAAAAAGATTTCACTTCTGATTCTGAATGCATGAATAATCCAATCATAATCTTGATATAATGAAAGCATTATATGCTTTAACATTGCATTTGTGCATATGAAATCAATCTGCTGTTGTGAATCGTTTTGAGGAGTCAGACTTTGAATAATTTCGTCATTGTCACCAATCCATCGCATGAAATTTCGCCATTGCCATTTCGGGTCTGGAGGTAACCATTTATTAGATTCAGGGTTGAATCCTTCGAGACAATTAATCCGTTCTTTTAATGCCGTAGAGACTAAATATCTTTGTGATGAATTATCAGGGCAATATACTTCTTTATTTTCTTTGTCAAAGTAGGTTGAAAAATAAGCAATCTTTTTTGGTCCATTGAATTTAACTGCACTTGTTTCTGGCAGTAACTTGAGATCCAAACACTCTTTTCGCACCGTTTCCATTTTTATATTTTGACACTTGTTTACTCACGATAAAATATAATATAAAGCACAAAATATATCACATTAACATGTTTAATTAAATAAATGAAAAAACAGTTGAAGTTTTGTCGAAAAATTCAAATCCGTTATTATGATGTAACTTTTGCTATCTTTTGTACCAGAGAGGGAAGTGAAAGAGAGAGAGAGAGAGAGAGAGAGAGAGGCAACTTTTTTTCGATTGTATCGATATTAGTCGATTTAAACAAAAGGCGCACTTGCTTTATTACTGATTGAATAAAAAAACATTTGGTATCACAATTTTGAATTATAATATAATAAGTTAAACATTTTAGCTATTCCTTTCTCGTTTAGACATTTGTTAGTTAAAGCAGAATCAATCAAATGCGAAAATGTTTCTGATGAACTTAATTTTCTTGGATTTCTTTTGAATATGGTTAGTCAATTACATTTTTTGCATATATTTCATTAGGAATGACTAATATTACTTGATTATTTTTTAGATATTAGTCAACAGATGTGAATAATGAAAACGTCTTGTCGATGGCTATTGACAACATTAGTTTACTCATATTAAACATACAATGGAATTACCCCATTATAAAGAAAGGTTGTCTTAAGTAGCGTTCAAAAGGTGAAAATGCAAGTTAAACTCTTACTCACAGAAGGTTGCTACTAAAATTCCAAAAATCAATCATCAAAAAGGACTATTTTAGATATTATTTTGCTATATATCTCAATAATTTTACTTTTATTGAATTTACATACTTTTTGACACTGACTTGATGCTTGAAAGTGCTATTGTAAGAAAAGCATTTTGAATGACTTTTTTCTTCAGTTTAAATTTTATTGATAGCAATAATTTTTCTTAGCAATATATGATAATAATAACAATAACAATAACAGAAATAACTATTAATATTAGTTCCTCTAGTTAGTGGAATTTCTTTAATAGTAACGAAAAAATATACATTAGAATCTTTTGTATCTTCACCAGATTCTACGTCCTTGGAGCTTCACCTTAATGCTCTAGAATCAATTTTTCTTCTCCGAATCCTATCAGCAGTTTCACCAATAACATCATCTTCATTCATATCCACAGGAGAAGTCAGGTTACCAGCTTTACTCTTTGTTGCTGCCATTGCACCTTCGAAGAAACCTTTAGAAACAGTTAGAAGAGGCCAATTGTCTTCACAATGCTCTATTGGGATAGGAGGTTGTAAAAACTCAGCATTTGGATCTGGATCAGGTAACTGTTGACTATTTTTGATAGTACGTTTTATATCTTCTGCTTCATCGTACAGACCATGAGTGGCTGCACAAAGGTAAGCAAGAGAGGTTTGACCACAGTTCTTAATCATCTTAACTCTTTCTGATGCATCTCCTAAGAAAAGAGCAATTTGGAATTGAGCTGACGTGTCCTTTCGAATCTCAGCGATCTTCATCATTTTTCTAAGCTTTTCCAGATTTCCAGTAATTAAATAAAGGAAAGCAAGTTTATCGAAATTTTTGATCCTTTGATAAGCCATTTCTACAACTTGATGATTACCCTGAAGAAGAGCGGCTTCAGCTAATTTTTCCCAACATGTTTTATCATCTAGTTTACGAGCAGCTTCAGTTGCAATTTCAATATTGCCACACTCCAAAGCCAAAGCAAATCGAGTTTTTTCATCTTTCACAAAATGTAAGGCGACTTCTGAATAACCTTTCTTTTGAATATATGCAATTATGGACCATTTGCATATTATACTCGATGGAACCATTTCTAATCTTTCATCACCATAACCAGTAACAAGAGCCTTCTTTAATAGGAATTCAGTACAATCAATAGACAACTCTTTGAAAACACAATCACGATTTAAATAATAAATAGAGTTGTCTTTTATTTTTGTTAGATATATTGGAAAGTCAAGGGTTCTAATAATACCATGATCTCCATTAATGAGAGCATATTTTATATGATTGGCAGTGGTGTAAATGAAAACACCAGAATCATCCCAAACTCCACTCTTGACAACTGTAGTTTCGGTTATGGAGCTCAAAATATTCAATTTGCTAGTACAGATGCTAACTTTATTTCGATATAAGAAAGCAGCATTCGACATATCAGCATTCTAAATAACATGCTTAACGTTAGAAATCATAGCAGTATGAATCACTCGGCTTTGTTGAACATCACAAAGCCATGTTTGTGTAGCAGTTTCGGCCAGAAGTAAGCCAGTCATGCCAACAGCCAAAATGTTTTTCATTGGAATTTTGGAGGGTAATTTTACAATTATTTCATTGCTCAAATTTATGATGTTAATGATATTTTTGCTCACATCTAGTACAGCAAATGCATCCAGTGCAACCCAAATTGCTGGTGCACCTTGGAATCGTTTGGACTCACCCAAGACAGGAAATGGGTTATCAGGATCAAAATCTTTAGGCAAAAAGTAAAGATCATAACCGTGCTTTGGTAACTGCCATGAAACCAACATAGCATTTTCGGTGGGGTTGTACGAAAGCAAGGATAATCGGCCTAGATTAGGTGGGTGTAACTTCAATATAGGAATATCATTGAAAGTCGAAAAGTCAAGGCGATGAAGATAATAATCTTTGATGTAGTACAGTAAATTGTCATGGAATGTAAAAACAGGGGCATTTATATCACGTTCATGATAATTTAAAAATAGTGAACGATTCGCCTTAAATCCTTTAATTATGCGATCAATCTCCGGTTGTGAATAGTTTTGAGGAGTTAAATCTCGAGTAACTTTGCCATTTTCAACTAACGACCGCATGAAATGTCGCCCTCCTTTTGAATGTAAACATTTATTAGATTCAGGATTGAATCCTTCGATGCAATCAATAGGCTCTTTCAATTCAGTCAAGATTTGATATCTTATTCCTGAACTATCAGGGAAATAAAGCACTTTAAATTCTTCGTCAAAATATAAAAGTTGTTGTGTTGGAAAGAATCTAGCAATAATTATTTGAGGCAGCAACTTGATATCCAAAGCAAGCTTCCTGATGCTTGCCAAATCCATCACTTGTGCACACATGATAAAAAAATAATAAGAACCACAAAATATATTACAATAACACTTCAAATGTAATAAACAGCAAAAAAATTTCAAATTTGGGCGAAAAATTCAAATCCGTTATTATGATGTAACTTTTGCGCCAGAGAGTAAAGTGAAAGAGAGAGAGAGAGGCTACTTTTTTTCGATTGTATCGATATTAGTCGATTGAAACAGGAAATTCATAAGTGACCCATAGTTTATAGTCCATAAGATTATTAAGAAAGGCTGTCTTACGTAACATTCAAAAGGCGAAAGTTTAACTCATATTACAAAATGACTTTGTTTAAAGGCTTTTTTACTGAAATTAGCAATAGATCATCTTTCTTGATTTTTTAGTACTTTTGCAGTTTTTTGAGCTAATTTTTCTTTAAATTATGAGTTAGATTACGAGTAGATACCGTAGCCAGTGAAAATTAGCCGACTAGCGAGCCACTCAACTACTTTAGCGAGTCTAGTCGTGGGTTGAACAGCTAAAATGGCTAATAGCCAAGTGCTGGCTAAAGGCTTAAGCGACTTAAAAAGTTCAAATCTACCTTTTATTTGAAAAAAGAAGCTTCAGACAGTCATTAATGGCAAAATTTTGCAAAATGAAGAATAAAAAAGGCTCCAATAATAATTCAAATTAATTCACTTTGTTTTAAGAACGTTTAAGTTATGGAAACATTAGATCGAGCCACAATAGTTGATCAGATGTTTCACATATTTTCCCCCCTAAAGCCCCCAAAAATTTCGATTTTGTGCTAAAATTAGCTGCGCTTAGCCGATAGTTAGCCAATAAACTTGTCATACTAACATAATGACTTTGTTTAATGGCTTTTTTACTGAAATTAGCTATAGACCATCTTTCTTGATTTTTTAGTACTTTTGCAGTTTTTTGAGCTAATATTTCTTTAAATTATGAGTTAGATCACGATTTATATTCCCAGCTTGAAACTTGTTCAATAAATGTTTGACAATAATCAATGACCGAAAAAAGGCTTATTTAGACATTATTTTGTGATTTACCGAAGTATTTTTATTTTTATTAAATTTAAATACACAGCGAATTGATGTTTGAAAGGGGATGTTTTATAAAAAGCTGGATAATATTTGTGTGGACTTTATTTTTTCTTCAGTTTTACTTTTATTGATAGCAATAATTTTTATTAGTAATATATGATAATAATAATAATAGCAAGCATTAATAATAACCTAATAACTACTATTGGTTCCTCCTTGATTTAATCTTAATCCAGTAGATTGTTTATCAATTTGTGAAATATTACAAATTTTGCATAACTTGCCTTTAAACTCTGGTTTGTAAGCGGCATTACAGAAAGGACACTTAACATCTGGTCTACCTCGGTAAATTGGTTTATATGAGTAACCACAGATAACGAATGGATTGTGTTCATCATATTCTAATCGATGTTCATCAACTGGATTCTTTTCTGCTAATTGTAATAACTTTTTGTTTTGCTGAGCGACTTCAGGCTTAGGTCCTAATTCAAGTAATCTCCTAGCGAAGGAGGCAGCAGTTTTATAATTTTTAAGCTTAAAGAAAAGATTGGCTGCTGTTCGAAGAGTTAAAATGGTGTGAACAGGTTGAAGTTTACAATGTGTAAAGTATGCAGCCATTTCACATGATCGTTTTTGTTCTTCTAACGAGGCTGAAGGCCATCCATCTTTGAATAAAGCTTTACGTTCTGTCTCAAGTTGAAGACCTAAAACATATTCTTTACAAATGTCTAAAAGTTGTTTTGCTTCACTAGCCTCTTCATCTGAATCAACGATCAAGAATAAAATTTGTAATAACAATGAACGGAATTTGTCTATGGCTTCCACAAATTTACCAGCATGGGTCAAAGAATAGGCTGCTTGAAGACGTTGGAAAAGATCTGGAAGTTTAATGGAAATAGAAGGTAAACCTCCTTTAGGGCCTGCATCCTTCCAATTACGTTGTGGATAACTGTACAGCGAAGGTAAATAAACTAAGCCCGAATGAGCTGTTCTTGATCGAGTGTAAAATGAAAGAACTAATTGTTTGAGTGGCTCAAAGTTAACAGCTCCTACTTGGTCGTTAAGAAGTCTGAAAGCTGATTCAAATGAACCTGCAGCAATATGGTCCACAGCAAATCTAGAATTGTTTACCCAATGTTGTGTTGGTGGAGTTCCTTTAGTAGGAGCAACAAAATATGCATTAGCATCTTTTGTTTCTTCACCGGGTTCTACATCTGGTAATTCTAGACCTTCATCTTCAACATCCCAACCAGCATCTTCATCATCTAGATTCAATTTTTCTTCCCCAGGTTGATTATCAGCGTTTTCATCAAGAATCAAATCATCGTCATCGCCCCAGCCTTCACCAATAACATCATCTTCATTCATATCCACAGGAGAAGTCAAATTACCAGCTTTACCCTTTGTTGCTGCCATTGCACCTTCGAAGAAACCTTTAGAAACAGTTAGAAGAGGCCAATTATCTTCACAATGCTCTATTGGGATAGGAGGTTGTAAAAACTCAGCATTTGGATCTGGATCAGGTAACTGTTGACTATTTTTGATAGTACGTTTTATATCTTCTGCTTCATCGTACAGACCATGAGTGGCTGCACAAAGGTAAGCGAGAGAAGTTTGACCACAGTTCTTAATCATTTTAACTCTTTCTGATGCATCACCCAAGAAAAGAGCGATTTGGAATTGAGCTGACGTGTCCTTTCGAATCTCAGCGATCTTCATCATTTTTCTAAGCTTTTCCAGATTTCCAGTAATTAAATAAAGGAAAGCAAGTTTATCGAAATTTTTGATCCTTTGATAAGCCATTTCTACAACTTGATGATTACCCTGAAGAAGAGCGGCTTCAGCTAATTTTTCCCAACATGTTTTATCATCTAGTTTACGAGCAGCTTCAGTTGCAATTTCAATATTGCCACACTCCAAAGCCAAAGCAAATCGAGTTTTCTCATCTTTTACAAAATGTAAGGCGACTTCTGGATATCCTTTCTTTTGGAGATATGCAATAATTGACTGTCCAATTAGTTTACTTGTTCGAACCATATGTAGTACTTCATCATAATGACGATTAACAAGAGCCAGCTTGAATCGGAATTCAGTAGAATCAATAGACAACTTTTTGGAAACACAATCACGATTTAAGCAATAAACAGAGTTGTCCTTTATCTTGGTCAGATAGATTGGCAAGTCAAGGGTTCGAATAATACCATGATCTCCATTAATGAGAGCGTATTTTATGTGATTGGCAGTGGTGTAAATGAAAACACCAGAATCATCCCAAACTCCACTCTTAACAGGAGTAGTTTCGGTTATTGAGCTTAGAATATCCAACTTACGTGTACAAATGCTAACTTGATTTCGATTTAAGAAAGCAACATTCGACATATCAGCATTCCAAATAACATGCTTAACGTTAGAAATCCTAGCAGTATGAATTGATCGGGATTGTTGAACATCCCAAAGAGCTATTTCAGCAGCAGTTTTGACCAGAAGCAAACCAGTACCAGCATAGAAAATGTTTTCAACTGAAAGTGCGGTGGATAATTTTTTAACTAATTCATTTTTCATGTTTTTGATAATGATAGTTTTGCTCACATCTAGAGCAGCAAATCTATTACGTGCAACCCAAATTGCTGGTGCACCTTGGAATCGTTTGGATTCTCCCAAAGCAGGAGATGGGTTATTAGTATCAATATCTTTAGGTAAAAAGTAAAGATCATAGAATGCATATTCGTGCTGTGGTAACTGGCATGATACCAACATAGCATTTTCGGCTGGGTTATACGAAAGCATGGATAATCGACCTCGAGTAGATGGGCGTAGCTTCATGATAGGAATATCTTTGAAAGTTGAAAAGTCAAGGCGACGAAGATAATAATCTTTGATATAGTACAGTAAATTGCCATGGAGTGTAAAAGCTGGTCTCTCTTTACTGGTTTTGAATAAAAACATACCACTATCATGACCGGCAGCCAGAAGATTCTGTGTTGGATGAACTGCTAGAATCCAGAAACGATCATTGTCTCTACGATAGGTATGTAATAGAGTTCGTTTGTTAGCATCCCATATTCTTAGACTTTTATCCTCAGAATTAGAAATAATGAGCTCAGACTTTGGGTGGAATACAACACAAGAAACATTATTGTAATGAGATCGACAAGTGTCAACTTCCCAGGCTTTGGAATCGTTATAACGCCAAATACGTATGACTCTGTCATCTGCACCGGAAACTATTTGAGGTGATGTTGGATGGAAACAAGCCCAATTAACTCCTCTCTCATGTCCTTCTAATACATGCTTGACAACTGCATCTGACTGACCGAAAAGATCTGTATGACCAGGACCTTTCATGGAATCATCTAATCCCCCAGGACCTGGGGCAACATTTTTCTTTCGTAGACCAGAAATGTCCCAAACTCGCACAGTCTGGTCAAGAGAAGAAGAGACAACAAGATCCTCACTTGGATGAAATTGTGCACACATGACATAATGGTTGTGTCCAGTTAGAACTGAGATACATGTACGTGATTGCCAATTCCAAATACGAATAGTTTGGTCATCAGAGGCACTAAGAATCCATGGATACTCATGATGGAAGAATGTTGTTCTAATGATTCAGAAAGAAGATATAAGAATATTGAATTATAATATTTACACGATAAGGCTATGAATTGTAACCAGCAAACTCACCTGATATAATCCAAATGTCCAAGAAGAGTAAACAAGCAACGTCTGGTCTTGTAGTTCCATACCTTAATTTTGTAATCATCACCTCCAGAGACAAATAAAGGCTGTTGACTGTGGAAGCAGATACCTCTAACAGGTCCTTCATGTTCATCAAATTTGTCAATCAAGGTACTAACCCGATAATCCCAAAGTTGAATAACACCATTGTGAAGAGCCGCCAAGATCCATGGTCTTTTGTGGTGAAATGATAGGCCTTTGACTCTAGCTGATTGAGTCTCAAATTTGATTAAAAACGGCATCGGCCTCTCCTTTTGAGAAATCTGGTCAACAGATTGTTTCAAGATGAAAAGCATAAATAAAAATTATTAAGACAGTTGGTATGAGAAGATAGATAGAGAAATAGACAGAAAGATGAAAATCTCTATCTAAATCTGATGAATAATAAGCGATCAGCACTTAAATTAGTAGTTGGATAGAAAGTTGTTATTAACTTCAAATGTATTTAATTACCGTTATCACAAATAGTTAATCTTTAATTGTAAAATTGATAATGATGACCGGATTGACAAAAACATATGAATGTAAAATTCAACATTTAACTTGGTTGCGTGGAGTTGGCAGGTTATTGCTCTACAGCGCATTCCCGTTGATGAGAAGGTATCTCAATGTAAAGCGGTTTGTTTGATTATACATGTGTCAATGAAAAAGCCTCTCACCTATTCACCGGCAAATCCAGAAAAATTCTGAATGGACTCAAGATCTATTCAAATATTAATAACAGGTGAATTAAATCGATTTGAATTAATGTTCTGAAAATTTGTTTATTGTCGCTATTATCATATAATCACTATGTTGTATACATCCGAAGTATACAAAGTATAATCCGAATCAACGCCAGTCAACTCAGCATTTCGGAACTTTCTAGAATTCTTGATTGAATTTACATTGGCAAAGGCACTTTGAGAAATATGTAAGATATAAATAGACAAAAATGCCTTAAATACTCAAATCAATAATATTTAAGTAAATTTAGTATGAATGTACACAGTATAAACATTTTTAAATAAGTTGGTGCAAACTCATGTTCAAAGCCAACGAATCAAATAGGCTCTATTTGTACCTGTGATTAAAATTAAAAGACAAATAATCAGTTTTCATGTTTCTAATTGATCAGTGACAATATTTACCTATTTTTATAAATGTTAGATTGTTCGGGAAAACATCATTATCGCAGATTAAATGATCAGTGTCTAAAATCTTTCTACCATTGACTAAAACTCCACCTTTGTTGATCATCACAGTGGCTAGATCTAGAATATTGAAGCAGAAGTTTAATTTTAATTTCAAGTAGATTAAGATCAGTCTATTTGTAATTACCTTCATTTTCAAAACAATTTGTTTTCATGATGATATTCAACAAACTTGTACCATTTGGTACAAGTTCATGATATATAAATGACTTAGATCCGAAAACTTCTATTAAATCATCTTCAGTCAGTTTACCAAGAGCTTCAGTTTCTCCCTTCAAAAGAGCTTTGCTGGCGTTTTTCGCTTGGTTCAAACCAGATTCTGAAAAAAAAGAAAGAATTCGATTCAGGTAAAATGAAAAAGGTAAAAGAAGCATAGAGTTAAATCATTAGAATTGTAAGATTACCTCCGTGAATTAAAAGTACTAAACTATCAGCTAATTTTTCGTGTGCATGGAGAGTTTGCTTCTTCAAATCTTTTTGTATGATACTTTCAATTTCTTGGTTATTATAAAATGTGAAATATCGAAGGAATCTTTCGATTTGATTATGTGGTAATTTCAAGATAGCCTGGAAAAAATAAAGATACAAAATTAATAATTTTCTATGCAATTCGTAAATACGCACTTTGTAAAGAGAGTAAGGAGAATTGGTGAATCTTTCAAGGAATAAAGATTTTCCTTCAGTCTTGCCCATTTTTTTACCCTCCTTGTCCAACAGAAGAGGAACAAAAAATCCATAAACCTCCTGGTTACGAAGATTTCGGATTAGTGAAAAACCAGCTTCAATATTAGGAGTTTGATCATTTCCTCCAACCTGAAAAGAAAAACATATTAATTTTCAAGATAAAGAATTACTGGATCAAAGTGCAAAGGGAATTGGGCAAAAGGTAATCACCTGAAAACAACAATTGTGTCGGTCAAATAATTTTAACCAATCATAAGCTTGCATAACAGCATAAGACAGTTGAGCGTAGCTATAATTTTCGGAGTGCTCTTCAACGCGACTTTTGCGAAATAGATTCCTAACATTAATGGCTGGACCACATTCTGCTATGATATCTGAAAACTTATCATCTGAATACCAATTTGAATTGTTGAGGATTCTGAAATAAAAGCAAATAAATAATCAATTAAATTGTTGCTAATGGTCAATAATCAAAGATTAAACTAATTTAACTTACATTGGTTCGTGAATTGGTTCAGAAAATTTAGGTTTCCAAAAATATTTCAAGTGATTTACAAAAATACTGACTAATGTTGATGATATTCGCGAAGCATTTGCTTCAATTGTTTCTCTATCTAGAGATTCACGAGGTTTTAATCTTCCAGTTGGATCACCAATTCGAGCAGTTTCACCTCCAATCAGGCAAATTATTCTATGTCCATTCCTCAAAGCATGAAGTAGTGGCATAATCACTAAAAGATGACCAATATGAAGACTGGGACCAGTTGGATCAAATCCAGTGTAAAATGTTTGTTTCTTTTTGAGAGCCTCGATCATTTGCAATTTTTTATTCTGTGGAAGATAACCTTCCAGCAATCGTCTTTCCTCCAATACATTGAACAAAGTTCTTGAAGACGTTTGGTGAATAGAAGACGATCTCAACAAATGCCTGAAAATGAAAGGAAAATCAGTGAATAAATCATGGATGAATACCATAAAGCAATTAATTACTTACCGTATCTGACTGATTGAATTCATCTTTGAGTTGTTCAATATTTAAAATTTAGACTTAAATTAAGATTGATGCTTGTTTCTTAATTGTTGATCATTTTCAACTTAAGACATACTGTTATCACATGGTTTTGTAAAACAGCTGTTTTTATCAAGTTAGCAAGTAAACAAAAACAAGTTTCGCAGTCAAATTTAAAACCATTTCAACAAATTGATCAGATCAGAGCTTAATTCACCCTGAAATTATTCAAATGTTTACTCTATGCTAATATTTCTTTAAAACAATCAATGCCGCAATCCATTATGAAAACAATCGATACGAAATTATCTCATGATCTTGGATCAAATACTTTTTGTATAGGAAATGCAACCCATTATCTAGAATCTTCCATTGCCCAAGTTAATGATGACGTGTAAAAGGATATGTATTATAATTAATCTCTGGTCCTTTCAAATCATTGACAAATGTTACAAAATGATACTGATTAATTGGTCCTGGACCAATGAATGCAATGATAATTAAACCGGTAGCTTTGGTTTTAACATAACCTCGAATTGGGATGAGTGTTTTACAGAGCATATAAATGTTATGATTAAATGAATCTGCTTCAGATCACAATGATGGGTGTTTATGAATATTGGCATGAATGAAATCCAGAAAACAAGGGCATCATGATACTGTCAACAGTGACCATTGTTAACAATTGTAATTGTCAATATTCAAATATATAACCAGAATGTTTAAAAAGAGAAAGAGAAAAGAGACAGACAAGGAGGAGGAGACAAAGGAGAGATGCTGATAGTGATGTAATCTGGGAGAAGCGGCCAATGAGGTTAAGCCAGATCATCATACAACTTGGATATTTTTTTGCTGGGTTTACAATACTCTTTTGCTAGTTAATATTATCCAATTGTGTTGATTGTCAGTTTAAGTTCTTCTGTTGTTCTAGTGTTTTCTTGTCTGATTGACTTTCATTTAAAACTATTCTGTGCAATTCTTGGTCTCTCAAACATTTAAATTGATAATACCGGCCAACAATTTGTTGTCAACACTGGTTCGGTCTTCATCATGTCGCGTTTCAATTATTTATTAATTTTTACCCTAACTCTATCTTTTACAATTTTATCAAGTAAGTGTTATTTTTCCATTATTCCCTAATGCATTCATGTATTGTCACTACTAATTTTTGATGTCTATTACCTTAGATAACATTCACGCTGAAGAAGTCTCTGATGCTGTTGAAGGGGAAGAGATCAGTTTGGATGCCAACTTAAAGGCTGGCAAAGAAGGAAGTGTCACTGATGCCCAAGTTGTTGCCAGAGAAGAAGAAGCCATCAAATTAGATGGACTCAATGTTGCTCAGATGAAAGAGTTACGAGAGAAGGCTGAAAAACACCAATTTCAAGCCGAGGTTAACAGAATGATGAATTTAATCATCAATTCACTTTACAGTAACAAAGAAATTTTCCTTAGAGAATTAATTTCCAATGCTTCAGATGCGCTGGACAAAATAAGAGTGCTGGCATTAACGATTAAAGAAGCATTAGATTCTACTGCTGAATTATCAATCAAAATTAAAGCAGACAAAGACAATAATTTACTGCACATCATTGACACTGGAATTGGTATGACTAAGAATGAGCTGATTAATAACCTCGGAGTTATTGCTAAGTCAGGAACTTCAGAGTTCTTGCAAAAAGTTGGGGCCAGTGACGATATCTCAACCACTGAACTGACTGATTTAATCGGTCAATTTGGTGTTGGATTTTACTCATCTTTCCTTGTTGCTGATCGAGTTGTTGTCACTTCTAAATCTAATGATGACGCTGATCAATACATCTGGGAATCAGACTCAGCCTCATTCACAATAAACAAAGACCCTCGAGGGCCAACATTAAAACGTGGAAGTCAAGTTACATTACACATCAAGGAAGAGGCAAAAGATTTTCTTCAAGAAGAAACGCTCAAAGAGCTCATCAAAAAGTACTCTCAATTTATAAATTATCCAATTTATTTGTGGTCTAGTCGAACTGAAGAGGTTGAAGAGCCAATTGATGATGAATTAACTCCAGATGATGCGGCTGTCAAGGAAGAAGAAAAAGAAAAAGAATCTAAAGATGATGAAGATGTAAAGGTAGAAGAGGAAAAAGAAGAGAAGAAGCCTAAAACAAAGAAAGTTGAAAAGACTATCTGGGAATGGCAATTAGTAAATACTGCAAAGCCAATTTGGACCCGAAAGTAAGTTTAAAAGTATGTTTGAAGCTTTTTTATACTTAATCTTTTTCTCTCTTTATTGTTTTTAGACCCACTGAAATTACTGATGAAGAGTATAATGAGTTCTACAAATCAATAACCAAAGATTCTCAGGATCCTTTAGCAAAAACTCATTTCATCGCAGAGGGTGAAGTAACATTTAAATCACTTCTTTTCATTCCTACTGTTCAACCTTCTGAATCATTCAACCGATACGGTACCAAAACTGATAACATCAAGTTATATGTTCGACGAGTTTTTATCACCGACAACTTCACAGACATGATGCCAAGCTATTTAGCTTTCCTTCGTGGTGTTGTTGATTCTGATGATCTTCCATTGAACGTTTCTCGAGAAACTCTCCAACAGCACAAGCTTCTTAAAGTAATAAAGAAAAAATTGGTTCGTAAAGCTTTAGATATGATTAAAAAAATAGCTGAAGCTGATTACGCTAAATTCTGGGGTGAATATGGTACTAACATTAAACTTGGAATAATCGAAGACACTGCTAACAGAGCTCGCTTAGCAAAACTACTGAGATTCCAAACATCAGGTCTCGAAAAGGGAAAAATGGTCTCTCTTGGTGATTATGTCAAACGGATGAAAGAAAAACAGGAACACATTTATTACATGGCCGGTTCTAGCTTCGAAGAAGTAGCTAGCTCTCCATTTGTTGAACGTCTATTGAAAAAAGGTTATGAAGTACTTTACTTGACCGATCCTGTTGACGAATATTGCATTTCAGCTATACCTGAATTTGAAGGTAAAAAATTCCAAAATGTTGCAAAGGATGGTCTTAAATTGAATGAATCTAAAGAAAAACTTGAAGCTTTACAAAAACAATTCGAGCCTTTAACTAAGTGGTTAGAAGGAACTGCACTTAAAGAAAAAATTTCCAAAGCTTCAATCTCTCAGCGACTCCATGATTCACCTTGTGCTCTTGTTGCAAGTCAATTTGGATGGACAGGTAATATGGAAAGATTAGCCAAAAGCAATGCTCACTCTAAAAGCAATGACGTTACTCGTGAATACTATTTATCGCAAAAGAAAGCTCTTGAAATCAATCCCAGACATCCATTGGTTAAAGAGATGCTTAGACGTGTAGAAGGTGATCCTGATGATGAAACTGCCAAGAATATGGCTGCTCTCATGTATGAAACTGCAACCCTTCGATCTGGTTATATGTTATCTGATACTCAGTCATTTGCATCTCGAGTTGAAAGTTTATTACGAAAAACATTAGGAGTTGATGAATCTGCTGCAGTCGAAGAAGATGATCTAGAGGAAGAGGCACCAGAACCTGTTAAATTTGATCAAGAAGAGGAGGAAAAATTTGATGAACCTTCAGACGAACACACAGAGCTTTAGAAATATGCATCAAATATTTTTTGTTCATTTGCTAATTTGTTATATTTATTGTAATCATCAAAGAATCAAACTTTACATTTCCTCATCCTTAACCAAACTTGATTCTTTGATTTTTCACTAAACCTTCCTGTCACATTGGTCTTTTTTCATAAAGATCGCCCATTTTTGGTTCATATTTAAATTAAAACAATTTTTTACAAGTACTACAATCAGTTTAACTCTGATTAAATCATTTCTTGGATTCGGCAATTGCTCTTTAAAACTGACAACAGTTGTACAGATCTTGAGGGATTTTTCCATGAATAATTAAATAGATCTTAATTGTGAGATATTAACAGTTTATGGCGACTTTAAGATAACATTAGCTTTACCTATTATGATTGTGAGCGAGTCAAAGAGTTTAGTGTTGGTATTTAATCTTACGCCAAAAAAAAAGATGTAGAATAATAAAATCATGTAATCATATCGTAAATAATCAACTTCCGATGAATCCAAACATGGTCAAACAATCAATCAAGATTGAATCATAATCAAAGTATAATTTTGATGACTTGTTTTATGTATAGATTTTTATTATGAATACTTTTAACATTTCTGTGTATAAGACTAATTAGAGTTGGTAATAGGAATACATAGTAATACAAAAATGGTTTGAATATGAATGCTTGCATTTTTGTTATTGACTTCACAATTGATTATCACGCTGAATACAGTCTTTAGCTATTTTTTCTATAATCAAATTTGTAATTCTTGTGATGAATTAATTACCAAGGGTAAGATCTTTAAATAACAAAGATAAAGATTGAAGATTCTTGAAAACTCTCCTTGGTTACATGGTGGTAAAGTACCTCAAGCAACTAATTGGAAGCCAATTGTAGATTTATGGATAAATGAACGATATTATACCAATGCCAAAGATTGCATGCTATACCGACAAGAAAGAATATATTGCATTATGTTTATCAATCGATAATGGAGGATGAAATCAAAGCAAAATCTGGACACACTGATTATCACCGCTCTAGAAGTAATCGTCGTGAAATTAAAAGATTTCAAACTGATTTAAAGTTACTTTAAAAAGTCTAAATATGTATTGCGATTTACGTAAACACTTTATAGCAATGATAACAATTTTAAACCGAGTCAAACAATGTATTCAAATCGAGCGGTGAGGTCCAAAGGAAGGTACTTGAATGTTACCTTGGTGATTTTCCGTTCTCGGAAAACGGAAGATCGCTTACTGTGCAACTTTCATAGAGCAAGATAGCTCTTAGGAAGCAGTAACGATGGATGAAACAACAATTATGAAGTTATTGAAATAATTAAATACTCTTCAGGATTTCTTAATCAGAAGTCCTTAAACAACCCCACTTTAAAATGTAACTTTAAATTGTGACCACTTTAAGCTTGACCAGCTTTAAAATGTTAGCTGATCTCTACAATAGTTGACCTGCTACTATAGTCACCCATGTGCTGAGATGGCGTGGTATTGGAACATTTTTGGTGATTTTACAGGTAATATCTCTCTTCTCGATGCTATTTTTACTTAATTCCACCCTCTTGATGTTTTCTGTTAATTATTGACTTGAAACAAATGCTAAGGGTAGGAATATTGATACTCGATAGGCCTTCGGTGTCCATTGCTCCAATCATTGGAAACCATCCTCTAACTCTCGTACAAATTTAATGAAGTTATTTTTCTGTATTATAGATTTCAATGGTCGACTCGCACTTCATTGAACGTGTTACGGAAGCATCGATGCTGTTGTAATGGTTGGAATCGTTTCTATGGGTTTTATATTCATAGTTAAATCTCTTCATTGGACCAGAACATGATATTGAAGACGATAGATTTACTGTTGAACTCTCTAATCCTTGCCATGATCAACATTCCCTGTTTATTATCAATCTTGCAATGGACTTGAGTCTAGTCACTAGACAAATAAACAACGCAAAATTTTTAGCAAGCTACTGTAAATAAATCCTCCAGAAGTAGTGCAATACCTTAACTATGAGTCTAACTCAAATTATGTGCACTTTCTGATTGGTATTATCTTTACAACATGTACTGTAGTTAAACGATTTTATTTGTTGGCCTTTAAATCTAATTATGCTGCTTGAATTATCTTGTCACAAACAAATGAAATCAATTCTTGATTATGAACCAACTGACCATTATTTTGTACCATTGTTTTAATAATAACTGAACTTTTCAACCGAATTTGAAGTAAATTGCTCAACAATTCATGCTCATTTCCTAGTAAATTTTTGTTTGAAGCTTTGTTCATTAAATTGATTATTAAAAGTAAAAAAAGTTATGATATTAATGAGTCTCATCATCAGAACATCAAACAAGAAAAAAGATAATGCGCAGGCTCATGATGTCAATGCTAAAGTTGTAACTCAGAGTAACTTACTCTTTATTAAAGAGTCTTCATCCAGACTCATGAAAACATTCAATACACACAGGAATGGCAAGATTTCATTGTTGTTATGCTGTTTAATTTAATTGGGCTGTTCTTGCCGATCCCTAATTTTTTATTTGTAAATCTTTTGTTTTCCTTTGTAATCTTAAATTAAGTGTTTTTTATTTATATTTTGAAAGAAAATGTGTGAACATGCTGAACTGGTGGCTGAGATGCCAGTTTTGGAGAAAATGTCAACTCAAGAGCGACTCAAATTGGCCCGGAAAAGGCGAATGCAACAATTAAAGAAGTGGAATCTCCGGGAGAAAGATTTTAACTACAAGAAGAAAACTAATGACACCTATGGAAGACGGAATAAGGGCAAAAAGACGGACTACAAGGTACATTTTGTTCCAAGTGTGATGCTTCTCGAGGCAGCGGCCAGAAATGATGTTGAAGAAGTGAGAAGACTTTTAATGCTTGGTGTAAGTCCTGATTCAACTAATGAAGATGGTTTAACTGCTCTTCACCAGTGTTGTATAGATGATAGTGAAGAAATGATGAAATTGTTAATTGAATTTGGTGCTAATATTAATGCCCAAGACAGTGAACAATGGACACCTTTACATGCAGCAGCTACTTGTGGTCTTTTACATCTTGTCAGATACCTGATATCGAAAGGAGCGGATTTATTAGCTGTCAATGCAGATGGTAATATGCCTTATGATATATGTGAAGATGAATCAACACTAGATTATATAGAATCAGAAATGGCCAAAAGAGGTATAACTCAAGAGATGATTGATGAAACTCGAGCTTCGGTTGAAAATCGTATGCTTTTAGATTTAAGAAAAGTTGCTGAAGAAGGTGGAGATCTTGAATTTCGTGATAGTCAAGGGGCAACACCTTTGCATATTGCGGCAGCTAACGGTTATTCAGCTGTGGTTGAATTTCTTTTGGATAATCATGTTTCTACAGATGTAGTTGATAATGATTTATGGCAACCTATTCATGCAGCAGCTTGTTGGGGACATGTAAGTTTCTTTTTGTTTTCTCAATCAGCTGATTATTATTGATCAGTTTTATCTTTTCAACATTAATATTAATTTCTTTATTTGCTCTTAATTTGGTGTAGCCGGATGTGCTCGAACAGTTAGTACAAGCAGGAGCTGATTTGAATGCAAAAACTAAAAATGGGGAAACTCCTTTAGATATATGTGAAGATCCAGAATTGAAAGAAAGAATAATCGAATTAAGAAATGAAATGGAAACCAAAAAAGCAAGCCATTCTTTAAGATTAAAAAGATCTCATTCGCAAAACACTCGAAGCCAATCAGTTCGTCGTACGAGTATCAGAGAAAAATCACAAATCTCTCGACGTGAAGCCCGTGAAGAGGCTAGAATAAGGGTTGAATCATCTCAGAATGGTGTCGATGAAGATGATCGAACTCAAGGAAATATTAATAATGCTAACAATCAAGTTGACAAGCAAGTCAATTCTTCTTCCACAATTACTTCAATAACTTCCACTAGTGATAAAGAAGGCGATACAGTGCCGTTAAATAAAGTCAATGGATTCTTTTCGGTGAAAGGATATGCAACTGGAGTTAATAATGATTTAAAAAGCTCCTCCTCACTTCCTTCTTATGAGGATAGTTTAATCACATCAGGGTCAATTAAACCTTCTTTAAGCTCTAATCATTCATTCATCGAGTCATCAAATAATAGTTTTGTCAATAAACAAGCCCAATCATCATCAATTTCATTGGAATGCCAATCAAGTCAAAAATCATCAAGTAAAGATGCCATGGTCATTCGAAACGATGGCTATTGTGAAAAAGATTCCAGTGAAGTTGTGAGTGTTTTCAACAATGATTCCAATGGTTCCAGAGGTTTTGATAATGAACGAGATTATGACTATTCAAATGATGTAACTGTTGTCGACGGTATTCCCGGTTCAACGGCTAATGATATATTATCCTGCCGATCAGCATACAATCCAAGTAGAACTGTTGACGACTCAACACTTCGTACCTCTAAAAGTAATCGTAACTCAATCAATTCTGGAAGTAATGGAGGTGGTAGCAGTGTGGGTAGTGAATCCGTCAAAGTTGAGATACATGTTACTGTAAATGCAAATCCATCCAATTTTGGCTCCGGAACTTTAGCTGATCTGAAAAAACATCGGGCAGATTTAAGGCATCGCAATAGTCTATCCCCAGGTGAATCGCCTAAGTCCACCAATGAGAGAGAATCTTCTGTTCGCTCTAGCCACAATAATCCTTCATCTCATCATGTTAAAGCTTCTTATCTTTTTGACTCTCCTACATCTCCAAATAATGATCTGAAAAAATTTCGAGCTGATCCCAGTGAAGTTGTCGGAGAAATGCAGAGTAAAGGATGCTGTAAGCTTATGTGACTGTATAGAAAACTATGTATCTCTTCTTTCTATTCCATTTTGCCTTTACTTCATCATCTTCATGAAATATTATCACAACCCTCATCACTTCATCATCGTCCTTATTTTTCTCAGCCTTGTCTCATCCCAAATCTCGTATCAACCACAATCAATTTATTTAGAAATTTCCTTTTTTTTCAATCTATTTTTGCACGAACGAACGATCAAAATTTTCCTACCTTTTCAACTTTCCATTAGTCGTAATTTACTCTTATTAGGCGTAATCCATTTTTTTCATTTGTTCAAAAAACCAGGGAAACTGAAAAATTGCATTTCAATCAATTTCTCTTACATATTAGTTAAATTATAAGCGTCTTTTGACTTTTCAGTCTTGCAATAAATTAAATTACGATGAACGGAAAATGAAGTGTAAATTGAAATCTAAATTTATAGTTTTCTTTTCCCTTTCTTCAACAATGAAGATCACTTCCACAAATTGGGAAAATAAACAAAAAAGCTTCCCATCAGAAGATGAAAAAATTGAAAAGAATCAACACACAATTGTACATTTGAAGAACGAAGAAAGATAAACAATGTTAAAATTTCTTTATCAATTATAGATTGGAAATGTTAATATTGAAACATAATTGAATCAACTTATACAATATCAAAAAAAATCAATTCAATTGTCGGACCAAATTATTTTCACCTCTTTGCCTACCAAACACAATTTACTGCATTTCAGATGATTCCAGGATCTTCAACTTTTTAAGATCAATCCATCAGCACATCCTTTGATGTCATTTCCCGAAAGATAAATAATTTATTTATTATTATAATTATAATTACTATTAATCATGTTGTTATAGAAGTGTAATAATTTACTGGTAAACTCATTTACTTTTTTTTATAGAGAGCCTGGTGATACAATCTTTTTTTTTGTTGCACAGCAAAATAATTAAAGACTCATCTTAAACACGCTTTTTGATTCAAATTTAGATTCATTTAAAGTAAACGTTTCATATTTATTAGAATGATTATAACGATTCTCCTTTTTTTCAGGTTGATTTTTATTATTATTATTATCAATCACCAATCATCTGTTTAACAAGATATTGATGTAAAGAATGTTTGATGATTTTAAGAGAGTTTGATAGGGAAACAAGTTGGTCCATGATTAGTCTTAAAACATTGATTTTTCAGTAGGCATAGACAATAAGCTGCAACTGTTTCAAATGAAACAGTTGATCGCATTTTAACAAAAAAGTGAAAGGAAGGTGAACAGAAGATTTGAGGAAAGGATCGATGAAACAATTTACAAGTTGCCTTTTCTTTTGATCCAATTCTCCCATTATCTGAGTTGAACAACAGGAAAAATGAAGATATAAACTGGCGAAGTATATAAAAAAATCTTAGCGAATCAACGTAATTTTTCCTGATTGGACAGTTTAGTATTTTAACCAAGCAAGATCATTCCTTATAAACCAGTCTTGAATCCTTGAAAAGTGAGCAATCCCATTTTTTTGAAGAAAAAACTTAACTATTTTGATGTTAATCTTGCCGTTGATGTACTCTTGTTGATGCCACGCAATCTAGTTCACTCTTTATGCAGGTTCAGTGATCACCACCATCATTCCTCTCAAAGAGACAGAAAATATTTCAAGATGAACTTAAGCTTTTTTAGTGAAACTTTACACATAATAATACTTTATCTGTATATTTATACTTTTTGTTTTGTTTAAATTTACTCAAATAATAATAATAATCATGATAATAATAATAATTAATTTAAAGATGGTGGTCAAGGCAATTATTGAGATGGACCGATAATAAGTTTGCTTATGTCCCATAACTGTATATTGAAAAATGGGAAGAGAGAGAGAAAAGATTGTTATTAAAAAACAATGGGTCAACAGATTTTGATTGCATGGTTATGGAACTGCTTTTTACTGCTGAATTGGATGATAAAGCATATCCATTTACAATTGAAGAATTGGTTTCTTTTGTTACCTTAATAACTCTATCAGAACCAGAGGTCATTAAAAGTGAGCGGGATTCATCTAGATCCATATGCATTATAGAGTGTTTCGTGTCAGCAGAAGAAGCCAGTGATTGTAAACTAATGATGATTTGATTTTGAAAGAAAAATTGTTTTGAAATAAGAAATTAATTTTTGTTTAAAATTTATGAAAATTTTCCATTTCTCTATGAATCTCATGTTTTTTATATTTGAAATTCAAAGAGAAACAAAAAACAATAAACTTACTCGTCATCAGAAATACAACTTTGGCATTCATCACAGATTCTCACAAGGAACTCAAATCCCATGATGGGAATAACGCTTCTATTGCTACTACAGGAATCACAAACTGCTTTACCACAACGACGACAGTGATGCTGTGAGAAAAGAAAAAAGAAATAAATTAGAAAAGAAACAAAAAAAAAATAAGAATGAATAGGAAAAAGAACAATTGTAATGCGTAAATTTAGGTTAGGAGAAAAGATAAATCTAGAGTCAATCGTTCATGCATCGCAATCAATTTCTCCTTTCAGGGTTCACATTGATTAATGACTCAATATCATTTTAAAAAGCTATATTAAAGTGTAAATACATTAAATAACTATGAAAGCTCACATTAAATATGAAGCGAGTGTAAAAACTAACCTGTCGTAAACCAATCGTTTTTTGATCCAACATTGCCTTTATATTCCAAAAAAAGGGTCTTGAACAACGTTGACAGTAATCACTTTCTAACCAATCAGGAGTCTAGTGGAAAATGTTAATTATAATCAATCAGTTCGTAATATATGAGTTTGGTGCTATTTTACCTCTTTTCTTTTTACATCCATCTTCCAGAAAACAACTTTAGAGTCTTCACTTGAAGAAATCAAAAGCTTGGCTTGATTGGCAAAACAAAGTGAGGTTACTTTACCGCTGAAATGAAAGTGAAGAAAACAATTTGATCAGAATTTGATATGAAAATAATTTAGATCATTAAGGAAAGTTGTTGAAAAGATATTTACAGGTGCCCTTGGAGTTCGTAAGCTGTTCCTCGTTTACCGCCAATATCCCAACAAATAATAACCTTATCATAGGCACCAGAGAACAGCATTTGCTTCTCTGGATCCCACGCAAGGCACCGAATGGCATCGCTATGACCTTTCAATGTTGTTATTGGTTTATAGCTATTCCCTTCCAACTTAAGCATAGTAATTTGGCCAGTGTAATCACCAATAAACGTATGTTTTGATTCTGCATCAAATCTAAAATTAAAATGATAATATATATTAGAAAAATTAAACACTGGTGAGAGTATTTCAAGTAACTTACTGAAGTGCTGTACACCAAGAGTTGAATTGAAAGCCACCGAGTCTGTTTCCTGTTTCTGAACAATGCCAACAAAAATATCTATCCTTAGAAACACTTAGAACCCATTCATGGAATATTGAAAATATCAACCCAGTTACACGCTCATTATGAGCAATATAAGTTCTTTGATGTGTTATTCTGTTGTAATCATCTGCAATAAGAAATTCTGAAATGGATCCATTCTCCATTCCAACAAAAAGTCTTTTGGTTTCGTGATTAAAGCTCATTACAGTACCAGCAGCTAAGACAAAGTAATGGACAATGAAAAGGAAATATTATAAAGACTTATTAAACAAAAAACTCATGAGGTACTTCAGATGGACAAAGAATAATTTTCCCATTCCAATTTCACTCTTCTCTACTTTCTTATTGATGAACTAATTTGATTAAATAATTAATAGAGCAACAAGTAATTAAGCTTTCAATTTTCTAACTTGGTCGAATAAACTTTGGGTCAAATTCATGCAGATATTAAAAATGCTTATAATATCAATTGTGTGAACGAATCTCCTCAAGCCATAGTGATTCTGTTTGATTTAAGTTCACACAATCAAGATTTGACTACACAAAGAATGCTTATTTGTGGCTCATTTGCATTACAAACAATGTTATGACAATATAGTTTGCAATATTTGAAAAACAAAAGTGCACGAGATAAGATTTCTATGACTAATATTATCATAAAATTGGTTTAACATGCACGTCATCGTTTTTTTGATACTCGATGGCAGATGGAGAGAGCAAAATTGAAATAGGAAAAATTTCAATGTATCTGAGGTTGAATCCGTGAAAATTTTATTAACCTGGCATTCGATGACAAACACTGGGCCAGTAATTTCCTGTATCCCGCTTAAGCCATATCATGACACTCCTTTGAAGACGAATAGTGATTGTTTAAAATTATGGAAAAAAAGAAACAGGTGTTAAAATTGAATTTTATGCATGTATTATGAACATTGGAATCCAATATATTTTATGTAAACATATCAGAATGCGTATGTATACTAACTTGTCATCGCCAGTACTGATCACACCTTCTTCATTTTTAAGCAATATAGCAAAGTTAACCACTTCTTGATGGCCTTCAAGTTTAGCTACCAATTCTAGCCGCTTGTTTGATGAAGCACTTCCAGGAAAGGGTCGTATCTCAGCTGACATTTTGTAATCAGTCACTGGATGATTGATGAAGTATGATTAAGGTTGAAGACAAATTTTATGAGGAGAATGTATCAGATATATTGAAGTAAAAACAATGGGAGAGGTAAGGACTGTTATTTTAGTTTTGTAACAATTGCAGTTAATGGGTATGGTAATAGTGAAGATGTTATATTAGAAACAACAAGTAATCAAAAAAGTAAACACGAGTGAAGGGAAAAGGGGAAAAAGATATCAAGTAAATCACAGAGTTAAGTTGAAGGCAAAGAAATCCGCACAAAGTGGTACATAATCATAGCAGTTAACAAGAGTCAAAAGATGATAATGAATTGATCAGCAGGGAAGGAAGGGGAGTAAAACCCAGCTTCAATTAACTAATGTTTAGCATAGAAACATGTAATAAGAAGAGTAGAGAAAGAGAAAGAGAGAAATATGACAAGTACTGATAACAAATGAAAACAACACAAAAACTCAAGACTGAGGATGAAATAGATGTGAACAATATCAACACAAGCGTAATAACAACATCACCCAAAGCAAACAAATTTTGAAACAATTTAATTTCTAGCAACACAGTAATTAGTCAAAATCTGATGCGAAGATTGAGGTTTAATTGATCAAAACAAGTTACGACAAAAACAAAAAAAATCTAAATTGTAACCCTAAAGGCAAATCAAAAATGAATGCAACTGTTACCATGAAGCGCGTTTTTCGAATCAAATTCTCTGGCAACAAGTAGAGTTTTCTTTTAATTTAAAGCTCATTTGCTAAGCTAAATTACAAACAATCAAATATTGTAAAATAAATCAAACTGGTCATGAATTCATAGAAACAAACTAACTACACAGTGGGCTGATTTCAATGGCTGTTAATATCTTACCTTTAGATAAAATTTTTCTCATTTCTTTCATTAGTTGAAGCAGTTTTTGATAAACCATATTTGTTTTTCTTCGACCAATCGATGTCAAAGAACTTAAACTGAAAGTCGAAGATGAGTTCGCTTTTAATCGACTTATATTTGGAATATCCATTGATAAACCAATCGGTTCTTCAAACTCGGAATCGTCCCAAAAATTTTCAAACCGAAGCATACTGCTACATGTATAAATAAAATGAAAATAATCTCTGAATGGATATTATAAGCTCTATTCATTGTTGAGTTTTTAGATAAAAATAAGAAACTAACTGCATAGAAATTCCGATTTAAAGAAGATCATTTTAATTCCAATGTTCTGCATTGAGCTTATCGGTCTTTTATTGTTGAATAAAAGGCCGAAAGCAAGAAACCTTTCCTCAGTAATTGCTGGTACCGTTTTTTCAAAATTGATAATCTCATTATGAGGACGAAATTGACAAGACCCGTGAAAGAAGTTAACGGATCAGTACAAAGTCTGTGACTTTTATTTGATTTTGTAATGAAAATGAGATTTTAAATAGCAATAATATTATAATATAATAATAATGAAAATAAAAATAAGATGATGTAGTTTTTAAATGACGATGAATTACAGTGCAATTTGGAGCTAGAATTTACATTAGTATCTCTGTTGGAAATTAGTATTCATTGGTTGACCATTACTACTTCCATATTGTAAGTTGGCCTGATTTTGTAAACCATGACCTTGATTAGGTCCAGGCATATTAGATTGTTGAACTGGGCCTCCAGGTCCACCCATTCCGGCCATACGAACACGTTTAGGTGGTTGTGGTCCGTGATTGTTATTATCACCATGATTTGCAGCTTGGTTATTGTTATTAACTTTGTTATTGTCAGGTTTTTCTTCATTATCATCGTCAGTAAAAAATTCACGCTTAGGATATGGAATAGGGTAACCATTGAAGACGCTAAACGAGAGAAAACACATATCAAAGTCAATTAATAAAGCTAGCTTGATAAATATTTTAGTCAACTTACTCAGCGGTGGGTAAAGGGTCCTCAGAAAAGTAAAGATCTTGCATTGCTTGATCTGAAGTGATTCTTTTAGTTGGATCCATAAGAAGCAGTTTTTGAAGAAGGAGAAAAGCTTTACTATCAGGTTTTATTTTGTGTTTCTCCATGTATTTAATTAATGAGCAACTAGCATAACTGAAAATATAAGATGAATAATTAGAAATAATTTTTACGATTGATATCAATCACCGTGAGTATCTTACTTCGTTCTTTTGAAATCTCTTTGTAGTGTTTGATACTCGGGCATCTTTCTGATGTCTTCCCACTCTTTTTCCAAAGGAAAACCCATAACATTGAATATTCTATCCAGTTGATCATGATGGTAAGGATTACTAGTCTTTATATCTTCTTGACGGCAGTGAAAAATTGGTTCTGAAGTTAAAAGTTCTGCGAATATACAACCGATGGCCCAAATATCGATAGCTTTAGTGTAATGACGAGCCCCGAGGAGAAGTTCTGGTGCTCGATACCAAAAAGTTACTACTACCGGATCTAAATCAGCTAGAGGTTTTAAAGGAGCATTATACAATCGGGCAAACCCCATATCTGCGATTTTAACTCTACCACGCTCCGGTCCTTCTCCCATTACCAGAATATTTGCAGGTTTCTGAAATTGAATGTTCAATTTTAAACTTCTACATAATCAAATAATTTTTAAATTCTTACCAGATCTCTATGAAGAATCCAATTAGTATGTAAATAGTGTATTCCATCTAATATTTGATACAAAAGCGATTTTACCATACCTTTTGGATGATTGACTAGTTTTTTATTGGCTTTAGCTGCTCTGTGAAATTTTATTATATGCTGCGTAAAGGCAAGAGCAATAATTATAATTAACTGATAACATTTCAAGCCAATTCGATAATTGAACAATTTATAATTAAAACTTAAGAGTTGTATAGGTAACGTACCCAGAGATCATGTTCTGCATAGTCTAACAGCAACCAAACCCTCCTTTCATTGTGTGACAGAAATACCCGTTGAAGGTTTATAACATTTACATGTTTCAGCTCTCTCAATAACTGCTCAATGGATAGACATAGTGATTCAAAATGAAAAGAAAATTCAAGTTTAATAAAAAGAGCAATTAACGGGGTGTAGTACTCACTGCTATTTCCCTGCATGCGGACATAGATATTCCAGTTCCCTCAATTTGTTTGAGAGCATAATCTTTGTTATCAGATCTTTAAGAAAATAATTAAAAAAAGAAAAAAATAAATCGATGCCAATAATTTAAATCAATGATTAGAAAAATAAAATTAAAATTACCCATCTTTCCTCCGAGCTTTGTATACATGTCCATAAGTACCTCTACCAACCTTGCATCCTTCATATTCAAACAAATCTTCTACCTTGGCTCTTTCTTGAGCCAGTTTGATCTTAAACTCATAGTCCATTATCAACGGTTTTTCGTAATGTCACACGGAACAAACGAATAAAATCATGGAATCGGAATAAAGTAGAGTTTTAATTGAATAAACAAATGTAATAACATTAATCACAGAAAAAGATCAAAACTATTTGCTGAAATAAATAAAACAAAACATGAACTGGTGACAAGCGCTGTCAAACAACTTCTAGGATCAGTAATTTCCAAGTCGCGCTTAATTCAAATCATTTCATTTAAGAAATATTTTTCTATTTAATTATCTAAATAATTATAAACCATTGAAAATAAATTCAAAAATTCAATTCAATTACTTACTGAACCAAAGTGAAGAGTGGCCATTAATTTGCATATCTAGCAATTTTAGTAAATTCAATCGATGTTACGATATTTATCATCAATAATGCTTGAGATTAAAAGATTAAGATTGAAAGTTAATTAATCGGACTCGTTGAAAAATTAAATTCAAGTTTGTTTTTATTATACAGATTAATGTATCAATAACTGTGTAATTACATTGTACTTTTTGTTTGTCTTAATTTTCAATTGTTCTCAAACCAAATTTACAAGCGAACTAAATGCTTCAAATTAAACTGAAAGATTTAGCAATGATTATTATCTTAATCTGCAATATTAACTATGATCATTATTACTATTATTTTTACTATAAGCATTTTTATTAAATTATGTTCACCTGTTCAGGCATTGTGATATAATAAGTTGCACTTTCTGTTTATTTTTGCATTATCAACAAGATTTATTATGAATAGTCATTTGAAAAATGAATTAAAAATGACTGCAATCATTTACTGGTGATAAAAATTTAGTTTGCTTGAGATATAAAAAAGTGCTAGCATGAAAATAGCTTGTATTGGATTGAGAAAATGAATTACATTGAATTGCTTTAGATACAGATTTGGCCCATTTAAGCAGTTTAAATTAAATAACTTTGTTTTTCGCTAATTTTGATAATGGGTTGATGACAGAATTAGCGTTTTCTTTTCATTTAAAATTATACAACTAGCATGATTTGCATTGACAAATTATATGATTGTTGTGTAAAGCGCTAAAACATGAAATAATGAAATGAAAAAAATTAACAATAGATAAAGTATATTGATTTGGAGGGTTAGAATTTTGTGAATAACTCTGTGCTTTGATAGAGCTTTGATTTTTAGATAATGAAAATGTAATTTTGATAATTTTGAGTTTGTATTTTGTATCTTTGAGAAAGGTATTTCGAAATGAAGATGATCATAATGGTGAATTTGTCAGACTAAAAAAAGTAAACCAACTCATAAAACTGATGCACAAGTAGTAATTAATTTTAAATTGATGACACAATGGGGACTAAATATGCAACGTAGTAATGGATTTTAGAGAGTTGTGTGTATAAGGCTTAAATTATTTACAACAAAACGATTGTTTTACGTTCAAAAAAACACCTAATATTTTGATCAATAATACATGTAAAAAAATGATTATTATTGATCGAAATTTTTGTATCTACCATTAATGATGTCATTTCGAAATTTAACAACCTCTTCTCCAACAAAAACTCTTTTTGTACCTCTGGGTAATGCACGACATGACTGTAGGTCTATTAAGCTTAAATTTTTACAGTTGATCAAAAGCTTTTCAACGGATTCGAAAAGTACCGAGGAGCCTCGTAAGGTAATCACTTTTAAAGGACAGTCCTTCTCAGAGGACAAGGCTTCCAAAGCTGCCGAGATACCTGTCTGGTGACAGTTGTGCGATATGTCCAATTCTATTAGACTGTGTTTCCACTGTTAAACAAAAAATACAAACAAAATGATTAATGTAAGGAATTGAATTGAATTTGACAAGATTATGAAAAATCAATTTACTATACCTTGCTTACTATCATTTCCAAGCCAGTAGAAAAAATTGTACTACAGTTGTCAATAGCAAGGTGTTGAAGATTCCAAGCTGGAATTTTAATGATACAACTAGCTGTTACTCGGGGAGAGCCACGGATATCCAATAGCTTGAGATTTTCAGCATCTTTGGTCAAACTACTGATTACCGGTTCACCGTGGCCATGATCAGAATTATTGCACGGAATACTCAGTTCCTCCAATTTAGGGAAACCAAGAGCGTTGCCACTTTTGGGTGGTTGAATAAATATATTCCCAAGTCGAAGTATTTGTAAATTAGGACATGATGCTTGTAATGTGTCAACGCGAAGTAAAAATGATGAATTAGATTGGATATTTGATAGGTCCAGTGACCTGAGATTGTGGCAATATTTCTGTACAGAAGAAAAATTAAATTATTAGACAAAAATCAGATGATTAAATTGGTAGAACTTAAAATGAATACTTACAGTAATGGCGGTGAACAGGTGAGTTAAACCATTTATTTTATTTTCCGATAAATTTATTGATTTTAATTTGGAGCCATTCGTTGCCAAGTAGGTTTGGAATGAAGGAAACAGTGGATAGACGACTTTCCTTACTTTATTTCTTCCTTTTTTGCTTCCAGCTCTTTCTGAACGGTCTGATGCCGAAGTTTGTGAAAGGTCAATTTCTTCAAGGGATGGACAGACTTTAGAAAGAAGATCAAGGATTGTTCCCTCAATTGTATAACAACCACGAAAAACAATACTGGTCAATGATTTACCACATGTTTCCAAGATCGGGGCTAAATTTGAGTAATTTAATGTATAGTCCCAACCAGTGAAATTGAGGTGACTTGTATTGACCAGAAGAGAAGAAAATTGAACTAACTCAGTTTCACTGGGTTTTTTATTAAAATCACTTAAATCAACTACTCTCCACAGTTTGGGCGTTGATAAAATTAAACGGCGCCAATTCTCAGAAACTCTGCACAGATTGAGAAGGTTGATCATAGCTTTGGATTCATCTTGTACCACGAATTCAAATATTTTAACCAATAGTTCATTAGGTAAAGTTGTTTGTACTTGATTTGAATCATCTACTGTTTCAAAAAAATCTTTTAAAATCAATGGCTGAGGTTTTAACACGATGCAATCGTTATGGTTGTTTAAGTTCACGTTATTATTACAGTTAACATTACTGCTATTATTATTTGGCGGCTCTTCGGTTTCCTTCTTTTTTTTACTGTTTCGTTTGTCATCTTTTTTCTGATCGGTTATTTGGTAATCATATTCTTCTTCCCCTTTCAACCTTTTTTGTTTCTTTGAACGTTTCTTAATTTTCCTAATCTTCAAGAGGATTCGTTCATTTTTCAGTGGCACTTTATGTCCTAATTCACTTGATGGCTTTTCTTGTGGCGACGTGACTTTCTCGTCTAATGTAGGAACAGGAGGAGGTCCAATTGATGCATTAGCATTGCATTGTTGATCTGGTTGGGTTTTGGAGTTTTTCATTTTTTTCCATAGATGATTATTATTTACAGCTAAATCTCTTTTTCCAATTTTTCCTTCTCCGTCTTCTTGTTTACCGTTATTATCAGATCCTTCTTCCCAAGATTTGTCTTCATATTCATCATCATCAGGCCATAATTGTCCATTTAAAGAAAATAAAACTCTTGGTTCACCCATTGGTTTATCAAACAGAATTAAACAGACTTCCAATGAAGAGTGGAAAAAAGTTTCACTTTATTTTATTTCCCTCTCTTCGCTTCTCCTTTATAAATAAAATGCTCAATTATTTGTAGTCACAATTGTTAAAATGGCGAATAAGTCAGTGAATAGAGAAATGATAAATCAGAAGAGAGAGCGAATGCATGTAAAGGTGATTTGATCATTATTGTTATGGTCAATGTTAAAGAAAAAAATACAGTTGCTTCAGCAGTATAAACAATAACACAAGCTAAAAGCAGAACTTATAGTTTTCAATGGAACTGAGTATACAAGTTGATAAATGGCAATCGTTTAAAATAACTTGATTGACCTTTCACAGGTTAAAGTGATGTAGTGATGCGAAAGATAAAATATTATGATTAATTTAACACAGTAGTTGTATAGACATAAGATTAAAGGATAATATCATAAAAACACTGATGTTAAATAAAGAAAATGTTGATTTTGGTGTTAATGATTAAGTTTGAAGAGAAGTAAGATGATAATAAAAGAACAAGAAACTAAACTGACAGCAAGCAAGTAAAAGCAGTGTATAAGAACAGCAGAAAGACAAGAAAAGACAGTAAAAGAATCAACACAAAATCACGATGGTTAGATGTATAAGAAGAAGGTAATTTGTTGATTTGAATTGATGAATCGTAGGTCGTTGATGATTAAATTAGGAAAAAAATAAAGAACAAATCAATTGAAGTAATATAAATTGGTCAAGCAAAGGTAAATAATAATAAAACTGGATTAAAACCAGAACAAGATTTGAAAATGTCAATACTGTAAAAACTGAGAAGCTTTTACCTAAAGTTGCAGTGGAAGAGAGTGGAAGAGAGAAAGAGAGATGGTAGAAGAGGGAAAAAATTAGGGGAGGAAAAGATAGGAATGGAAGAGAAGAGGGAAAGAAAAAAATTTGCCGATAAATTCAAATCGCAGGAAAAAAAGTCAGAACTCTCAGTGTTTAATTTCATGCTTTAGCTCAACTCTGGATCAATTTTATTCAGTTAATCTATTTAAATGGATTTCGAAATTAAAAGTTGTCAAATTTGTATTCCAAACATTGTTAATCGCTTAGTTACCTTGCCATGTAAGCAATTTTTGCCTGTTGCTAAGAAGTTGCTTGTAATACAAAAGCAGGCATTTTAAGCGCTCAAAATCTGCATACATCATGTAATCTATCTTATTTTTTTCACTATTGTGTCGGGTTGATCTTTATCTCATGCCTTTTGGATGATTTTATCTTGTGAAAAGTCGATCTAGTTACTGTAAACACTCTGGCTTTATTTATAAACTTGTTTATTAACCTGTGTTGGTAACATGTTGGTAACATGAACGCCTATCATTTGTATTCCCGGTATTTTTGTATGGGATTCAACAAGATTTGACATAACATGAGCAGCAGATGGGATGAACCGGACGGTTGTGATTTTGATGAGATAACTACGTTGATTATTATGAAAACAGACAATCTTGAGAAAAAGGATTTGAATTATCGTTGGTCAGAAGCAAAGGAAAAGTTTTGGAAAGACTCAGGCACCCAACCAGATCTGCAATGATTAAAAAATATGATTATTGACTTTTATTTTCATGAATTGCTCAAATCGCAATTCACAATTTGTTGTCTTCGTTTGGTGATTGGTTTCTGATAAGTCATTCAATTTTGATCAAGCAAAAGACAAGGTAACTGGAAAATATAAATGACTGACTCACCTGGTGCTATGCAGATAACTTTCCATAAGACATCAACCGGTTGTACATTGGAATTTTTCTGGACCAATTCTCGATTCTTCTCCTTGACCAACCATGTTAATGGTGTGCGAGGAGTTTCCTTTGGCTGGTTTGGCACTTTATCACTTCCACTGAACTCATTTTTGTGTAAAAATGAGTTACCAGCGGCAACAAATTTGAAAATTAGACTATTTTTCCATTTGATTGCGAACCTTTTGCTCTTTATGTTCTCCATAAGACGAATCCAAGAAAATTTGGCTTCCTAATGTAAACCAGGATTTCTGCAGCAAGCTGGGCTGAATGACGAAAAAGGACGAAGTCTTTTGCTAATCACATTAAAAGATGATGAGGCCAAGTTGGTTTTCCAAGGATCGATCCAATGCTGCACCATTCATCTCTGTACCCATCCGAAAACTAACAAATTCAAGTAAACTGGTAGTTTTGCAGCAAGAATACGAAAAGATAAAAGTTAGTTATCAAAATGAAAGATTGTATGCTATTAATATCAATCAACCATCCACTGAAAAAGCCAATGCATTTGCTCCCTCTAAGGTTAATTTGCATTATTCACGGGGAAAGTCCTGATGAATAGTCATGTCAAAGAGTTTATAATTAAATAACAGTCCCTTGCCATTGTCTAAAGGCTTACAAAATGTTTAGCCCAAGAAAACCTAGATAATTGAGTTCATTTCTTTAGATTAAGAGTTCAGTTACTAATACAATCAACCTAGAACCATTGTTACTACCAATCAGCATCTCTCTCAGTGCACAAGAGTTCAACTAACATCGAATGACATTATCCTCAATTTTTCAAATGGCAGTTGAAATATCATTTTGAGTCTGGTGAAAAAGCAAATCAAAAAAGTTAGAAATGTAAAACGCAAAACAATTTGCTTTGCCTTTTATCAAATAGGGCTTTTAAAACTGTAACAAAATCATAACATGAAAATTCAGTAGATCAACCCATGGCATCTAGAATTTTATTTCTTTGGTCAATTGGACGACATTAAAGTTTCTAAGTTATCCCAGTAACTGAAGCGTGATTGAAACAGCAGGACGAATACACCAGCAGGATCAAGGCTTTTGAGCAAAAACAAGTGTTTTGGGTTCAACATAGCAAAAAATGAAGCAAAACATATTTGATGCTTTCAAGAGTTTGCATGAAATCCTAATTATTGAGGACTGTAATAACAAAATGGTAAAAATTAATGATACTTATTAGCTTCTTAATTCATAAAATAGCTTATTCATTAACTTCTTAGAAACATGTGGCTAATCATTGACCAGTATTGTTATTCACATGAACATAAAACTATCCAGTCTTCTCTCTAAAATTAGTCCATTCCTTGATGAAATCAATCTTTCACAGACTCCACGAGACTCGTGACTTTTAAATGGTATCGAGAAAGATGTTCAGCTAATACAATTTGCTACTCAATTTGAGGAAATGATTCCAGGCTGAATATTTTGACTAAAATTCGAGTACTCTTGACTACATGTCATAATTCCTGTAGTATAATCTGGAAGAAGAAAGTTAGATTTTTAGTTGTGGTTGAATGTTTTCTGAAATTTATGCTGTTACTGTTTCTTCTGAATTGACAGATTGGTTGAGAAAGAATAATCTTTCCTCAATTTAAGCCAAATCTTGGAAATTGGTGTTTTTCATGGATAAACTGACAACCTTACTTCTGACTTTTCAGTGTTAGTTGTTTGTTATCCCAAACCAATAAACCAGCCCATACCTATTTAGGTCTCAATAGTTTTTAGCAACTCATATCACTAACCATAAGAAAGTTGGATACAGGGTTTAAAAGCACTGAGGATGAGTGAAAAAAAGAAGGAAACTTTTTCGTGTAAAAATACGTTAAAGATTATATTTAACTTCATCTTCATCGTCTCCATTTCCATCTTCCCCTCAATGGTTGTTTATTTTACCGATCTCTCATCTCTCACCCACTCCTCCTCATCACTTTTAACTTCAACATCATCAGCAAATCACTTCTTTTAACGGTTCTTTTTTCCTATTCTGTAAGCTGAACCATTAGCAAGTTAAACTCGGAAGTTACTCTTCATTTGTGAATATAACAAGAAAAGAGACCAAGTCTATCAAAAATGCTGGTAATCTACTAATTTCTATTCATAATCAGTTGATTTATTCCATTCCATCTCGTTCCTTCATCTACTAACATTGACCATCATCTATTCAAGTCTATCTCTTGTTACAGACTTGTTTCCCAACAAGAAATATCCAACTCCAAATATCCATCCATTTAGTGTCCAAATTTTGTTGATTGTTATACAATGTGATTACTTAATTTTATTTCTTTGATTTTTATGTTTGTAGGATGACAAAGAAAGAAGGAAAGCCGAGGTTCGAGCTCGACTCGAGGCTCAAACCCGCAAAAAGCGAGGTTTCATGACACCAGAGAGGAAAAAGCGACTCAGGGTAAGTAGGAAATAGTTTAATATTTTGTGCATCGCTATTAATTGATATGAAATACTTTAAAGAACCTTCTTCGAAGAAAAGCTGCTGAGGCACTGAAACGTGAACAGGAACGGAAAGCTGAGGAACGAAGAAGAATCATTCGAGAGCGAACTGGAACTCCCAAAAATTTGGACGGAGTCAATGAAGGTAATGTAATAATTGACTTACTGAAGTTCCGATTTTTAACCTAAATTGTTGATTTTCATTTTCTAATCTGATTCTCTTGACTATTAGCAACCTTACAATCAATTGTGAAGGAATACTTCAAACGAGTTCAAGACCTTGAAAGCAAAAAATGGGACTTGGATAGAGCAACTCGACTCAAGGAGTTAGAGGTAAACAATTTGGAATCAGCCAATTCTCGAGTGATTTTAACATTCAATTTTTTCGTTTTCAGCTTAAAGAGTTACAAGAGAAAGTCAATGATTTGAAAGGAAAATTGTAAGTAATTTAATTGATTTAAGTTCAAATTCATGATTTTTCTGTTTCTTCTTATTTTTAGCGTGATTCCTCCATTGAAAAAGGTTTCCAAGACTGCCAATCAGTAAGTAAATTCATCAAGTATTTTTAAACCTTTCAACTAATTTTGTTTCAATCTTACTTAGGCTGGAAAAGATTCGAATGTTTACTGCTCGTGTTTCCCAAATGGATTATCGGAATCAACTGAAGCAAGTCCAGAAGAAAGATTACCGACTTGAAGGAGTCGATGAAATTGCTGTTTCTAAGCCCGAATGGGCTCAACCAAAGAGTAAGACGACTTCAATTTCCGAAGTTGTTTCCGAAGTTGTCTCTGCTGATGAAGCAGAGGATTAATTGATCTTACCTTATTTAATCTAACCTTGCTGCAGTCATGTACCAAAATTGACAATTTATGAACAAATAAAAAAACTTAACAATAAAAACTGAATCACTTTGTTTGCAAGATACAACAAGATAATTAACTGCGACACAGAAAATTTTTATAATAAATTGAATATTATTTTTATTGATGAAGAGGGTTTTGCATATGATGAAACATCTTGACAATTAAGCTTTGACTTTCTTGCCGCGACCACGAGGTTTCTCTACTTCTGGCTCAGGAACGGGCTCTGGCTCTTCTTCCATTTCTTCATCTTCGTTCTTAGATTTTGGTTCAGATTCAGCAACTTTGGCTTTCTTACCTCGTCCACGCGGTTTTTCTTCAACAGTTTCTTCAACAACAGGTTTTTTGAGATTACGTTGAGATCTTTTAACTGCTACTTGACCTTTCTTAGCTTTCTTCTCAGGAATTGTTTCGGCCTCAGCCTCAGCCTCAGCCTCGGCCTCGTCTTCAATCACTTCCTCTTTGGCTTTGGGCTTAGGTTCAGAAGCTTTGGCTTTCTTGCCGCGCCCACGAGGTTTATCTTCGACCACTGGCTCAGGAACGGGTTCTGACTCATCCTCAACATCTTTCTCTTCGTTCTTAGATTTTGGTTCAGCTTCAGTAGCTTTTACTTTCTTGCCGCGCCCACGAGGTTTTTCTTGTTTTGTCTCAGGCACGGATTCTGGTTCAGGTACGGATTCTGACTCAGGTTCGGGTTCAGGCTCTTCCGCAACTTCTTTGTCATCGCTTTTAGGCTTTGGTTCAGCTTCAGGAGCCTTGGCTTTCTTGCCACGGCCACGAGGCTTTTCTTGTTTTGACTCAGGAACAGATTCTGGCTCAGCTACAGCTTCTGGCTCAGGCACTGGTTCTGGTTCATCTTCAACTTCTTTTTCACCGTTTTTAGCTTTAGGCTCGGCTTCAGCAACTTTGGCTTTCTTACCTCGTCCACGCGGTTTTTCTTCAACCACTGGCTTGGCTACCACCTCGTCAGTTTCCATTGCTGCATTTTTAGCATCACCATTTGAAATAACTTTTGAATTCTTGGCTTTTGCCATTATTGAAAAAAATTATAAGGAACAAAAATAAAAGAAATTAATGAAATAATTAGACAATAATGATTAACTCGTTTAATCAGGAAACAACGTTTTCAAAAATTAACAAAAGAATAAAATGAAAGATAAAAGCGCGCTAAATTCATCATTGAAGACAGAAAACTCTGCCATCTACCAACAAACAACGAAAGTTTTTACCGGCTGAATTTGCTGTATTCCTTGAGATGGCTCTGTCTTCGTTTTTAAAAATCAGCTTTTAAATTTGTTTTACATGATAATGTCCTTAATTCCTTGATTGATTCAGATTGTTGCTTAGATCTTTAATAATTTATTTTTTGATTCACTAAACCTCATTATTATGGGGACATTGTTTAAAAATCAGAATACTGACGATAATAAGAAAATGCCTGCTGAAGATATTGAAAATTTTTGTATCAAAAAAGCCAAACTAAGCATTAGCAATGGCGACTCTAATTTAGCTAAATCATGGTTTCTCGCTGCTTCAAATTTATTCCCTGATTCCCATGCTATCAAGGTAATCGATATTTTACGTTTAAAAGATGAACATTTACTGACTAAGTTTTCTTTATTTTCAATAGTTTGAACAGTATTTACAAGCGAAGGAGGAAGGACGTTTAATGGATGCATGTCGTCATTTGGATGAAATTTTTTCCCAAAAGAATCAATCAATGAGTGTTAATATTAATCAAGAGATGCAGAAAATTATAACAGCAGTTAAAGGAACTATCAATAGCCCAAGTTCAACATTTTATCGTAACCTTTTCAATTGTTTTTCGCCAGCTGCTCAACATAGACTTCTTCTTGATGTTGCTAATCTGTGTGCTGATCCAATGGAAGCATGCCAATTGATGTTGTTAATTATGAAAAAGTTTCCTAACAAAATTAACGAGCATGCTAGTAATCTGCTGCAATTGATTAAAAGAGCTGAAGAAAATCAAGAAAGTCTTAGAAACTCAGACTACTTCAACAAGTTGCTGGTTTTTGATATTTTGCCTGTTATTTTGTCTCCTGAATCAAATCTTGATACTTCACTCTCTTTAATGTTATCATTGCTGGATCGGACTATTGAATTTTATTGCCATATAAGTATCATAGGACAACTCAAAGATGAAGAGACTATTAACGATTTGCATGTCATGGATAAAGAAACCGAAGCCCGTTTCGAAGACGTTTTTAACATGTTTGGAAAGCGTCTTGGCTGGGATCTTTTGGTGTGTGAGGAACATCGGACTCAAGAGAGTTTTCTTTCTGGTATAATTCTAGCTCATCTCCAAAAAATCAAAAAATTTTTCCAAGATATTACAACTGTTAGTATGAGTTCAGAAGCCGATGGCCCTATAGATCTTAGCTCGTCCAATGCTAAAGTTGACTACAGAGGAATTCATGTTAGTCAAGTAATATATGGTGCCTTTTTACTTTTCGTACGTTGTCTTCATAAATATATGAAAGAAACTGCGGGAAAATTGATTCTCGTTGAGCAAGGAGCCTCTTACAAAGGAGATCCTGTCAAAAAGCGAAAAATTCATCTAAAATCTTCGTCACCAATCATTTTTACCGATAATTCCGAACTTCAAGAAAATTTTACTGCTGCTCTTCAGGCTATTGAATTTCTCAATCAGGATTATAATTTAATAAAAGGTAAAGTTTTGATTTTGAATCAATCAAACAATCAATTAATTCCATTTTCAATTTCAGAAACATCAACCAAGTTTCAAGCTACGAAAGTATTTGAGTCACGAGTGTATGAGATGCTCAAACAAGATTGCCTTATTTACCGGGTAAGAATGATCTCTGATGTTTCTTTCTAATTTCGTACTAATTCCGTTTTTTCATTTCAGGGTAATCATGATGAATGTGTAAAGTCTCTTGAAGCAAGTTGTAAAACAAATGTAAAGTCTTGTCTTCAATCAATTTCAGCTGCACTTATGAGCTATAATTATTCGCTTGCTCTGAAATATTCTCTCGATGGTGTTTCAATGTTAACGAAAGTTCCTGAATCCAAAGAAGAAGATGATAAACCTAAGATGGAATGCAATAATAATTATGGACGTCAAGTTGTTTTCATCAATTACAACAGAAATGACATCTTAACTTATTGCATTGAAGTTATCATTTCATGTCTGAAAGATCGTGTTCTTCTTTCTGTCAAACCATCTGACCTCGGATTAGGACATCTGATAGTTTTATCCCAATACAACTGGCCTAAAGAGGTTGATCTTTTTCTCAAATGTATTGCGACTATACGAAAAAAAGTTACTGGATCTCCTACTACAACGGTGAAATTTGTTTACCTGCATTTCTGTGATTTTATTTTCAATCCTGATATATTGGAAGAGTTCATGTCATTAGTAAATGCGAAAGGAATCACATTAGAAATCAAAGATCAGGGGAAAGGTAAAAATTTGTTTCAATTTACATGTTGATATTAATTTATCAGCCATTTTCTTAATTCATAATGTTATATTTTCATTTATTGATTGTTTTCTCTTCTCTTTCTTTACAGTAACTCCTCAAATAAGTAAATTTTCTAAATCTAAAACTATGACTACTCGAGGAGTCAACAAAAATGCCAAAGAAGAGATCAAAACAATTCTAGTAAACCAGATGAAGAAAAGCAAATTCATTTTGGAACCGTCATTGTTCACTAATTTTATTCTTGACCACGTAAAAGATCTATCTTAAGATGAAATTTAAATATAAAACTCATATATTTTATTAACAGCTTGTAAATTATCGAAAATACAGATTAAAATGTAAAGTTTTGCTTGCTAATATAACTTCAATTTTTAAATCAAAGACTGAATCTTTTATTTCTTTGGCATCTTACGATATTGAACACAAATTACTTTTTCCATCACTAATCACTTCCATCTTTGATATTATCATTCTTCTTTCTACAGTAAGCTTGAATTACAGAATATATTGTAGTTTGGCGAAGAAACTAATCACCAATCAGAAGCTCAGATCAAAGAGCAAAGGAACTCTCTACTCTTTGGCTCGGATCTGCAATGAAATTTCAGATAAAATATCAATATGAAATGAAAATATTAAAAGCCATTATCAGGTATTTCAAATTGATGCAAAGGACAGCGTTAATTCAGATTATTTACTCTAACATTTAAGAAAATTTTAGATATCGGCTGTTCATTTTGACTGATTTTGATTTTAAGCAGAACCATCCTTAAAATTATGATATAATCAAGAGATTGTCCAGAGGATGCTCTGTTAAAGATCACAATGAAATGAAGAAAGATCGCAATGGAAAGCGATAGGAAAATAAGAAAGGTAAAGAGATTTTGATGAGCATTATGATAATGATCAGGATGATATAATGTTGATCATGACGATGATTATTCGACTCTTTGGTTTACTTCGCAATGTTCACTTGTACATTTATTAGTCTCTTAATCGTTGATTTTGTATTTTTCAATTGCGCTTGCGATTAACCAGAGAGATGAAGAGAGTCTGACTGTAATTGAGAAAAAAAGAGTGAATCCACAAAATGGATATACATTGTGATAATACAACTGTCCAGGCCACGTTGATTGTTAATTATCATTATTAACTTATTCTTTTTAAATAACCAACCTTTTCCATGTTCTTCTGACCATTTCAAATATCACCATTTTACACATGATCAACATTTCCCCAATATTAATGTCAACCTGATCTGGTCTCTGATCTATTCATCACACTTTGCGTAACTGTTTTCCCTCTCTTTGCTCATTGCCTTTGTCTTTGTTTTTGTTGATGTTACCAGTAATATTTAATCAAAGAAACCTATGAATTGCGGTTGTTTATTTAATTTAATTGTTTCAAACAACAATTTTCCCGTTCTTTGACAGTTATTATTATTGTTAACAATAGCACAGGATAAAGGTTGCAATCATCTTTGTCGTGATTACCATTTCATCCTTATTTTGATGTTACCTGTTTTAACTTCGTTAGGTAAGTAAATACTTGAATTAACATTTTTTCTTATCGATTTTAACCCAATTTTCAGTGAAGCCAATCAATCAATCTTGGCTTTTTACTTATTTAAAACGATACCTTCAACCCTTTAAATTATGTTATCTTTTGACGTTCCAGACTTCTTAAACCGGACAGAAAACCCATGCGTGTCCACTTGATTGACATTGCCTGTTATACCATTTCATCTTAGCTAGTTAAATAATTGGATTTATTACCTTCTTTTAATAAACTAATTAGCAGTCCACCAACTCATTAAAATAAACAATGGACGAAAGTTTGGATGCCATGACAAACAAATTTTCAACTGTTGACTATATTGTCTTTATTCTCATGCTCGTCTGTTCCTCTGGAATAGGAATTTTCTATGCATTCAAAGTGAGTAAACCCATTTGGATTGGTATATCTTCTGCTTTCCCAATTGGACATTATTATCTTTATCAATATCCCTTTTAAACTCAGTGAAATTTTATTAATGCATACATTATATCATCCGACTGTTTGCATATCGAAAATAATCAAGTTATCTCATGCAATGTGAATATTGATTTACCGGCTACACTTGTTTTTCCTCTACGAGATTTGCCTAATATTCATCCTCAAAATTAATGTAGTTTTCCAGACTCATAGTGCTATCATATTTTTTTAATGAATAATACAACAACTCCAGTGAATGAGACTTTGATCGAAACTGTATTTACTTCCAAAAGCATCAGGAACTGGATTCCTTACCTTTTCACCATTTTTGCGGGTTTAATTTTAATATGTTTCTGTTTATTAATCGTTACTTGCTTAGTGCGTACATGTTGTCCTCGATCCAGAAGAAGATCGGGAAGAATGAAATCATCGAAAGCATCAAAAGCATACTCAGCGTATAGAAATAAACGTCGTTTAATATTGGCCGATTCCAAGAGCACTAATACAAAGACCACTCAAGAACACAGATCAGGTGCACAGTCTAAAGCTGCTGCAATCTCACACCTATTTGGTTATTAGCATCACTGGAATTATTCAAAGATATTTACTAAAGCTATTGTAGGAACTCTGACATGTAACTAGATTCTGTGACTGCCATGTTTTAAGAGTATTCAGTTAATCACTTTAGACACATCTGTGATTTGAGATTGATTTAACCATTGCAGTAATTATTCCTAGCTATATCAATCTTGAACTTTCAAAGCTGTGATTCTTGGTCAAGCTAAAGCTGAATCAATGGTCTATTAAGCACAGTAGCTAACTCAAGTTGAAGCCATTGTAATATTCTTTTACCATTTCTGCAATCTTGCAATTACATGATTAATGCTGAAAGACTACAATAAGTTTAACCTTTACATAATTAATTTGTGTCCATGAATGTATCCATTTCAATATCCTGATAATAAAAGCAAAGATACAGATTGTTTCAAATTGCAAGCCATCTGTAACTTGAGTCAAAATCAACATTAAGACTCCAATTTTAACTCACTAAACAAACAATCAAACAAGTTTTTCGTTTATTCAATTATAGCCTAAACTAATTAGCTAACCATAGACTCTTCTGCTTGCTAAACAATTCAATCTCTTTATCAGTAAACCATTTGACAATGAAATGCTAAAATCTTTTTCTTAATTTTTCCATCTCTTCTAGGGTCGTAAAAATGAATCAAGCAAGGAGTTTTTAACAGCAAACAAATCGTTGAACTGGTTCCCTGTATCAATGTCACTCTTAGCCAGTTTCCAAAGTTCTGTAACCATTCTGGGCTATCCGGCTGAGATGTACACCAAAGGAACACAATTTTGGGTTGTTATTCTGTCCGCCATTTTTGCTTCAATCACTGCTGCCGAATTGTTTCTTCCAGTTTACTTCAAACTTTCCTTTACCAGTGTTAACCGGGTAAAGTATCCATTCACTATGAATCCCAATAGCAAAATTAGATTGTTGGGTTGACATGAATTGAATGTGAAAAATCTGGTTTCATTTGTTATCCATTGATCCTGTTTGGATCATTTTTACCTCTTATTTGATGATCAGTTTTGATTGATTCATCTCTTGGAAAGGATTTCACTGAACCATACAACTATCCATTTATGAAATCAATTTTTCCCTCAATCAATAGTTTACATTAATGATTTGAATACTTTCATCTTAAGTAATCTTATTCATTAATAATACATAATTCTTTCTCGTTCTTCTGATCTCTATTTTCACCAATAAATATGTATCCATCATTGATATGGATCCTTGTTTATTGATGATTAAATTGTGATCAATTGCTTCATCAATCTTTCCCCTCATTAAGTGTATCATTACTGGTTATAACCCATATTCCCATTCATAGTCTGCTACTTTGATCAATTAACATTTAATCGTATCTTCGTCAAAATACACATGAAATTGATTATTGTTAATTTATCATTAACTGTTTCAACAAATTAAATCGTCATTGCTTGCACAGATTCACAATTGATTTTCAATGTTAATCAATCCAGTTAGATCTTTACACTTGAAAACAATTAGTCATCCTTTTGAACCCAAAATGATCAAATAGCTGCACCTTATCATGATTAATCGTCTTCTTTCCATCAAATCGATAGTTGAAAGCTTTGCTAATTTAGTCCTTTAATATACTGTTAATCGCTAACATTTATGTCCACAATCAAATACAGTATTCAACTAATTGCTCAAAGTAACCAAATAATAGAGTCTTGATTTATTTGCCAAATTGCTTTGACAACTTATGAACAATGAAAATGACATTTAAAATATCCTTTCCACTTTACCCAAATAAATCAAAAACCAGGCAAAAAACTAACCAACAGTTAACTTTCCAATAATGTAAATGAGTTTAAATGTAAAATTATCTGCACCAGACAATCTTAATGTAAGGTAATCAATCAAAAACACACACTAATAGGGCTTGAAATATCGAGGCTCATCATCATTATTTTCATGTTACTCCTTTCAAAGTCTCTAGTTTCTCAAATTTAATCATCTTTGTTTGCCTGACCATAAATTGAAAATATCAATTTAATCTTTCCACACAGTCTAATAGCTGATTCAGGAAATAGATGAAATTAAAAGCAGTCAAAACTTAAAAAACGATTGACATGAGAAATTAAAGTCTCAATACACGAAAGTCACGTAGATTATGATTTGAACTGTATGTGAACCCAATTTTCAATTCAATACTTCAACCTGAAATTCATTATTCCATATTTTTACTTCAAACTCAAGTCTTTCTAAATGTCTAATAATTTTTTTCCTTCTTTTCCTTTCAGTATTTAACAATGCGTTTTAATCGAGACAACGTCCGTTTAGCAGCATCGATGGCTTTCTTACTTGGAACCGTTCCGTACATGGGTGTAGTCCTTTATGGGCCATCTTTGGCTTTAAGCTCAGGTTCATTGAAAAATCTATTTACTAATCCATTTACTCTATCGATGCCATTTAGCTTGTTACTATCTGTTATCTGTCAGTTGATCCTCTTTTATAATTTTCAAGATTATCGCCATTATTTGACCCATTCATTTATTATTTTCAGTTCCCATTATACATTTATTTAAATAACCATTGATTATTCCCTTGAAATCCCTTTTTGATTGACTATCAAAATTACAAATATGTGTGTGTATGTAACACCAACCCTACACAGACACAGAATACACAACCTCTAAACCAATCACGAAGTCCATATAACTTAACCTGTTACTCTCGGTGCAGTGACTCCGTTGTCGGTTACCTCTTCCATCTTAATTATTGGTATTATTTGTACCTTTTACACTTCACTGGTAAGTCCATTACTAACAGAAATCTCGTTATCCTGAACCCTTTCCCGGGAACCACCGAAAAGAGACATTTTCAGACATTACAGACAGACATTCAGTAAATTGTTCCCTCTCTCAAACTAAATTAGATTGTTACAATTTTCTATTAATCATTTATTGCATATATTTTCCATCAAATAATCGATATCCAGACTTGTATTATTAATAGAATCAAGTCGAGAACCATTGACATTAATTTTTTTTAAGGAGACGACTTTTTTGTCAATAATTTTTGTTGGTGAAATTGTAATGATATTTAATTACAATTTATTAATGATTGTTGAAAATGTTATTTCCATGTTGACTTATTTTAATTAGTTAATCAATAAGTGGTCAATTTATCTCTTTTGTTAAATACTTTAACCGTTAATTTAACTTCTGTTGAGCCAATTTAGTCCCGACCAATTTTTATATCAATCAGGATAATTAATCTCTGTGCTTCATGTTTTTCAGGGTGGAATCAAGGCTGTCGTATGGACTGATACAATGCAAGTTGGTCTTATGTACATTGGACTAGTTGCCGTTATGTTAAGGGTAATTAACCATTGATGTCCATCTTGTAATCGATGAAAATACTCGCTTATATTAACATCTATTTGAAACTGATTTAGGCTTTCTATCTGGTCGGTGGTGTTGGTGAAGCTTTTCGTATTGCTGCTGAAAGAGGCAGAATTGAATTTACCAAGTAAGTCTGATTAGTGGTTTGCTTGAATAATCTAGTAAACTAATTATTATCATTTATTTCAATCTTTTCTCGGTCGGATTTCATCGGATTTGCCTCTGATAAACAAAATGGTTATTAGCTTTGAACTTGATGTTTCAAAGACAAACAACTTCTGGAACTCAGTTCTTGGAATGGGAATTATGTGGTGTGGCAATTACTGTACAACACAAACTGAAGTTCAACGTTATTGCAATACCCAAAGCCAGAAGAAAGCTAAATTGTATGTTTTGTCAACAGATAAAATCACTATGATTTGCTGAGCTTGCTTATCTGGAATTGTTAAATATTGGTCAAGTTTAATGTACATTTTGTTGCATTCAAGCCTGATGAACAATATTACAGAAAATTATAGCGTACTTTTATTGATTTTTTGTTTCATTTTTGTTTATCAAACCTTATCTTTATTTTTCCTCTTTTTTATTATTACAGAGCATTGTACGTAAATCTAGTTGGTGTTATACTCATGATTAGCTGTGCATGTCTTTGTGGTATTGGAGTGTTTGCTTATTATGCTGATTGCGATCCTCTCAAAGCTGGTAAAATATCTAAAACAGACCAGGTAAAATTTGATTCTGATCAGTATCCAGTTTCATTATCCTTTTTATTATTACTTAATAATGTTAATGAAACATTCATTATAAATGATAATATTTACTCCAATAACTATCTGTGATAACTTGTTTGCTGTTTATCTTTTCAGCTCATGCCTTACTTTGTAATGGACACAATGTCTGAATTCAAAGGTTTACCTGGAATATTTGTTACTTGCGTTTTCAGTGCTTCCCTTAGTACTCTATCATCCGGTTTCAATGCTTTATCTGCAGTAACTTGGGATGATTTTCTTAAAGAAACTCGTCTTGGATGTCTGAGTGAACAAAATCAGAAAAATTTCAACAAAATAACTGCCATTTTCTATGGTATCTTGTCAATTCTGATGGCATTCATTGTTGGACAGATTGGCTCTGTTTTAAAGGTACACTTGACTTATTCATTCAATTTAATTCTGATTCTAATCTTTTCATTTGATATTTCATTTTCTTCAGGCTGCTATATCCTTGGCTGGTTGTTTAATTGGTCCACTTCTTGGGATCTATCTTAGTGCCATTCTCTGTCCATTTGCTAATTCAAAGGTGCGGGAGATTATTATATAAACGTATTTGGTTGACTAATCTGTTTTCAATATGTTTCTAGGGTGTTATTTCGGGTTTAACATTCGGAGTTTCATTTGGATTTTGGGTCCTTATCGGTTCACTTGTTTATCCAGCTAATGATGATTTCAAGGAAACATTAATCACTGGTTGCCCTGCCAATTTCATATCAAACTCAACTCTAATTGTTGATGATGTGCTCGAAAATCAACCATTTTTCCTGAAATTATACCAAATAGCATTTCTTCTCGTGCCTGTCACTGGTTTTATTATATGTCTTTTCGTTAGTTTTGTAGCTAGTCTATTAACTGGTAATTTATTATTCAATTCATTTCAATTTATGCTTTCATCGAAATACTAACTTTTATTTTTTAATTTCAAAGGTGGTCTAAATGATGTAAAACATGTAGATCCAAATACATTGAGTCCATTAGTTTGGAAAATTTGGCCTGAACGACTTTTGCCTCCTAAATCAGATAGTTCTAAAGATAAAGAGGTAAAGATGAAATAATATTGAAGATATATGAATATGATATGTGAATATTATTGAAATATTGATTCAATTTTACAATAATCTTAATGGTTTACGCTATTGATCGTATCTGACTTTTGACTTTAATGAATTAATTTGTCTATTTTACTTCCTTCTTTACAGGTTATTGAAATATCCGTTAGAGGAATGAATTCTGAAAACCTGATTACCTGATATCATCTAGAATTTAGGAAAATGTTGTTCTTTTTCATCCTCCTTTACTTTGGCTGTCTTTTTTCAATATGTATATGTAGATATACATTATGTTGATTTTTTTTCTATGGAACATTATTTTGGGAATTAAGCTAAAATATACTTATTAAGTTAAGAAGAGCTAAGGAAACAAATTTGTAACTGCATCTTAAAGACAAGTTTCACACACTGTACGTTGAATCTAAATGGACACAAAAAATCATCACCACTCACTCAAACTAATTATTGGAAACACGCATATTTAACATAACAATTAATGTTATTATGAATATTATTATAACTAATATTATCAAGAATAATCTGCAAATCGAGAAAGAAACATGTTAAAATCAAGTAAAACAAAACGAAGTCAAGAAAATGAATTATTGTCTCTTTATTTCCTCTTTGTTTTAAGTTTAACTGATGATTTTCAAGAGGAATACTTAACGCAAAACTGTGGCACAAAATAAAATTAAAATTTTTCTCTATTAAATGTTTTCACCAATTTAATTTTCAAACAATCATTCATTTACAATCTTGAGTGGTCTTGTCGAATAGCATTCTCATAATGAAACTCATGAGGAAACTCCTCAGGTTGAGTTATGAAAAACCTTACTGGTATTACATCTGTGTTGTATGTCTGTCTCTGTTATATTTGGGTTTAAAATTTGGACATTTTTGCTATAAAAATATTTGATTGGGAAAATAAATTGATTTAAGGGCTAAGAGTTACAGTCCACTGTACCTCGGGATAAATAGGGGTAAATAGGAGAGAAAATGTTGTGAGGTTTCTAGGTTTGGGTTTTGTGGAGTTTTACTGAAAAGACATTGACACAAATGGGCAAAAACGAGTAAAACGGATTTATTTCATTGAAATTTATACTGTGTAGGTATGTAGGCAAAAAATCAGTCCATTTGTGTGATTTAAAAATTTGTGTGATGAGTAGTTTTAAGAAGGAAGGAAATAAAACATCTAAATTAACAAGGATAATTTAGAGTTAATTTATATTCTTTAACCTAAAATTGGGTTTACAAATATTAGGTTGCTACTAACAAGACACAACACAGTTATCATATTTATTTACAAACCGAAACAAATGGGCAAAAACGGGTAAAAATTAATTTCTTTCAAATTACGACTCTTTAGGTTTGTAGGGACATATAAACTGAGCTCATTTTTGCGATTAAAGATTTCTCACATCGGTAGTTCTCGAGAAAATTGAATTCGAAGTTGAAACTTGCATAGCTTTTTGTAAAACTACGGAAGCAAATTTTTTCATGAAACTCAAACTACTGAAGTAAATTTTGATGATGAACCAGAAAATGCACTTATTTTGGATAATAAAACTTTTCTTTTTCTGTAAAATAGGTTAGTTCGATTTTTAGTTAAATCGACCGCATTCTGTGACCATAATAGTTAGAAAGCTGAAACTCATTATTTGTCGATAGAAGTAGTTGGTACACATTATGCATTAAATAATTTTAATAATTTAAAAACAGTTTTCTTGATTTCGACCATTGACCTGAAAACTTTGAGCCTGGCTATTTCGAGAATGGTATTTCCTGCAATCATTATTCTTTCGCCAATCTAATCCTTTACTAATTACTAATCCAATTCAATTTATTAAGTTTGCATTAGCGCGTTTGGTTTGCTAGTTTTGGGCTAATAATGCACGAGAAACAACTTATTGGTAAATGAAGCATTTTTCTGGTTAAACTGCAAAATGAAATGCAAAGAGTGATGTAAAAGGCTCGAACATTTGAGCAAAGACTCGAGACTTGGTGGGTTTTGTAGGGACATGCAAACTGTGCCCATTAGTACTTTTAAATATTTCATCCGATGGACAGTTTTCTAGAAAATCGATGTCAAAGTTAAAACTTTGATCGCCCTTTGTGCGACAATGGGAGCAGATTTGCTATTGAAACTTATTTTACTGAAGTAAATTTTGATAAACAACCAAAAAATGTACACATTTTGAGAAAAAAAACTTTTCTTTTGCCGTAAAACAGTTTAGTTCGATTTTGATTTAAAACGCCCGCATCCTGTGACCATAATGTTTAACGATCTGAATTTCATTATTTGTCAATGAAAATTTCTGCTTTACATCATGGGTCTAATACTTTTAACAATTTGAAAACAGTTTGCTTGATATCGACCATTAGTAGCTGAACTTTGAGCCTGGTTATTTCGAGAATGGCATTTCTTGCATCATCATTCTTTCACCAATTTAATCCTTTACTAATTAATAATCCAATTCAATTTATTAAGTTTGTATAAGCGCGTTTGGTTTGCGAGTTTGGGTTAATAATGCACAAGAAACAACTTATTCAACTAAACAAACTCATATTAACACATATCTTGGTAAATAAAGCATTTTTCTGGTTAAACTTGAAAATGAAATGCAAAGAGTGATGTAAAAGGCTCGAACATTTGAGCAAAGACTCGAGACTTAGTGGGGTTTGTAGGGACATGAAAACTGTGTCCATTAGTACTATTAAATACTTCATTCGATGGACAGTTTTCTAGATAATCGATGTCAAAGTTGAAACTACGATCGCCTTTTGTGCAACAATGGAAGCAAATTTTTTCACCAAACTTATTTTACTGAATTATTTTATGATGACCAACCAGAAAATGCCCTTATTTTGAGAAACAAAACTTTTCTTTTGCCATAAAACAGATTAGTTCGATTTTGATTTTAACCGATCGCATACTGTGACCATAATATTTAACGATCTGAAACTCATTATTTGTCACTAAAATTGTTGCTGCATATTGTAGATTGAATATTTGTTTCAATTTTTCAACAGTTCTCTCGATTTTGGACCTTTGTGCTGAAAAATTTGCGGCTCGATATTTCGAGAATGGCTTTGCCTGCAGCCGTTATTCCTTCACCAAACACTAGATTTGATTATAGACTAAAACAGTACAGGATTGAACATCGGTTGCAATTCGAGCTTATTCATTTAATTACAGAGAATTTTCTTACGCCAAAAATTTCTGCTTGGTAACCATTCAACTTAACAAAACAAGTTCCACATCTTAAAACATAAGTAATACAACGCTATAACTTTTTACGTAAAGATTCGAATGTTTTGATATATTAAAATATTATAGCCCATAATGAGATCTAATGTTTGGTGAAGAAATAACGGCTACAGGCGAAGCCATTCTCGAAATATCGAGCATCAAAGTTTTTAGCACAATGGCCCAAAATCAAGAGAACTGCTGAAAAATTGAAACAAATATTTAATGCACAATATTCAGCAACAATTTTCAGTGACAAATAATGAGTTTCAGATCGCTAAATATTACGGTCACAGAAAACGATCGGTTTAACTCGAAAATCGAACTAATCTGTTTTACAGAAAAAGAAAAGTTCTGTTTCTAAAATAAGAGCATTTTCTGGTTGATCATCAAAAGATGCATCAGTAAATAAAATTTCATGGCTAAATCTGCTTCCATTGCTGTACAAAAGGCGATGGAAGTTTCAACTTTGACCTCGATTATCTAGAAAACTATCCATCGTATGAAGTATTTAATAGCACCAATGGACACAGTTTTTATGTCCTTACAACCCCCACTAAGTCTCAACTCTTTGCTCAAATGTTCGAGCCTTTTACATCACTCTTTGCATTTCATTTTGCAGTTTAACCAGAAAAATGGTTTAGTTACCAAGATAAGTGTTAATATGAGTTTGTTTTGTTGAATAAGTTGTTTCTTGTGCATTATTAACCCAAAACTCGTAAACCAAACGCGCTAATGCAAACTTAATAAATTGAATTGGATTAGTAATTAGTAAAGGATTAGATTGGCGAAAAAATAATGATTGCAGGAAATGCCATTCTCGAGTTATTAAGGCTCAAAGTTTTAATTCCAATGGCCAAAATCAAGAAAACTGTTGTTTTATTGTTGTAACTATTTAGCTCATAATGTGAACTGGTAACTTCTACTAACTATTATTAAGTTTCAGCGCGCTAACTATTTCGGCCACGGAATGCGATCAGTTTAAATCAAAATCGAACAAAACTGATTTACGGCAAAAGAAAAGTTTTTTTTCTCAAAATGTGTACGTTTTCTGGTTGTTTATCAAAATTAACTTCAGTAAAATAAGTTTCGTGGAAAAATCTGCTTCCATTCTTACACAAAAGGCGACCGAAGTTTCAATTTTGACCTCAATTTTCTCGAAAACTACTCATCAGAGAAATTTTGCAAATCACACAAATAGACTGAGTTTTTATTCCCTACAAACCCACCTAGTCTGAATTTCAATAAATCTAATTTTTACCCGTTTTTTGACCACTTGTGTCAATGCGTATACAAATGTGATAATTGTGTCTTTTTACCCACAAAACCCAAATCTAGAAACCTCACAACCTTTTCTCGCCTATTCATCCCTTTGTCCCTTTACCTCTTAGCCCTCAACAATCAATCTTAATATTTTATTGTAAAAATGTCCATTTTATAAACCCAAATATAACACAGATGTAATACCAGTAAGGTTTTTCATAAGACCTGAGGAGTACCCTTACTAGTGCAAATGCATTATTAGAATGCTATTTGACGAGCCCAGTCAATATTGTAAATGAATGATTATTTGAAGATTAAATTAGTTAAAACATTTTAATAGAGAAAAATTGTAATTTTATTTTGTGCCACAGTTTTGCGTTAAGTATTCCTCTTGAAAATCATCAGTTAAACTTAAAACAAAGAGGAAATAAAGAGACAGTAATTCATTTTCTTGACTTCGTTTTCGTAATTCGGGAATTCTTCTAATTTCTTTGGGTGACTTCTCTTTTCTCGACGGTAGTGAGTAAAATACCATCACAGCACCATTTGATAGAGATATTTTGAAGATTATTTCGGCCTAAAATTTCTTGGTAAACTTTCCCCCACCGAGACTCACTCCTTACTGTAAAAAACGCAAGATTCGCCAAAGTATACCAAACAGAACTTTGACATTTTCTCCATCGAATGGCATAACGACAGACTTTCTCCCACTTACAGTTGTTCTTCAATAAACGCATCGCTGCAGCAATATTTCCTCGAGACGACTGTTGAAGATACAGTTTCAATTCGCAGCTATAGATGGCCGTAGCAGCTCTGAAGTATCCGAATCCTTAATTCCCTATTCAATAACTGCTACAGTAGTCTATTAAGATGTTAGATGAAATTGTACTGTTTAAATTAAAACATATTTGAATGCAATGGATCTTTTGAACGAGCTGATCTTAATTTGATACTTTGAGCGATTGAAATTTAGCTAATAAGGTGAAATAGCAAAGAAACAGAGAACAGTAAGATCTTTGATTCATCCATAGATGGCATTAGCTCATCTAATAAAAACCTATTTTGTATTTCGTTATTGGGAAGACTGAAGCAAAAATCTAGTGATTCTAACTAATTGTAAATGATCGGTTAATTTGAAGATGATCAGGCAATGAAAATAACGTGAGTACCCGTTTTTAATCAGCAATTAACGAATCGCAAGAAACGATCGATCGATTGAACGACAACTGATTGAACATGACATGAAAATAGCCTAACTAACTGATTATTATTTTGCCATTTTTCATTTAATTTTGATCCAGGTGATCATATTGAGAAGACTTCAAAGACAAATTGTTTGTCCTCTTATTGTCGTTTAACAATTACACATTGACTTGTTCATTCATTTAATGACTGTAACTGTTAATCAATTTGTTTCTTGTAATTTCAATGTATTTTTGATAGTTTTGATTGAATACTTTTTAGCCTTTTGTAAATATTACATTTTGTATAAGTTTCAAAATTGATGAAAGTGTTATGAATTTTGGAAATGATTGAAGTCAATTGTCTTTTGTGTTTTATGCTAATATTAATGAAGTCAATGTTTCTGTGATCACAATGGTTCCTCGCTTCACCAATTTTGCCAGTCAAACCAATAATTAAAATGAACTACTGATAAAATAACCTGAACACGGGTATCAGCAACATGAAGATGTTGGAGGGATTAATTTCACATGTAAATAGGAGTCAAAATAAATTGTCATAACTGATATAATCATTAATTGGACAAGATGATGAAATCACCAGCCATTAATTATTTACCTTATTCTGTGTAATTAATTTTTAATCTTTCATTACCTTGACACGCAAAAATTTTGACTAATTAGCATAAATTAATGATTCTTTTTCTTTCCTTTTCTCTTTAATGGAAACTATGCATGAAAAGATAACAAGAGAGACTGAAAAATTAATCTCACCTTGAACCGGTGAGTATCCAAATTAGTTGAAAGTGAAAAGTTAAAATCATAATTAGAGTGAAATTGAAAAATTAAATGTTGAAAAATGTCACCAAACGGAGTCAAAGGTGAATTCAATTTTAGCGCAATTTTTAGCCGCCAAATCAGAAGGCAGCAGAAGAGGAGACTTGTTTATCAATTCATTTCGCATTTACTGTTTCATCTTGGTGTTTATCAGAGTGGACAATTTCAATCTTTCTTGGTGGTCTTTTTTAATCTTCTCCTCCTTCTCTTAAAAAGTGATAATTGGTGATGAGATGAGAAAAGGAATCTTTGTTATTCATTCTACCTTAAAGTTATCCCCATTATTTAATTTCTCTCTGGTTCATTTGAGACTCATTGGTTCCCATCGGAGAGCAAAGCAAAGCGAGCAAAGATGAATGAACAGGTAGATCTTTCTCTTGAATCAATACTTACCATTATCATCATTTGGTATCTTCTCTGTTCAGTCAGCCATTTCGTTATTCGTTATTCTAACCTACTCCTCCTCTTCTTTCTCCCAAACTCTTTTTTTTAGTTACATGGTTCCTTTTGGTTGTACTTTTGCCTCTTTACATAAATCTATTTGCTATATGTATGTCTACACATAACTGAACTGGATTCCAAAACCATAGGAAGAGAAGCTTTAACTTTCATTGTCACCGGTCCGAGCAAGTTTTCTGTTAGAGATTCAATAATCATCAGCCTGGAACACTTGATAAGATAAGTTAATAATGGAATACATCTTAAATTGCTGTTTCAACCTTCAATTGCTGCTGGTGGCTTTTCACTTGTCTTTTGGCCTACCTGTTTCTTTGTCAATGATGTAATCTAAATGGTATCAGTAAAATGTATTTGCAGATTCCTTTTGCCGTTTTCATGGCCAGAAAAAAATAATTCAACAACAAAAGCCTCGTAACCTATGGTTTCTAATCTAATATATTACCTGCTTAATCAATTAGACCATTAAGTTTTATCTCACGGGAAGATCATCACCATCATTTGATAAGGAGACAAGTCATGGGTTTCTGCCTTTTCTTTCGCTATTTCAAACAAAGTTATACCTTCCAATTGTCCATCATTCATGAGATAAAAATCATTTTTGATTTGCCTCCGAGAATTTGATTACATTTTGGGGGCAACATAAGTTATGTTATAAATCTATACACACAGTAAGAAAATGATCAGCACATATCATCAAATCCTTCAAAATTTAAATGAACTTTACTGTTTTGATGGATTGAGTTAATTTTAATTTCATTTTATTCGTCATCTCTCATTGTTATTCATATTCAACCAATTGAATGATTTAACTATTTATAGTGAAATTGATAAAATGTAAATTAGGTTGAATGAACTTGTAACATTTATGTTATCGTTTAATACGAGAAAACAAGAAACGATTTATTGATAAATATACATTGAAATATTGTGCAAATGGAATTAATTTAAATGAATATTAAAAGGAAATGATCATTTTTACCATTGAATTTTAGTTAATTTTTGTTGTAAAGATCTATCTGATTTCTTCAAGTCATATATTTGGTGTAAAAGGAATACAGTTTAAATAAATTTTATTTAGATAGCCTTTTACCTTGATTAATATAATGATACAGATAATTTAAGTTAACTTATTTAATTACACTCTGTTATTGGAATTAAATTTGTCAAAGATAAGTGTGCATACATGTATCAATGTATGAGGTTGTTGAAGTACGTTGAAAAATGATGATGAAAATTATATTGAATGATTATGAAAAATCCATAAAATGATCATCAAAGTCATAAAGATATACCTAAACAGATATTACATTTTATAAAAAAATATATAAACTAACGAAATGGATGTAAAATAATGAAGAGGAAAACAGATGATTTTAATGTTGTTGATGATGACGATGATGATGATTATGATGATAGTGGTGGAAAAAATGGAGATGTTGATGATTAAGAAGCAACAAGTTAAATGGTTAAGTAGAGAAGGAAAAAGGTTAACAGCGTAACTTAACATCAATACATTTCAATGGCTCAAGTTTCCACCGACAACTGGTTCTACCTTTCCATAAACCATTTAAACTATTAACTGACAGTTATCGAATTACCAATATAATTCTGAATATAATTTCTAATACAAGAGAAATATTTCGAGAGGTTACCTTTCTTTTTCTCTCTCTATTTCCCCTCTTCATACCTTCATCATTTAAACAAAATCATCTTGAAGCAAATACGTAGCATACAGACTCAACATGATATTGAAATTTATAAACCCCTGCAGGTTATGCTTTCTTTCTTCTGCTTCAATAATCTTTATGATAGACAACTAGGTTTGATCGGTAGTCCCTTACTGGTCCTGCAACCCAATATCAGTAAAGATCTTAAAGATGTATAGCTTCTTTGTCTTCATCTTCAACATTCTCTTTCATCTGCTTGCCTTGCCTTTTCCTTTTGGATCATCTGGCTTTTTACCTGCCACCCAAGGTTAACTCGCTGTGGTAAGCACCCTACTATGAACTCATTTTGTTTTGTGGACAATTTTTATCAATTGTCATTGGTCTTTTTATTGATTGAATAATATCAAACCTAAAAAAGATGGATAAAAAACATAGGCAATAATAAGAAAAGAATTGAGGTTTACTATAAAAAAAATATAATATATTGAGTGAATTATTTACCTTATTTGTGTTGAGTGTGTGATGCTGATGATGATTGTGATGAAAGTGGATTGTTGATTGTCGTTTGAAATTGACAAAGGATCGACAAAGCAAACTATCATCACTAATATAATCATTGTCATAAACATCACCGCCAGCATCACCATTTGTGTTTGATTTTCAGAAGTGCAATTAGATGATTATAAAATTGATAGAAAAAAATTTGTTTCCTTTCGTCTCCTTTGTTTGTCTCCTTGTTGTCCGGACCTTACATCTTGAAAGGTGAAGATCTTTACAAGCCTTGCTTTAGCCAACAAGCAAATAATCAAAATTGATTGGAGTCTCCAAGACCTTTCATCATCATTAGATCCACCGTTTGTTTATTGTTGTTATTGTTATTATTGCCTTTGTTGATTCTTGGGTTAACGTGAAAATGACCATTGAAAATTATATCTGCTAATATGTATAGCGAAATGGACTCTTGGGACACAAGAAAGGCAGAGAACAAAGCAAAATCAGGTAAAGTTCTGTTAGGAAATAAGACAAGACCAAAGGGTGTTGAAGAAAATGATTATAAGAATCTTGAAGAAAGAAATCTTTTGTTGACAAAATTACCAGAACAGAATTGGCCAGAAAAAAAAGTTGGTGATGCTTTTTTGCCAACCTACCTTGATCCTCATTATTGTCCTGATTTGTTTTGAGGAGACAATAGAGTGAAAAAAGGGGAAAGAAAGAGGAGAAAGAGAGGAGAAAGGAGACACTTTCACGGCAAAAAGTGAAGAATGAGAAACAGATGAAGATCCCATGCAGGGAAGCAAAGCAATTTAGGACTTCTGTAGCGACCAAAGGGACTCAAGGATCCATAAAGCTCTGTGGCTTTTTCATCAATGTAACTCTGTCATAGGAGCAAAGGGAAGAGTTAAGCAAAGTCATATACTAACCTGTTCACCTTGTTACCATTGGGAGCAACAGTTAAAGAGACTGGTAATTAAAGTAATATTTGTCCTGTCCAAATAATAAGGGACAAAGGTGGAAGGTGGAAGGTAAAAAAGACACAAGATCAAGAACAAGCTTTCTGTTTACTTCTTTTGCTCTCTGCATAAGCATATCAATAAGCCTTGATCCTAACGCTATCTTTCGTCTTAGATTGACATTTCTTGATTATTTTTTATTTGTTACTTTATTTTCGCATTTTTATCATAATACTTTATTTTATTTATTTTCGCTCTCTTTTGCTTTTCCACTGGCAACATTATTGTCATACATGTACAAGCTTACCTTGAGTCAACAGTCATTTTGTAGGTAAACAGTGCCTAAGGGTAAGACAATAACATGGGAAATTTTAGACAGGACTTTCTCTTTGGTCTTCTACATTCAAGGGTCACAACCACATTTCAAAGCTTCCTCTTCGTCTTTTTTTGCATTACTTTCATCATCATCACCATCATCTTCGTCTCATCGTCATCCACATTTACCTTTTGCTTATTTATCCTGCCTCATGTGATCTTTTCATTATCGTCATCATCACACTCATCTTTAAATCATCTATTTAACATTACCTGTTTCTCCTCACTTGATTCAACTGTCAACATTTTTTTCCCTTCTTCTTATGGATCATTCAGGGCTTCATTTTTATTCTTAATGATGATGACGATATATTTTTTTGCTATTTCTCTTCCTACCTGGCTAACACGATGATCCCTCATCCGTCATCCTTAGTCATAGATATGATGAATGCATAAATATTTTGTTGGCAATGGATTTACATAATTGTGGTTACCGGTTGGGTTAATGTTTTGTCACACACCGAGACTGAAAGAGGAATGAACAAAGCTTAATCCAACCTTTGATTAAGCTTAATTGTTGAGAATTGGTCTCACGTTTTTTCTTTCCATACCTTTCCTAAGACAAGACCTTTCAAAATCATCTTCCCATCATAATTATAATAATCAGAATCATTTCTATCATCATAATGTCATTTTCATTGGAATTGAAGTCAACAAGGAAAAAAAACAACAACAAAATGAAAAGGCAGAGGAAAAAGTGTCTGAATAAGATACTGGAGGAGGTTATCATTTTGGTTAAGGTTAATTTTGCAAGCTCAATCAAATTAGGGTAAAGGTTTAAATTATCATGTTAATAAGGTATGAAAAAAGGAAATAATCTAATATGTAAAACCTGAAAGTCAGAATAAAAAAAACACCAAGAAAGCAACAATAAAATTTGACAAGGTTGTTAACATATAAATATTTCCCAACGAAAATAATAGCTGCTTGATTCTTTAGGCAATACAATATAATATTATAATAATCTGGTCAGAGACTGAAACTATTAGAATATTCATAACTTAATATGTTAACAACATTAGTTTCATATTCATGGTTATAATGAAAAAAATTAAAAAATATCTATCCAGCAAAACATATATTCATTTCAAGCAAGCGAGGCGATATTTTTCATGATAGAGAAAAAATAATTCAGTTTTTTTGCCTTCAACTCTTCAACTCTTCATCATGACAGCATCAGATAGTCTGTCAATTATCAGAAGCTGATATTATATAAATATATATTCAACGAGAAGAGAAAGCCTTCTTTCATCACATTTTCACGATAAAATGTTCTCATTTCTATCATCATTATAATCGTTTCTCTCTTGATCCATCTCTCTCTTGTTAACAATTTAACTGTATAACAGCTTGCTTGGATGATAGACTCAATTGATGATGGTTTATGGTGATGAAGATGATCATCAAGATGATAGGGAAAAAAAATAATGAGCATCAAGATCAATTGCAATGCGTTTTAATGTTCCAACTTGGTAACTACCGAAGATACTCATGATTTTGTCCTGATTCTTATCAACAATCAACCCCAAAATAACTAACCATCAAAACAGCAGCTTCATTATTATTATTAATATTATCATCATCATCATTTTCATCAGCAGTAACAAACAACATCATCCATTGACTTTAACTTGTTTTTGCATGATTTTGTTTTTTTCCTTCCAAATTGATGTGGATGTAAAGATGAAAATTAAAGATTGTAATTGCACAGCAAATTGCTCTATTTCAGGTTTCCCTGAATTAACCATGAAATCCTAAAAGAATCAGAGGAAAGCAGAATAATTTTAATAGCACATTCGATAATGAAAATGTTTAGTGGAAGAAATAAAAGATTCAAATTTCAAGAATTTACTCTTTTTTTCTTCTTCTTCCAAACATTTCAAGCAAAAAGTTGAGTACTTATTAGATTTGGTTTTAATCCTTAGAGATGATGGAAATTAAAGACATTTGATTGTCCGGAAATGAGCTGAAAAAGGTTCAACATTAATTAGCATTAGCAGTTATAACAATTGGTTGATAATAACAGTCCAATAATGGAGTAAAAAATGTTCAAATTATGATCCATTAAATCATCAATTTCCTGCTGTTTGTTGGCATCCTTTGGATTCCATTGACAATGTGATAACTTCTGGTCCTGATAAGAAAAGGAAAAATGTATTAACTTTTGATCGATTTTATCGTAATTGACTTAATTAGTTATTGTGAAGTCGTAAAAAATTAAACCATTGAACTGTTATACCAATTGTGAGCTTACTTTCTGATTGAATAACTGCGTGTTTAAATGTTGCCTTGTTCATTAATTAGTGAATTGAATGGGTAAAAATTAATAAACTGGAAAAATTTTATCAATTCTAATCCATCTGATCTGTGAATAAATGAACAGCAATGGTGAGCCTTGAGATACTTGAATATGGAGAGTAAAAAACGCCTAATCACAATTAAACAGGACCATCATCATTAAAGAATAGAGTTGGCAGAAAAAAAAGAGTAAAATAATCCATCAGAAGCTATTTTGTTCAATAACTGCTCTTGTAATTCCCATCCTATTAGCCATCATCATCATTATCATCATCAGCTTTTTTCTCGCTCCTCAAACCAATCAAGGTTCATCTCATTTGTATTAACAACAGGATCACCATGAGCATCATTGAGAAGATCTGAAGGAGCAAAATTAGCCAAGATTCATTATTAGAGAGATTATGAAAAGTTAGCGAGTGAATAAGTGAAAATCATCAATAAAAAAGCAATCTCAACAAAGGTTTGTAATGATATTAATGGAGATAATAGAGGTAAGATGAGGAATAACAAGACCAGCATCTTAAAATGAGTAGACAAGATGGAAGCAAAAAAATATGTTGGCCAAAAAAACAAAAGATTTTTACAAGTTGAAGGTTTGATTTTTTGCTCGTAATTCTGTGTGATTCTTGCTTCTATGTTGATTTGATTGTTGCCTGGAAATGCAGTTCGGGTTGGAATTGAAAAAGTCGAGAAATTGTTTAAGGATTACAGTTTTTATGGTCAGTTTTTATGCCAAAAGATGATAGGAATGAGAGGTAAATAGAAGCTTTTAAATTGTATTAGATAATCTCTTGCTTCTTCTTCTCTCACCCTTTGTAAGCTATTCTGGCCTTTTAACAACTCAACTTGGACTTGTCTTTCCCTTCACATTTATCTTCATCAGCATCTTTATCATCTTCATCTTCTCACTTGTTAGGTACTAGATGTGGGTCTATTGTCTTATTTGCAGGGGTGGCCTTAACGAGACTAAATCGTTCAATAAGACCAAACAATAACAGCAGCAACATAAATACATATTAATATATTACTGCTGTTATTATTGTTTTTTTGTTAATGTTATTGTTGAGTCAATTTTGAAAGAGGATAAAGATGAAGATGATGCTGTGATTGGGGTGGAGTGGGAGGGGATGAAAGTGAAAGACTTGTCAAGATATTCTGGCTACCCTGAGTTTCCCTCTCTATTTTGATTGCCAATCAAGATTTACTTCTTAAGAAAAGTGAAATCACTGTGATGATGATATACGTTGAAAACATTTTCTCACTAAATATCTAAACAAATGAGAAAGGAAAACAAGTAAAATCTTGAAAAGTCTTAACGATTGAAATAAAAAGACTTAAACAATCACAATTGGTAGCCACATTAGTCCTTGGAATGGTGCTCATGATGGCGATGGTGATTGCAATTGGTGATGATCATTATTGTACTTCTTAGCAAGATTAGAGAAAAAAAGACCAAAGCAAAAAGGGCAGAGACCAAAATAAATCTTGTTTTAGTGTTTTCTGTAAGAAAAAAAAATTTTGTTAGAAAATAGTTTTGGATTAAAATAAAGTCCAATGTAAGGAGTAAACTTTTACTTACTTGTTTTTATATTGATATTGATGCTTGAACCGTCAACTCAAGAGTTGTTGCCTGTAATAATAATCATAATAGTAATAATAATGATGATAATAACAACAATAATGGTAATAGTAATAACACATCTAAAGTTAAACTTTTAAAATTCCATTGGTTATAACTGTGAACTTTTTAGTTAACATCAACCTTTTTTTACCCAACACACATATATTTTTGTGTACATACACATACATGAACAGGACTATCGCGGCCATTAAATTAGATAAGTAGAGGGAAGAGTGAAAAGGTAACAATCCAAAGTTATTTCTCTTCAATTTAACCATAATATTTTTATGATAAAATGAAAGTTCTTTTCGATTTGAAGGTCATCAAACCTTTTTTAGCTCTTTTCCTCTTTAAATTTGCTTCCAAATATTGCTTTTCTGAACTCCGTAAATGAGATTGACTTGATTTCTTGGAACCTACAAATAAAAGTAAAGCAAAGTTCATGTTAAAAGACTTGCTATGACACTTAAACATAGACTTGAAGGAACGGGAGACAATTCAATAATCGTAAAACTGGAAATATATTTACCGGATTGAGTCAACTCAACAATTAAGGTGCTTGGTAATTAAATCCTGCCAATTCTAGTTACGCTATATGTCTAGGTGATTATGATAAGGTAAATCTGGTCATGTTGAATGGTAAAATAGACTTTGTCCTCATTATTGCCTGTTTGCCACCAACGACCAACTTAACGAAGGGTTGCCTGGTAATTAGAAGAAAAAATGACACAAAAGGCAAGATGAATTGGTGAGTTTTCTCAGTGAATCCGACGAAGGGTCAGCAGAGTGAAGCAAGATAGTTATAATTAAGAAATAGTTAGAGAGAAACATTTTTGACTGGAAAAGATAGTGAAGAAGCATAAAAAGACTGATCATCCATAACCCTACCTACCAACATAACCTTGACTTAGTGATACATTTTGGGTTACATTTCAGTGTTCAGGGTTAATGGCTAATAGCCTGGATTGCTTTTGGTGGTAGGCTGGGTCAAGTTGAAAGGTAAAGTTGACAAACCTTAAACAAAAAGTTGACCCAACAAACATCAAGACTATTATGAAAGTCTGCACCTTAAACACAAGAGCCTTCTCAGTGGGATACTTTTGGTGTGATGTCTTTGGCGATTGTCATTAAGATTGGGAAAAAAGAGTGAAAAACAGAAGAGCAAAAAAAAGAGGAAAATAGAGTTGAATAGAAACAAGAGAAAAAAAGTGTTCTGTAAAAGAGACAACATGAATAAACATGATAAAAAGAAAAGAAGAAACAAAAATTACCCGAAAAAAACAGGACCAGGCGATTGAAAGGCCAAAGGATTGATAGAGAGCTGTTGGCCTCTGCTGTTTCAAGAGGAAATCCATTTCCGATTTATTGCGATGATAAGAAAAACATTTGAGAAATGCATTTCCTTTTTCACATTCCTTTGTAACATCATAAAATTATGAATTGCTGTGCATCTGAACTAATTTTTTGCCACTAAAGTTTGAAATTATTGTCTAAATAAACTTGCACTGGATTAAGAAACTAACACAAGGCAGAAGATTAAATTGGATTGTAAACAATTTATAAGCAAACAAACAAACAAACAAAAAGACCGAAAATAATTTCACAAATAATTGAAAAATTATTTCAATTACTTTTGCTAAAGGGGATAAGAGATGGCGTAATTTTCACCCTTTTCAATTCACAGGTGATTTGCATTTTTCAAATAAATTAACAGTTACATTCATATTGTGGTAATCCTTTCATTTTAATTTATGTATTTTCAATTGCGATAATGATGTGATTAAGATTATAATCTTGTTAACTTAATTTTTCATACATTAATCTGTTAAGTTTTGCTGCTTTTTCAAACGTCTTTTTGTTTATGCTAATTTTGGCTGTCTTTGTGAATCAGGAAGAAATGGAAGCGTAAAAGCTCGGAAGATGATGAACTCAACAATTGATGCTATCATCTTTTTGGATGAATCTAGATGATGAATTGATATTGATATCATTTCAGTCTGTTATTGGAATGGTTACCTCTTTGTTTATTATCTCTTTACATGTTTTCCTCTAGGCTAGGTTAATTGTTGATTAATTGAAGATAATCAACTTACCTGTTGATCATCTAGCCAACAAAAAACGGTCCATTCAATCAACATTGAGCAAAAAAAAGATGAAGAAAGTAAGTATAATGCCTTGTAACATTGGAAATCCAAATTAATGAATCTCTTCTTTTTCTCCTCTCTTTTCTCTGAAAGGAGATGATGAAACATCAAATTAAAAAGGTGAAGATGAAGATGAAGATGAAGATGAAAACAACTAATGTTGAAAAGAAGAAGAGAAAAGGATGAGATATTGATGGTTTTATCTAAAATTGTAGACATATTCAACCCATACTGATGATGATCAACAACAATGCAAGTTTTACTGAATTATGCTGTTGAGCCATTTTTGATTCCAGAAGGCTTGCTTTCAGTATAGCTTTATCCCATATTTTGGAACATCTGAAAGCTTGCTCGATCATCATTTTATGATCATGATGTACTGACTAATGTACATCTGAATTGAATGGATAAACACCATACTCCATCATAATCATCGCCATTTCATACTTTTCTACTCTCCTTTCATATTCAACTTGACCACTTTCCCATGATTAACCAGACTTGATTAAGATGAAAAGTTGATTCATCATTTAATCGCAATTATCTCCACAATTATTAACGTCAAATGGTCAATAGTCCTTAAAATTATTTTCATATCAATTTAACTGGTGTTCATTTTTTGGTACCAATTTAACATTCCATAGCATTACAAATGTTTGCTCAGCCAAAATCCATCAATGTGAGTGAATAATCTAATTATTCATCCATTAGTTTTTTCAATTGTTTTATCTTTCAAAATTGTTCGACTTCCGACATTTTCTCACAAGTATTTGCGACTTTATCTGACCAGAGACAGTCATAAAACTAAAAAAAAAGTTCACACAAGCTTTGACCAGCTTTCACATTGTTTTGACAAGCTCTCAAAGGATTTAGATATTTTAAGTCAATTGATTCAGAATTCGGAAAATTTTCAAAGTAGACTTTTTACCTTAAAAAACTAGATCTGTGCTTCGATGTTTACAAAAATTATTTATTTTAATCAAAAGATGACCTTTCATATTTGCTTTAATCAGCTTCAATAGTTACAGTTACTTTAAGCAATTTCTTGATATTGAAGATAGAATCAAGTTTCAAAGTATGATTAAATGGCCAGTATGAAGTTCATACTATGAAGCATTTGAGCCATGCTAATGACAACCCATGATAAGCTGTTAACTCAAACATGGTTAAGCGGTTAAATTGAAGCCTTAATTTGGTTCTATTTTCATGGTTTGATCTTTTGCCATCTTTACTTATTTCTTTCCCTTTTCTCATTCTTTTGTTGTTATTTTAATAGTGAAAAAAAGACTAAACGATCGATGATGGACTTTACCTGTTTCCGTGTTGTAATATTGCGGCCAACACAGTATTGAACGGATTAACTTTGAAAGGCAGGAGGTGATTGAGAAAGATGGTGATAAATAAGCAAAAGCAAAAGATGATGATGAAGGATACTGAAGAGATTGAATAGCCGATATATTCAACAACAGACAATAGTTTCCTTGGGTCAGTTTTATCCTGGTTGACCGTAAACCTCATTCTTCAAGTTTGCTCACCACTCTTTTTGTGCCTTTTTTCAGAAAAGTGTATTTACCGGTTCATTGGACTTTCTTCCGCTTTTGATATCAAATGATTGATTAGACTCGGTGGATCACTGATTTGTTGATTGTAAAATAACCATAACCTAAGTAATCTTAATCTACTTACTAAACTGGCTTTAATTAATAATTGGATTCACAATGTGATTTAATACATATTGGACGTTACTCACTGCTGATATATTTAAAGGATGATCAACTTAACGACTACTGGGAATAAAGGAATGGATAAAAATGATGGAAGAAAAGTTAACCCGGTCAATTGATCTTTTTTTCACCAAATTCACCTGTTGAAATGGTAATGATAATGAAGTCAATAGGAACGTGATTATTACATTTTTGTGGCCCACAAAAAAATAAGAAAGCTTTTCAATAGATTTGAAATAATCTAGTGAGTATAAAAGATGGTCATAAATCTTGAATATCATGACTAATGATGGAACTATTATTAATTTGAATTTTATTTTCAACTCTTTTGTTAACAGTGTTGGTGTCCAAAGTGAGGTTCATTTGAAAAGTCAGGATTCAACATTCAACCATTACCTTTACAATAACCTTTGATTGTTTTGCTGATCAACCCTAAAGATGCTAACAAACATTTTCAACAATGAAACTGCATAATCAAATGAAAAGATACTGTACTTGAAAATAATTTACAATTACATCATTTAATAAGTAAAAGGTAGCACCCAAATTGATTGATCATTATCACAATTCACCTATTATTATTATTAAGTGTTACTATTCACCTCGATCATCATCATCGTAATCATAAACTCTTAAAGGTATTTATGTTGAACTTTATTAAATCCGCTTACTAATCTTAGCACAGATTAGAAACTCTCTTAACAGTTTAACACGTTCAGATGATCAGTCAACCTTATTTGGTTGTTCAACAAACCAATATCCACCAATTTAATGTGAATAACCAAATTATTAGACCCAAATCCTGTACAAATATAATAATAGTTTTATTACAATTATCAATGAAGCTAGATAAGGTTTGATCAACTTACACTTAACTGCCACCAACTGTTACTTCACCAGATGATTTGTTTAATAAGCATTTTAAGATGTTTAATTGTTTCATATAAATACTAATTACTGTATTAATTGGCTTATTCCCATAGATTGAATGATAATCATGTTAAATGAGGATGTTAATGGTGATGAAGCAGGAGGTGGTGGAGGAGGAGGTTTGGGTTAACCAGAAAACAAAATATAACATTTACATCACAATGCATTAAGAGTAATAAAAGTGAATTAGTTAATAGCGTTGATTGTGATATTGTGAGTGTTTGGCGAAACGGCAATAAAACCAAAGTCAAATGTTACCGAGATAAAACCAGGTAAACGAAGCCAGAAATAAAATGTAAAACAGCAATCAACTAATAATTGATAATGTTTGATTAAACTAAAAGTTAACCTTTAATCTCAACATTATTACAGGTTTAAGACTAAAATTCAAATATTTGACATTTCCTATGTTATAAATATTATTCAAGTAATTGTCTCATTCAGATCATCGATACAAAGTTGTATTAAATAAATATTCATGTATTATAAAAGTATATTAATATATTAATATATGGAAAAGCTGTTTCTACAGAATAGAAATTAATTGTAACAAAGTGAATTTTGTACCATTTTTTGGTTATCATGATCGTTATTTCATTGTTGTTAGTCAAGAATCTTGTTAACTTTGGTTTGTCTTGACTGTTGTTTGACTTGGAGTTTAATTGTTTTATGATCAATGACAAATGATCATTTCTTAATTGCCAACTACAAACAATTGTCGGTTAGGAATGGTTTTTATTGGCTTTTTATCACGGGTAAAATGAATTGCTTTTTTTTGATTCAATTTAAACGTCAACATAACGTTTGGCCTTTTACCTTTACCTTATAAACAATCATATTATGCATAGAAACGTTAAATATATTTATGACTGTTTGCCTTGCAGTTCAATAATGGATTTAATTTACAGGTAAAAACCAAATCCCAAGAAACAAACCAGAAAGATTAAATTACAATTAGCTTTTAACAATCGTTTTCAATCACATGTTGATCAGGTAATTTAACAGCCAGGACAAACGGGATGGAGAAAGCGCAAAGCTGGTGTAAAAAGATGGAAAAGAAAGGCGAATAAAAGTGATCGGGAAAAAAATGATGGATGTTAAATGAAGATGATTATCAAAGAAGATGGGAGGAGGTGAGAGAAGGTAAAGGAGGGAATAAGGAGGAGGATGAAGTTGAAGGAGGTGGTAGTGAGAAGTCCTTATCAGTCCTTTTAATTAGATGTTTAATGATGGTTAATAAAGATTGTTTTGTTTATCCTTTGAGCTTGTTATATGGCATTATAGTGTGTATTAAACCTATCAAAAAAAACAAGAAAATAAAACCCATAAGAAGTCATGAAATTAAGCAAGGAATGAAAATGGCAAAAAATAGGAAAAGGAAATACCATTGATGATAATGATGATACCATAAGATGAGGTAAAGGAAAATTGCCAAATTAAGCAAAGAACAAGCATTTGGCCCAGGCCAAGGGATATTTGATTGGCTTGATATTGTATTATTAAATAAGGTACCAAGAGGAAAATATATGATCACGAAAATAAAATTAGACTTTTTATATAATGTGATAAAAGGTCGATTTCGTGCTTAACCAATGGGCACCAAAAGTGGAAACAAAATTGGCCCGGGTTAAGATTCAAGGTAAAACGCTGGAGAAGGATGGAAATTAAGATAATTTTGTTTTTGATGTTGATGTTGATGCAGATGAGAAGGATGAGATAAAGATGAGCCAAAATAAAAGGTAAAAGATGCATCAGCTTCCGTTCATATCGTTTTGTTTCTGGCCTTTCTTTTTGTTCAATCTTTTCTTTATCTTTTTCTTGTTCCTCTCTCCTTGTTTTTTCTGTTCTTATCCTCTTTCTCCTGATAATCTGAAATGAAATGAAAAAGAAAAATATATTTTACTTGAAAAACGTTCAATTGTTACGTGAGTTTAAAACGTTAAGATCAAAAGCAACATGAAGACGAAAGCAAAACAAAATATGATAATGGTAATAATGATAAAGTGAATTCATAACGACTTGTGAGATAAATATCACATCATAATATTGCTAATAATAATATTTATGGAAACAAACCACAAACACTTTGATTATAAAAAATGAAATAAACAACAATTTGACCTTTTTTTTGTTCTAGCCTAATAAATGAATGTTTAACACTATGTACAGTCTTCACCAAAATTACAATTGACTTCTTCGTGATTTCATTTCTAATTAGCTTACCATTAGTTTTGTTTTTCTCTGACTGTGCCTAATCGTAACTCATTCTTACCACCAACTCTATTAACAATAGAGCAACAACAGTCTCGAAAAAAAACTATGTAATTGGTAATTGTTTAATACCTTAAAGGCATTGAGATTTTTTTTACCAAGACTGTATTTACTGTTGAACTGGTAAAAAGAAGAGTATGAGCACTGACAGAAGAAAAAGAAAAGATGGTGATGATGATGATGAAGATGAAGAGAGTCAAGGATAATAATGATACCAATGATTATTGTTGATTACAATTGTAATTTGGTTTGGCAAAAGGTAATTGATGTGTTTGTTGTGTACAGTAAAAAAGAAGAAGATATGGCGAGCTTACCTTTGAACACACATTGATATTTATCATTATTTGCGTCTTTAACTAGTAATCAATAGCGTTATTCCAGTCAATTGTAATGTTAATATATAATTTGTCATAATTGTTAAATAAAATATTGCAGTTATCTCATGAAATTTATGTCTATAACTGTATAAACACTGGAACAAGAAAAATAACGTAAAAATTAAAGATTAACATAGGAAAATATCTTTTTTAAGACTTTATGCTTTTGGCAAAAATAAGCATAAAATTAATGACAATGACCATTAGATGGCACTGATTTTAATCTTTATTTTCAATTTTCTTGCGACTTTTGTTTGACAATTTTTGATGACAATTGTCTGTAAATTATCTTTGATTCAGTTAATACTAATTGTTTTATTCATTGGTTTCTATTTTCTTTCAATAGTAAATGCTTTCAACTGTTAATACGTAAACAAAAAGACAAATGCCTCAATGATTTTCCATTGTTTTGTTCACCTTTTTTTCATCCTTCATACTTTTCTTGGGCCTAAGGCAATGTGTTATCTTTATCTTCTCTACCTTTGTGTATTATGTTATTATTAAGCTAATCTATTAAGCAAACCTGTAATTTGGCTACAGTTGTTTTCAATAATGAATTAATATAATTAAAACTGACTGTTTCAGGTAAGGTACAATTGTTATTTCAATTGCTTTGGCCTTTAATTTTCCTTTACAAACGCAAAAAGAGCAATATTTAAGGCAATCTTTCGTGTCTGTCATCGATCTTTGTAAAAACATTTCTTTCTCTTTTTTTCAAGAAAAAATCTTTCCTCACAAGTTGACTTAATTGTTGTTGAATTATTTCCAATTTTTGGCCTAATAGTTTCATCTGTACATTTCAAGTTCAACTCTTATCGATTCTATTCTAATTACAGGTATTGTTATTAATCATTTTTCCTCTCTCATTGAATTGATCTTCAATCTTTAACCAAACATTAACCCTTCATTTTAAAGTCACCTTTTTTTTGTGCTGCCTTTGATTTAAAAACACTGTAACATCTAAAGAGATACAACTTTTAACTGACTTCAACCTACCTTAAACTTGCAAGTTACCATTGATTGATTGTAATTGATTACAAATTTTTCAACAGCATCTAACCAGATAATTGTGTTCCCATTCATATTTCAAATGGTAATGATGAATTAAAAGTTGTATCTGTTTGTGCAGTTTATGAATTACAAAACAATTACTGATCAATCTAATCTAATTACATTTAAAAATTTCACTCAATCAAAAGGCAACTTTTCCAGTCATTATCTAAAGCAATCTTTTTACAGTTTTCAAGTCCACAACTTGCAGTCCAATTTAATGACCATAAACAACCAGTTAAACATTTCACGAGTTAATCAAATGACCCATACACTTGACCTTTACCTTAATTCAAACCCAACTTATCAGCAAGTGGACTTGAATAACAATAAAAGTAAAAGTAGATTGACAATGGACAATAGTTACAAAGGTTTAACCTTTCAAAGATTAAATTAAAACGAATCAAGCCAATCAGCCAATTTACCTTTTAAATACATTAACTTTTGTATCTGTTGATACATTAGATTAAATTGATTGTCAGTACAATTGTCCATAATAATGCATTTATCCAGTGAAAGCTGGAAGAAACATCTTAAAGTGAATTGAGTATAACACACACACACACAAAAAACAGAGCTTAAGAGCCACTAATGGATATCGACTGACCATTTACGATTTAATATCTTAAAAAGATTATGTTAAACAAGTACAATTCTGATTGATACAATGTTGATTACTCAATGGGCAGTCCAATTTAATCACAATACTCATCTTATTCATCATTACAATCAATACAAGACCAAGACATGGAGAAGGTAAAAAAAGTGAAACAAATATTGAAGCGTTAATGTTTCAAGCAACCTTGCAATGTCCATCAGAATCATTGACAACATTGGCATATCAAACAGAGAGAAGCTCAATACTGATCAACAGTTGATGTAACCATGATAATCAATATTCAATGATCAAAATAACACCGAAAGATCAAGTAAAGAGCCAAAAAAACTCAACTAACGTGTTTTTGGCATAAATTTCATCCCAAGATACTTACCTTTTTTTGCTTCTTTTCAAGTCATCTTGACGATTGTTGTATTGTGCCAGTGTTTAAAATACCTCACGCCATGATTAAAAATGAACAAAGCATGAGAAAAGGTGAGAGATGAAAAATATTTGGGTAAAAAAAACATTGAAAAAAAGGTTAACTCACAAAAGGGCGAGATTTAACATAGAGAATGTTAATGCACTTGAATGTTATCAATATTATTACTTACCATTGTTGTTATCATTAATGTTATTATTTAACCTGTACAACAATGTTACCAGTTTTAATCCACCGTTAAGCTTAAATCTTGTCGTGTGTAGTTGCATGTTAAGCTTTTAAATCGTTGAGCCGCAACTTTCAAGTTAAGCGCTCTTTTTTACTTGATTGGATTTAACCAGTAAGAAACGAAGGGGGGAAACAGAGAGAAAGAAAGAGAATTGTTTCTCCATTTTTTTTCTTGTAACTTACGCTTTTTTTACTTAATCTTGTAATAGTTTGGGGCTGTTTTTGTTGCCATTATTGTATTTTTTGTGTGTGTGTGTAACATTTTACATCGGCTGGTGTTGAACAAGATTGGTAAAAATGGTTACTCACGATAATGGGAGCGCCAAGGTGAAAGCTCAATGTTTAATTACAAAGGTAAATCTTTCTTTGGTATTGCTTGCTTTTTTATATATTTATATATCAATGCCTTTATCCTGTTTAAATGATGTTATTTTACTTCTTACTTACAGGTTTTACTTTACAACTGATTGTACTTTTGGTTGGACTGGATATGTATCTTGGTATATAAAATGGTTGATATAGTTGGCACTCATTAGAATGACTGGAGGGCTTCTCGATGTTCATCATTATCATTATCTAAAGCCTATTCTTTACCTCCTACTCTTTACTCTAAAACTTTCTGTTTTTTTCTCTCTTCTTCTCTCTTCTTTTTCTTTTTACCTTGTGTTTCCATCAGCATTACCTGTGCGTGTAAAACTTTCCCATAGAAAAGTGTACCTATTTTTTCAATAGTATAAGTGTGTATGTACGTTTTTTCCCAGGACTTTCAATGTTCATCATCATTCTTTCTTCTTGGTTATGTATGTTATTTTGTGTTCTAAGTGACTGTAAATGAAATAATATTGTATATAAGGAGACTAACCAAGTGTAATTTACATCAAATTAGACTGTTACTTAATGTCGTCTCTTTTCAGTACAGATTAATGTAATTAAGAAACCATAAGAAATTAATTTGCGTTTTTTTGTTAATGTTACAGGTTCTTTGAAAAGATGGCTAATAATTTGATGCAACATAAAATTTTTATTTCAATGTATTTTGATCTGATCATTGACCGTAAGGAAATGGCCTTTTCTTAACTTCTCTTCAGTTCATCTTGACCTTTAACATACACTTTCTTTTCATTGAATCTGGTTGTTTCAGAAAATTTTTAAAACACCTTTTCATTAGTCGCTTTGTATTGATATTATTAAGGATTGAGGATTTTCATTCTTTCATTTGTTAATGTTTGATCAGGGAAGAATTAAGTTTAAGATGTTACCTTTTCAAGTTGAGACAGGTTATCAAGTTGATAGTAATGACGATGATGATGGGAAGTAAGAAATAGACAATAAAAGTTAAATAGTAAACAGAGGTAAAAAAGAAAGGTTATAAAAGGCAGGGCTTAAAGGTAAGTTGAGAAGACATTTTTTTCATCATCTTGAGATGGGAAAAGATGAAGATGAATACGAGATGAAGTGAAGCAAAAGAAAGTGAAAAATGAATCAATACTAATACATATTATACTCCTTTTTTAGTCTTCATTTGGGTTTGGGTTTTTGTTTATCTTTACTTTATTTACCTGGATTCATTTTATTATTATCATTGTTATTATTATCTGTGAGATTTCAATCAATATTGACTTAAATTGTTGAAGAATTGAAGAAAAATAAAAGAAAAGTCAAAGGAAAAAAGAAATCAGAATAACAAAGAAACCAGAAATAAATAAAATAACGAAAAGGAAAAAAAAGGTTTAATTCCTAATAGAGATGAACATTCTGGTAGCTTTACACATTTCTTTTGTCAAAACCGATGGCTGTTAATTTGTTAATCTAATCACATTTAAACCCAAGGATCATCTAGTCTGATTGAAATTACTAAAACAAACACAGATGATACCTATTTAAAATTTGTAAAATATTAACACAATAAGATACTAACCCAAGTTGATTGTTGAATGTAAATCTTTTTAAATCACTGTGAGAGACAGACAGATAAGATTAAAGTTGCTCAGCTAATTAGTCGAGACCATCTTGACCAAAGTGGACCGTCCATCGGATCAACTAATTGTATTAAATAGATGTTTATTTACTAGAGATTAAAAAAATGAGGATTAGCTTTGAAGCGAAGCAAAAAACTGGTTCCGAAAGCTAAATGCTTAACTGTGTTCCCTTTTTTTCCTTTAGATGGCGACTCAACAGTAGATGGGAATGTTGAGTGAGATGAAGATGAGTGAGAAGGTAAACTTTACTATTCACTTTGAGTATAGCTTGAGAGGAAGAAGTAAAATTGTTCATTTTCAAATTTGCTGTTCTTCTGGTTACATTTTTTGAAACTTGTTTTTTCTTCTCTTGGATATAATGACTTTTTTTTATTTATTATTAACAGCATGAATTTAACAATAAAAAACCTGAAGTGTTTGTTTCATCAACATGTAACAGCAACAACATCATCAGCATCAAATGGAATAAAAACAACAACATTATTATCTTCTACTTGATATCTACTATGAACGTTTGTTTTTGTGAATCTTGTTGTTTTCCTTTTTACTTTGTTTATAATTTAAACATCTTTAGATGGAAACAAAAGTATCTATGTATATAATAGTGTTATATATATTAATGGTGACTCTCAGGGTAACCAAAGGTACCCAATATATTGCCCCAGGAGAGTGTAAATGGTCACATATATCATCACTAAAGTTTGATGTGTCATTAACATGTAATATAGGATACCTGAGTCCATCTTCGTCGTCTTCATCGTCATCTTCATCTTACTCATCTTCAAGTTCATCATTTTCATCATCAGGCTCCATGAATCATGGCCTTAACCTAAGTCTCATCCAAGCTGACCACACTATTAGTCTAACGTTGATCTGTGATGATTCCTTTGCTGAATCCAAATTGGATAATTCGTCCCTTTCCCATTTACGGAATCTTAAATCTTTAACTATTGAAGCCTGTCAGTTGTCCTATCTTAACGGTGATGAGCTTAGCGGACTAGAATCGCTGAGAAATTTAACCATTCGATCATATGTACCAACCAGAGGATATCGAACATTATGGTTAAATCATTCATCTCTTAAACATCTTCGTAAATTAGAGCAGCTTGATTTAGGCTTCAATAATTTGGTTGACCTTCCTGCTGATCTCTTTTGTCCTCTTACAAGCCTCAAAGTTCTCAACTTGACTCACAATTCCATTGCTGGCTTTGGTAGCCTCGGAGTTGTTGATCATACTTTTGGTCATCTGTGTTCCCAAGAATTACAGGAATTGGATTTATCCTTTAATCGAATTGATTTCATTTCTCAAACTGGTGTAGCCAATTTGAAAAATTTACGTTCCTTGTATCTTCAAAACAACCAGATCGCAGAGGTTTCCGAGATCTCATTGTCAGCCTTACATCGCTTGCAAATAATCAATCTTGCCAGCAATCAACTAAATCATCTTCCATCCCGTCTATTTCGTGATTCCATTGAATTACAAGAATTACATTTACAAAATAATTCTATTGCTTCACTTGAATCAGGTCTTCTCGGTGGACTCTCAAAACTACTTCTACTCAATTTGAGTTATAATCAAATCTCTTCTGAAAACATCAACAGTGAAACTTTTGCAGACCTCATTCGTGTAATTATTCTTGATTTAAGTCACAACCGATTAACACGTATTGATAAATTATTCTTCGTAAATTTATATTCCCTTCAAAAGCTTAATTTGGCTCACAATCAGATAACCTTTATCGAAGACTATTCTTTTGCTCTTCTTTACAATCTTCATATTCTCATCCTTGATGGCAATGGGTTAGTTAAAATTGATCCATATACCTTCAATGGTCCCAATCTTCTCAGAGGATTATCATTAAATGCCAATTCACTCACTGCTATACACCGAGATGCCTTCAAGAATTGTAGTTCACTTCAAGATCTTCAATTAGCCTCCAATAATTTAAAAGAAATCCCGTCAGCTATATCACATCTCATGGAATTGACAAATCTTGATCTATCAGACAACAAAATTGTTGGTATCAACAGTACATCTTCTGGTAACATCAACAGTGACAATGCCATCACCATGATTAATTTGAAACATCTTACTCGATTAGATCTGTCAAAAAATAAGATTTCCAATCTAAGTAGAAACTTTTTCAAAGATTTACCAAGTTTACAGTATCTTGATCTCTCGGGTAACCTGTTAAACGGTCTGGAACCAGGTTTATTTGATGATTCTGCTCCAACTCTCACAACAATCTTACTGCAAGACAATAAATTAACTGACATCAATGGTCTATTCATTAATCTCATTAACTTGAGGCATCTTAATGTATCTCGCAATTCAATACTTTGGTTTGAGTATGCTTTTATACCCGAAAGTTTACTAATCCTTGATGCTCACAGTAACGTTATTGAAGAGTTGAGTAATTACTATAAAGTGGAAAGACGCTGTACATATCTGGACTTTTCTCACAATCACATTTATAAAGAGATCAATACTTGGTCAATTCCAAACAGCACTGAAACGCTGCTTCTCAATAATAACAATCTAACCAGCATTCTTCCAATGACTTTTGCCACCAAAGTAAATTTAAAGCACGTTGACCTGCGATACAATCGTCTCTCAAGCCTAGACATGAATGCCTTCCGTTTTAAATCAATTCCATCAAGTCGACCTTTACCTCATTTCTTAATTTCTAATAATCCATTTTACTGTGATTGTAATATGGAATGGTTACAACGGGTGAACAAAGATGAAACACGTCAATATCCATTGGTCAGAGATCTTGATCGTATTACTTGTCAACTTCCTTTTGTCCGTGAGTCAACATATTTGCCTTTGGTTAAAGCAAACTCATCAAATTTCTTGTGCAAATACAAGACCCATTGTTTTGCTCTCTGCCATTGCTGTGAATTTGATGCTTGTGATTGTAAAATGACTTGCCCCGACAATTGTACTTGTTATTATGATCAAACTTGGGCCACCAACATTGTTGATTGTTCCCGTCGAGAATATGTTCATGTTCCTTCTCGAATTCCCATGGATGTAACTGATTTGTATCTCGATGGTAATCAACTTTCATCTCTTTCCAGTCATACCTTTATTGGACGTAAAAATATGTTAACCCTTTACCTTAACAACAGTGGTATTCATTCCATTGCCAATCGAACCTTTAATGGTTTACAAGTTTTACAAGTTCTCCATTTGGAACATAACTATATAACAACTTTAAATGGATTTGAGTTTGAATCACTCTCACGACTCCGTGAGCTTCATCTTCACCACAACCGGATCTCCTTTATTAACAGCCGTACATTCAGCAATTTAACCTCTCTTCAGGTTCTTCATTTAGAGGATAATTTTATTTCTGATTATGCTGTCTGGTCACTCAACTACAATCAACATTTAATGGTTGTCCATATTTCAAATAATCTGTGGTCCTGTCGGTGTGATTTTGTTTCACGATTACGTGATTGGATGAGAAACGAGGCTGCCTATGTGAAAGATAAAGATACAATTAGATGTCATTACAATAATACAACAATAGGTCCATTTATTTGGCAATTAAATTCATCTAAGTGCACCAATTACAGTGATATAAGTAATCATCGTGGTTTGATTGATTCACATGGTGGTTTTAGTGGTGGTAACAGTGTTGTGATCGGCGGTTCATTATCAAGAGAAGGTTCACCTTCAACCTTTGCTAATGAAGTTTCTTTCTTCCAAAACTCTTTGGTTCAAAGTTATATGCCTCTGACCATTGGATTGATAGCTGGTATTGTGGCTATCATTTTAATCATCGTTCTCATCACCATTTACCATAAAGAAATTAAAGTATGGATCTATTCCAATTATGGATTTAGATTTTTCCAAAAGTCACATTACCCACCAGAAACAGAGCGATTGTTTGATGGATTTGTTTCATATTGTAAAAAAGACGAAGCTTTTATATCACAAATATTGGCTCCAGAATTGGAGTGCGGTCATCCACCATACCGTTTGTGCCTTCGTTACCGTGACCTTCCAGTTACTGAGTACGTCGCCGAAGCCATATCCGAGGCCATTGAATCCTCCCATCGGACCATAATACTATTGTCTGATCAATATTATAAATCAGATTCGTGTCATTTTGAACTTAAAGTTGCCCACCAAGAATGCCAAGTGAATCTTAACCACAAGATAATTGTTGTGGTTTTGGATAAGAATAGTTTAAATCATTTGGATGCTGATTCCAAATTATGTATCCGTTCATCACCAATCATTCATTGGGGCGATCGTCGATTCTGGGAGAAGTTAAGATACGCCATGCCGCCCGGTCGAGGGCTTAGTAAACCACTTAATTGTCCTGACGTAAGGGCAAGTATAGATTTCAAAAGAGCCATCAACTTACATGCTGTGTAAATATTTCGTTGTACATAAAATAAATATAATTTTTTTTGTTGCCTTTGAATTAAGAATTTAGTTTTTCACTAAAAATTATTTATACCTTTTCGTGTCCACAAAAAAAGCAAGTAAAATAACTAACCTTTACTTCACTTTAAACACATTAATTAGCTTAAATTATATACCAACCAAAACAGTCCGTATTATAAATAAATGCCAAACATTACAAACAATTTCAAGTGACAGTTTATCATTCAATCCTATTATGATGACGTGATTACATCTCATTTTAAATTAACTCATTCCATTGATACAATTACAGTGCCAAGACAAATTAATCAAAAAAACAAGGAAACAAAATTTGATTAATAAAAACAGTTTTCATGTTACAAACACATCTATTTGTTCAATGGCAACAATTTAATCTTTCATCTCAATGGTGTGATACATTGAACCTGGTTAGTAGCCAAAATTTACCACATTGGGTTAACAATGGATCAACTGTGGACCAACAATTGACTTGGATAATCATTTGATTCAAACTCTTAAGATTGTCAAAGTTGATTATAAACTGCAAGATTAATAATAAGGTTCAAAAATAGGCTGGTAATTGTCCTGTCCAGGTAAGATTATGTACTTTACCAAGAAAAAGAAGCTGCAAGACAAAAGAGGAAAATCGGAAAACAAAAAAGTATAATTAATAAAGTAATTAGTAAAACAGTTAAATGTTATTCATATTAAACATGAAAGCAAACTGTATCCTGATATACAGATGCACGTATAAATGTTGGACACTAACTGATCTTTTTAGGGAAACATTATCATTTACTAATTTGATTCAAATTTGATCAAAGCTTGTTTCAGCTTTTCTCATGAGAAACCTTCATGATCATGTAAGTTGACAGATATATTTATACATTAAAGGTACAACAGACAGTCGGTTAGACAGTGACTAAGTTATACATTTATTGAAAGAAAGGAAAGAGAATGTGAAAAGTAGGAATGACTGAAGAGGGTAACATTTTAAGGTGTCCATGTGAGGCACTGTCTTGATTAAATTTGACAACAAGACACCCCACAGGTTATATTGCAAGGTAAATGAAAAATGGAACTAGTTAGACAGAGAAAGACAGAAGGTGAGTTGTTTTTTCAACGTTGATACACTTGAAAAATTACCGAAACAAGGGAAAGAGAGGATAATTTGAAAGACAGGGATTAGTAGTGTGATGAATTGCTAGACAAAAACAGACAGGTATACAGAGAGAGAGGAAATAAAGGTAAAGAGAGAGAAGAGATTAATAGAAAGAAGATTGAAATTGGTCAGAAAGAGAGGAAAGATGGATGAATAAAAGTTACATTGAAAACAATGAAAAACGCGTAATGTTAATGTTGCAAAGTAATAAGTAAAGGTATTAGAATAATAAAGTAATAACTTTAAGGTAAGATTTATTTGTTTCTACCTTGTTTCTTGGGCTTTCACTGTGATTATCATTTTTACTCATTTCTCACAATAATCTCATTAATGATGATGAATATGAAGATTAAAATGATAATTAAAATGATGATTAAAATCACATTTTTTGGCGAAACATTTTCTTTTCTTTCTGATTAATTTTATAATAAATATACATGTAAACATATCAAGAGCCAGTCAATGGACATACACCGTTATATGCATATTATACATTTACTGATAACAGCAGCTTTTGATAAATGTTTACTAACCTTTTTAGTAGATATTTTTACTTTCTATTCCAATCTGAAGCTTTGTCTGTTCAGTATTCAGTATATGTATACATGTATATTTATATTCGAGATGAGAAAGAAGATCACATTTAGATATAATGTAATAAATACACTTCAAGATGCTCATGGTGATATAGATGATAATGAAGAAACTCGTTCACTGATACTTAACGGCTTGACTTTGCTTTCATCTTTTTCAATTGCTTATTATTACTTTATCCCAGCTTTTTCATTCCTCTTTTTCCCATATTGAATTCAGTTGCTGGACATCACCATCTTCAAGGGCTTCAACTATCTTCGATTATCAACTGTAAATACATCATAATTTGCATTATATGAGCATTTTATTTGACCATTGGGTAGCAGTCTTTTTTGTTTTGTGTCTAAAGGTTGGTCAGGCTTTCTGTTATCAACTGGAAAGATGGAAAGTTCATGAATGATATGAATATTGAATGAATGGAGAGAAGGAAGAAGACGCCGTTGATGATAATCTTGGTGATGATAATGAGCAGTAACAGTAACAAAAAAGAGGAAAGTTATCAAGTCTGGACTTTTTAACTGTCATTGACTTTGATTGACCAAAATATGAATCTTTTATTCCATGAATCTTCAAGGCAAAGTTTCTTTATCTTTTTTCCTCTTTAGTTTCTCCTTTGAATCTTCTGAATGGTTCTGTACAAAATAGACAAAAGGCTAAAATAAGTTTTACTGAATTAATGATATTGAAGAGTAAACGAATATCAAAGTCTGAATTAAACAAAAAAAATCAAGATTCATTGCTGGTTAAGAGTGTGATTGACAAAAAAGTAAAGGTTGGAGGACAACTAACAAAAATGTTCAATGTGCTTCAATATTATCATTAAAAGCTATTATTATGACCTAAAAAAGATTGTATTCATAAAGCTTTTTTTTATGTTCGAGTTGTTGTCTTCAAGTTTTACTTTTTTTCTCAATCGCTGTTGTTATTACTCACTCTCTTCCTGATTTCATTGAATGTTTAGTTTGTTTTTTATCATTACCATTAAATGATAATCATTATCATTATGTTCATCATCAGAATAACCATTTTGAATTGTAAATTTCCTTTGAAGTACAAAAAAAACTTGATTGGGTTTGCATTCATGATGATGTGGTTTCATTCAACGGTAATAATAACTGTTCACTTGATCCATCAATGAATTACAATTGCTTTTGGGAAGAACCATAGAAAGGGTTAAATTAAAGGAAAATAATCAACATGGAAATTTGTTTAATCAACCAATCTGACCATGAAACTAACCATGGCTAAGAATAAAAAATGAATATTCCAAGTTACGTTTCCTCCAATACAAAAGTCAACAACAGCTTCAACCTTTTTTCCTCCAAAAAAGAGGTTTTACTTTTCTTTTCCAGTGCATTATTGAGTTAAATCGTCTATAATTTACATAAAATTGATACCAACTGCATCGACAATCAGATGGGATTGGAAACCTTTAAAGAAAAGTAAGAAGATAAGATGAGTAGTAATATAAAAATGGAAAAGTTGAAGCGAAAAGAGGTAAAAAGAAATGAATTGACAGACTCAGTGAAAACAGTGACATGGCCTGAAACAAAATGAAAAAAATAATGAAAGAGACAGAGGATGATGAAAAGGTAAACAAAAGATGACGATACTTCGTCAAAATTATGTTTAGTGAAACAAACAATCATGGAATAGAAAAAAAGAAGAAGAAAAAAAACAGGTAAATATTCAGGTAAAAGTTGAGCTTTTACATAAGGAATTTAAGAAACCAGTAAAAAGGAAAGAAAGGAAAGAGAGGGAAAGCAGGTATAAAAATGATGATGAAGATAATGATGAAATGAGCATACGATGAGAGAAAGAAAAACTATGGCGAAACAAAGGAAGAGTGGTTCCTCCCAAAATCCGGTTTTTCTCACTCAAGTCAATCCAGATAAATTATTTTGATTGTTGGATAAAATTTGGGTAAACCTTACTTAAGAATGGTGGAATAGATGAAAGAGTAAGAAATAAAAGCTAGAAAGTGAGAGAGAGAGAGAGAGAGATGATGATGGTGGTGGTGGTGATGGTGAAGATGAAGATGGTGAAAATGAGAAAAACAAGAAAAAGCAAAGAGAATTGCTGTAATTTCTGAGATACCTTGGATAAGTTTGTTTCTCCCTCTTTTTACATCTTATCCTTTCTCTTTCTCTTTCTCTTCTTTTCTTCTTCTCATCTACTCAATCAACCCTGAATACACCCTGTGAGTTGATTGCTTTAACAAGACTCGACAGTGATTTAGATGTACTTATGTATTTATAAGTATGATGAGATTTCCCATGAATTTTCTTGTAATCAACTGAATTTTTAAGCGCGCGAGAGAGAAATGAAGATTATATGATGATAAATTGGTATAAAAGGGGAAAAAGATGAGAGTAAGAGAGGAGAAAAGGTGAAGATAATAGTTGAAGAGAAGATGAATAAGCTAATGTTGTTCTCATTGGAAGTGGCAAGTTTATCCTCATTACCATCATCATCAAAATCAAACTTAGTCTTCAGTGTAACAATGAAATCAACAGACGCCAACGTAACCATCTGAAAAGTATAGCGTATGAACCATCGAAAGAATAATGGATCCAAATAATGGAAATTTGCTTTAAAATTTGCTCTTGTGCAAAGATAAATAGAGTTGATATAAAGGTCATGATGCCATTGAAATTTGTGTGTTCTCAATTTGCTTGTTTTTTCCATTCCTTTCTTTACTTTTTCTTCTTCTTGAGTTGTCAGAATTTTCAGTTGGTCAAGATTGATGGTTACTTGGATTCTGATTGTTGACTGTTGTTGTGGTTTACAGTTTTACAGGAGTGTCACAAAAATTTTCATTCAATTAAGTGTAAACTTGGAAAGTTAACTTTGAGCTGAGGCTTGAAATTTGTTGCTGTTGCGTGTTTACGTTTGTTCATGTTCATGTTGATGTTCAAGTTAAAATTGTTGTTGTTGATGTTAATGTTGACGATGATGATTTTGAAGTTTGTTTCGTTTTCTTTTTTATATCTTTCTCTTTCCTTCTTTTCTTTCCTTGATCTTTCATTCTTTATCAGTGTACCAAGTGATTCTTAAGAATTTGGAATTTCACATTTTTTGGTGTCTAAATGATTGATAATCAGTTTTTCTTTACAGTATCATGGATTGTCTACAATTAGCTGAGCCAAGCGGAAATTAGCAACCACAAATTGTACTAATAGCCTTTGAATATGTGAATGTGTGTGTTTTCACTCTCACTGTGTTCAATCTTTTCGCCTTTTCCTCCTCGCCATCTTCCTATCTCTTTTTTGTCTTTTCCTTCTTTTTTTCTTTGGTTCAGTGAGATGGAATAAAATTAGACGTTGGAAGCTACAATTTGCTGAAAAAACATTCTCAAATAGATTCATTCATCAGAAACATGAACCCATAGAATGATGTCAAGCAAAAACCAGGCTTTTCTTTTTTATCCTCACACATCTATTGAGTCGTCCTTTTTTCTCACTTTTCATGTTAAAGGCTAAAATGGCTGCTAATTTTCCAGTAAAAACATCTCGATCTTGTCGTTAACGGTGATGAAGTCCAAATTTTCTTATAATAATAATAATTATATTAATGATCACAATGAAAGTTGGATAGCATGTAACTGTGGTTGTTGTATTCACGTTGCTCTCGAACAGGAGAACCGCAAAAGGATCTTCTTCAAGCTCCACTGGTCAGGTCACGTTTTGTCCATATGAGTTAAATCACCAAGGCCAAAGGACAGATAGATGAAAGCTGTAAAATACAGTTTGCGACCGTCAAGTTTCATATTACTTTTTGCATAATAGCAAAGGAGACAAAATTCTTGTAACCTAAAGTCTTTAAAATGATTAATACATTCTTGTGTCTTTGCTATTCGCGTTTCCAGCTCGTCTTCCCATCAAACCAACGAGATTTGCTTCCTTCATTCCGGTTGAACTGCAAAATTGGATGATAATTACCCTTAAACATTAGTTTATCTATTGAAATTGACTGCAAAAAAAGGACAAAAAATATATGTATCAACTTACATTTGAGTTGAGCTTTCCTCTCTTCTTTCAGCAAAATGTTCAACTCATCATTTGTTAACAAACTTCAATTAATGAAACAATGAAGTGGATCCGAGTAAAACAAAGTTTACAATGAAATGTTACCAAGCAGAAGATAGTTAATTAAATTTTGTTTCCCAATGATTAGTACCAATTGTCTACTTTTAATTTTTGTGCAACACAAAACCAAAAAGACAACAAAAACAAAAGCATCAGAATAAACAAAAGCAAAATTAACGTATATACTGGATCATTTTCCTAGCAATATTTGCGAATTAAAGTTGCACTTTGCTCAATGGCAATACAAAATTGTTAAATTTTAGAACCAATCATGAATAATTGAACTAATTAAGTTAAATGATTGAAAACAAAAGATAAATTTTAAATAAAAATACAAAAGATTTATACTGATATTAATTAACCATTAAGTGACAAGTGGCTCTAGATTTGAAAGCGGCAAAAAGGATTAACTGTATCAGCTGGAAGCTGTTAAAGCGGTAAAATTGTTTAGCGGTTTTTTCACAATTTACAATTTTAGCTTCAATTAATTCTTGTTTTGCTATTTTGTTATTTTGAGTTATTTATTGTTTATTTATAACTGTTTTTCAACATTTCTGTCTATTGCTTGATTTTCATCCAGCTCAGTTAACATAACCCTTTTCATCCTGTTAAAGTAACCTTTAAGAAACTATCATTTACCATTGGTTACCTTGTTTTTTTTCATTTTATCTGAAAACATTTGAGAATGCATTTCATTCTCTCTCAACCTTAAATTATCATCATTTTAACCGTTTAACTTTGTAACATGATATGAAAGACTCAAATTGATTCTTGCAATAATAACTTGAATCTTGTTGCATCTTAACTCACCGTTAACCCAAGCTTCGCAGCCTTAACCTTTACCTAGCTGAGTAGTTTTCATGTTTCCTTACAAAGTTTAGTATTATTATTATAATTTTCATTCTAATTCTTATTCTTATCATCAACATTATCACCGTCATCAACTACAATAACAACAGACAACAAAAACATCATCATCATGAGGTAGGTAATAATACATTCATTTCATGATCTCAGATTGCTCCTTGAAATCTTTGCATTAGCTTTTAATGTCTTATCATTTCAAAACAAACAAAACTTTGACACCATCAATTTGATATTACCTGGCTAATGAGTTTCATTCAATCTGCAGATTTTCTCGATAATCGCAGTTAATAATCTTTATATTCTTTTTCCCATTTATCTAATATTTAGTAACTGGATATCAATGTGATTGTGATCTGGGCAAAAACAATGGTAAAGGAGAGGAAAGGATAAAAAAGATGAATGTAAAGTTAACCATGATTGGAAACGTATCCACGGATCTTGTAAACACATTCACTAAATACATTTCTCTACATTCTAATATCAAATGATGCGAAGTAATGATTTTCTCCCTGTTTTCGGTTTACATCATCATTTGCCAACAATAGCCATCTTAATGAATTGAAACGGACAAAATTGCCCATTGTTAAGTGAAAATGCCGAAAGCATTGGATTTCATTGGTCAAAGTTACCCCATAAATACAGTGTATGATGGACAATGTTATTTTTTCACATGGATGATCGCTTTGATGCAAAGGAAAAAGGTTGAAATAAAAAAAGGCTTTAAGAACTGAAATAACTGGAAGAAAAGCTGATGTTAAAGGAAGGCAAAGAAAGAGAGGGAAATAAGAGGTAAAGTAAAGTAAAGAAACTGGCAAAGTTGATGATTTTTGCATCCGAGTTTTGAAGGAAAAATCACTTTTCCCATCATCAGATGACATCTTCTCCCGTTCCTTCTCATCTAGTTTCATCACCTAACCCAAAACATGTGATTAGTGAGCATATTCTTGGGAATACAGTTTTCCATTTTTAACAATCATCTTAAAAGAATCATCAGTCCATTTCTAACTCTATGATACAAAATTGTTGCCCGAGGAAAAAGTTTTTTTATAAAAAAAAGCTCACATCTTTTAAAATCACAGACATAACCTAACACATAATCTGAGGACAAATTTTCTTCTTCTTCTGCAAAATGCAAAAGAGAGGAAGAAAATGATCGCTGAAAGGCTAACACCTTAAGCGATAGACACACAAACTACAGACGTTCACTTTATTCTATTAACTGTGAATCTTTTCATCATTTTCATCTTCCTCTTCATATGTCGTCCTTTATCAAATATTGTATCATAGGATATCTTTCTTGCCATCTATTACTATTTTGGAAAGAAAGGAAAAATGATGAAAAAGAAATTTTGTTATCAAATTTGACTGTTATCTGATATATACATATATATATATTTAGATAAATGTAATATAATTTTGGATAACATTTTTCATCCTCCTAATCACCATTAGTTGTTATAACTTTTAACATGTACTCCTTCAATTATCATCATCTTCATTTCTCTCCTTTCTTTCAAACAGGAAAAAGCAACAACAGCAACCCAAACAACCACATGAACAAGAGAGAAAAACCAAGGAAAAGAAACAATTCTCCCCTCAAGCCACCGGATAGCCAAGGAATCTTCTTCTTTCCTCCAATTTATCTGGTCTTTTCAATCCTGATTCCACTCTATTTCATCAATAATTTTTCATTCTCCATTTTCTGACTTCTCATCCTTTTCCCTTTTCTACTCCTCTTATTTCAACTTCCAACATCATCATCATCACTATCATCACAGCATTCATTTTAACCTCTCCCTCCTACTAACTCAATGATATTTTACACCTCGTACATTGAATTTCCTTATTGTCTTTTACAGCTACATAAGTCTCACAAGAAAGTTCAATAGATTTGTTATAACTGGCCACTTGAGGCTCATTGATCTGATGCATACACATACATACAAAAATATCGCCTCTTCATCCTCCTTCGCCTCCTCCATTTCTCTCTCTTTCTCTTCTTTCTTTCTGCATATCAAGCGCATAAATTTTTTCTCACTTCTTACTCTTCGCCCTCTTAATCTTCTCTCTTCATCTCTCTTCATCTTCTTTCCTCTTCTTATATTTTGTCTACACTTTAGAGTCAAAGTGGTGCTTCTCATCTTTCCCAATGTTCAACGATAGATTGCTTGTTATCCCCATAAGTCAAATTGACCTTGTTGATATGCGAATACGTGCTTCCTAAAATCTTTTGGTCTATTAAGGAGGAAAAGGCAGTGAAAATAAAAAGAAGAGAAAAAAAGAGGAGGAAAAATGAAGAAGAATCAAGGAGCAGCAGAAATTGAGCACACAGACTGTCTTATTGTACACTCCATGGTTATTTCCCTTGTGAACACATCGATCAAGAACTGGTAAATAGTTATTCCTGATACACTGACTGATCAGAAAGTCAACAATAGTCAGGCAATATCAGAAAATTTACTTTCTTGTTTTACTGTTTTTCACCATCTTATTTCAACAATAACTTACCATGTACACATTGAATGGACAATACACCGAGGCATTCACTTGATGATTACACATGCACACACATGCATTTTGAATAGTTCGGTCTTTTTTTACTAATGTTTACTATTTTCTTTTGCTTTTCCTAGGATCCACAATCTTAACTTTCATCCATGATTGCATCTTCCATGTCAATCTAATCAAGGGCAATAAGAAAAAGAAAGCAAGACTCTCGCATCCCAAAGATGTCCATCATTTTTCGTTATCGCCATTTTCGGGGTGTTTTCCCTCGTAAGAAAGCAAATAATTTAATGGTGGAAACATTTACTTTTTTGTTGATTGTAAACCAATGTTGAGGTAATTAGATCTAACCATGTTAAACCCTCCAAGCCATATTTGCCTTGAAGGATGGAAAAATGTGAACCAAGATAAAAACTCAATCGACAATTATTTAACTAACAACTTTCAACTTTATTACAAAGCAAAGTATCATAAAAAACAACAAAATCATCAACAAATTATAGATGTAAAAACTGAATCCTCAGGAGATACCATTGATGTAGGTGTTAATGGCAAAGGAATAGTCATGGTTGTACCTGAAGCCATGATAAGCCAGGAGTAAAAAAACGAGTAAAATTCACAATGATGCTTATGGTTGCAACTTAACAAGACTAAGCAATGGAACCTTGGTTAAAGACGAAAACATGGAAAAGTAAATCATGTTTTAGAGCAAAAAAAGGTCTGGTTCATGTTGATAATCAACATGATTAAAGTCTGGTACAAGAAAGAAGTCTTAAAGTTTCTGTGCCTCATTGAATTTACCACTCCCTGGGTGATGGAGAAGATGAAAAAGGATAATCTCTTCATCATCTTCATCTCTTTACCTTACTTTCTCCTAATTTTACAACATTCACCAGGAATGGAAATGGCAACAAGAAGAAGAAAAAACTTTATCCATAAAAGTTTAAACATTATTACATTAGTCTCAACTTGTTCAGGGATGAATCAAAGCTACAATCAAATTTTACCTCATTGGATAATTAGATAACACCAATTGGATAATTTGTCAAGATAAGTTGTAAATATTTCTTCCTTTTTCTCTTCTAAATCAAATTACATTTCATTTTATGTATTTGGTACCTTCAATAGTTAATTGTTGGTAATAATGGCAAACAGTCAATTTGATATTATAATGATGATGACATTATTATTACTTGTAGCTACTAATCAAGTTGATCAAGTTTTTGTCCAAATTTTTTATTTGAAACAAAATATTATTTTTTTTCACTAAAAATCTTGATCAACTTGATACATGTATAAATAGCAATTCATCAAATGATAATAGTTATTCAATCCTTGATTCAGATAATCTCAAACCTCTTAAATCATTCTTATTTTTACTTTCTCTCATTATTATCATTACTATTTTATTATTATTATTTCTCATCCTCATCTTTATCTCATCCAACTACAGCAATCAACTCAACAAGAAACCTGTTATTTCCACTACAAAGCTCATTTTCTCACAAGGATGAAGGAATCAATTTTTGGCTTGACCAACATCTTGAACTTTTGCTGCTGCCTTCACACTAAACACGTTATGTTATTATCATTAATAATTGGAATAACCTTTCCTTCATCTTCACCATCAGACCAAAATACTATCATCTTGAATGGTAAAATATTTTCACTTTTCATTTTTTCTCATTGAGAAAAAGGTAAAGGAGAGAGAAAAATTGAAATTATTAACTTATAATCACACGAAAATACGAATTGTGATTTAATCATTTTTCTCGGGCGAGGTTACTTTTCAAAATTTTCACCTTTCGTTTTCTCAATTGAATCCAATCTGAAAACCATATTATTATCATTTTCATTATCATTCTAAACCATTCACATTTCTTGCAGTGTTTACAAAGTAAAGGTGGCAAATGGCTAAAGGAACCTCAAAAAAGGAACCGTAAATCAGGCGAAATTTAAAATGTGAATTTATCCCAAAAAAATTCATTTTGAAAATTATACAAATTGACTATGAAAATGCAAGTATGCCAAGACGGTGAGAAATGTTGCTTTCAAGTAAACATTTGGTAAACTCAGTTGTTTACTCAATGCAGCCATTAATAGATGTTTAATCTTTGATTACAAATTCATTATAACTGATTAAATTGTATGTTTTTTTGTTCATTTTAACTTACCTTTTCTCTTTGTATGTTTAATTTCATTTTAGTAACCTTAAAGGAGGAAACCAAATTGAATTGAATCGTGATCACATTGAACGCTGTTTATTGTTCATTTCAAGTTGAGGTCAATGGTTAAAGATGAAAGGTTGCTTATTAATTGAAAAAATTTGAATGTAAAACACACTTCAAATTGATAATATAATGGAATATTTAATAACAATAATAATAACATACTTATAAAGGTGAGTTTGTATAAAATGAGCAAAAGGCTGATCACTTATTTTACCTTTCACTTCTAACTCCCTTCTCTTACCTGGCCCAATTTTTGGATCCACTATTGAGAGATTGAGCAAAATTATAATGATTATCATTTTATCTTATGATTATTATGATTATGAATAATTTTTTGATAAAAATACAAACACCAAAATTCAAATGATAGCAACATATAATTTAAGCTTTTCACTTTCATTTTTTCACTTTCAATCAAACACAATATTAATACTACTATTGTTAAACACTTTTACAGATTATCATTAGGATGTTGGTGGAAAGTCAAAGGAGAGCAAAAAGTAAATTTGGATTCAATTTGGGACATTAAACGATGAAAATAGCAAAGAAATTGTTCCTTACCTTAATAACGCTGAATATCATCATCATTGTGCTACTTTGAACGTTTTCTGGATCTCAATTTTTAAGTTTAAAGATTATTTCCTTCACCTTTCCATTGGAAATTTTCATCTCTATTCAAGTCATAATAGCCATCAACCATCATCATCATCAACAACAACAACAGCAACTTCAACACCACCACCTAAACTATTAACAAACATTTGATTATATTGAGCTTCTAAAGATTAGGCGATTCCTTTGTAATTTATTTTACCATTTAAAATGACCATAAATATATTTATGGTCATTCAACGTTTCTCTTAGCAAACACAATCAGTTTTCACAAAGAAAAAGGTAAACACCTTCAAGTTTTTACCTTATTTTTCATCTACTATTCAAATGTTGAGCTTCCGTCTCTCAACATTTACATTCATCATAATTATCATCACCTTAACAGTCCATGATAATCAGCATTATTGTCTCTCACAATTATGTAACCTTTTTTACCCAGTTTTACCTATTTCCCTCTCTCCCACAATTGAACCATCATCTTAATGATAATATCTGTTTGATACTCATTTAATGATGATTACTTTAATTGTATTACCATTATTACCATCACATGTTCAAATATATCAAATTGTGGTTAATTTTGATGTAGTAGGTGGTCGGTTAATTGGTTATTTAGTTGTTTAGTTATTAGGCGTTTATACTTTTGTTTTGGCCTCAAAAGCTCCAAACCATTTGCTTTACAATCAACCTACAATCGTTGGTTCTTCTCAGTTGATTTTACTTTCATTTAATTCATCATTTTTCATCAACATTTTCAATTAAATCATGACAATGATGATGGTTGATGGTTAACGTTGTTTGTGTGTGTAATTACAATATGTCACGGGTTAAGTCAATCAAAGTGTATAACCAAATTAACCTGTTATCCATTCAGATTGTAACCGTGTGAATCCATTTTAAAGCCAAAAAGAGTTTCACTTTTTTATCTTTAATCTATTTCTCCTCGTCAGACCTAAATATTAGCATTGATTGATATAAAAATTATTTGATCAACAATCATATTTTTACCTCATTTGATTGATATCTGAATGAAAAGGTAACAAAAATGTAAACATTTAATTAATTTTGATTAATCAATGATCAAATCAACTTGACCTCTCTTCATATTATCCTTGCTTTAACCTTTTCATTTTCAACAACAAAAAAACATGAATTAAAAAAGGTAAAGAAGGGAACAAAAAAGTTTACTATTTAATTTAATTAACTTTGCTCTCTTTTCTTGCTCTTTTTACAGGTAAATACTAATTTCATTTGAAAAATTGCTCGGTTAATTAAACATAATGAAATGACAATTGTATATAGCTGATTGATGAATTTACGGGGAAAAAACAAGTAAACAAAAGCTGATCAAGAGTTGGATACAAGCGTACAAAGTAATGACAGGCAGCCAAGAAAAAAGGAGAAACATTAGCATCAAAATCAACAAAAGGAGTTTGAAACATGAGAAGAAAGCAAAAATATTTTCCAAATTATCAACAAATATATATTTTTTGGTCATTTGTTGATGTCAATGAAATTGCTTTCAATGTGGATATCAATGGACAGTTTTTTATTCCTGTCAACATGAGTTTACCAATGTTGATTGTTGCCCAAGATAATATTTCATCTCAACAACAGCAACAAAGTGAAATACACTTTTCTCCCTGATTTGTCAACAATTTAACAACAATCAAATGGAAAAGAAATGGTCAGCAAAACATTGATTGGAAATCATAAAATCAGCATTTCTATTGACTCTCTCGATTTTCAAGTTTATAAATGATGGCAATTTTAATCATTGCTTTGCAGACAATTTACTCTGATTAATTCATGTCCAGCTTGACTTAAAAATGTCTATTGGAAATGGCTTCACTCAATAATTTGGAGACTAAATTGCAAGGATAAATTGGTAAAGGATCGCAAGTGAGTTGATTAAAGGTTACAACTCATTTCATTTTTTGTTTTGTTTTTCTTCAACCAGAAGTTTCTAATTAACCCATGGACAAGCAAATGGTGTATCACAATCGTAAACAGAAGCTGCAGTCAAAGGGTAATGACTACAAAGAAGTCAAATATAATTTAAGTTTGAACAATCGAAACTGGACATTTGCCAATGGACACTTTGCCTGCTACAAATGTAAGTTTAAATACATGGTACAAGCTCTTGTAAATATAAATGTTTTTTTACAATTGTTCAGTTTGTAAACCCTGTCATTTAAACCATTCTAGTTGTTGAATCAATGTAACATTTTTGTTATTAATTTTGTTCTCAGTGATGTTTATTTTTACTCTTTTTTCCCTCTTTCTTTTGTTTCTTATCAGGATTCCATTGATGCCGATCAAGAATGGACAGTTTACTCTGTGTGTTGATGCAGATGTTTGTTCATGGTTATCTCTATCATTATCATCATTAGTTGTTACCTGTTGAGAAAAAGGACACATTTTTTTCTGGTCAATTTTTGGTCATTTTCTGTCTACTTTCTTGCCCTTGTTGAACCAACAAATTACATTAGACTTCGCAGAGAGATAAAAAATAAGGCCAAAAAATTGTGAGCTCACAATGACTTTCCAAAGATTATTACGATTGCGTTTCTATTGAACAAAAACAACAAACAAACAACTAATACACAAATACAAAATGGAAAAAGAAAGGAAAAGAATTGTGGTTAAAGAACAAGTTTTTCATGGAATAATGGAAAGCAAAGAAGACAAGAGAAGGTAAAATGGAAAAGGTCAAGTTGCAAGTTCGGTATCCAAAAGAAGAGGCCAATTTGTCGATAATAACAGTTGAAAGAATCAAGCAAAGAAAGGAGAAGCAATAGAGAAAAGTTGAAAACTTTTGTGTTGATCATCATCATCATCATCTCAAAAGAATTGTTAGAAAAGATGAAATATTTTCGGTTAGCCAATGACCAATAACAATTTAGTAACGAGCAATTAGAATTGTTACAAAGTTCCTGAGGACTTGAGAAAAGGAAAAGAAATTGCGATTTTTATAGCAAAAAAAGCAAGATATTTAAAGAAAGAGGATAAAGCTTATTCTACATGGTGTAACGTTGAATAAGAAAATGATGAAGAAAAATGGTTCCATTAGAATTGACTGATAATTTCCTACTAATTTCATCTTATTCAAAAGATAATTTTCGGTACACAATGAATCTTCTTCCGTTTCATTGAGCATCTCCTTCACCTTTCCTACCTTTTCCCATTTTTTGTCCCTCATCATCTTTTCACTTTTTTTTCTGTTGTTCAACATAAAAATAGACTTATTTGTTGTTCATCCTCTTTCTTCATCTCCATTATCAGCACCCAACTTTCACCTTATGAAAATAGTGAGATAAATTATGAGCAATTGACTAGCAATTTAGCAGAAGGAACAAAAAACTCTGATGAAACAAAATTGTCCTCTTGATGTTACTCCAACCAAATCACCATTAACTCCTATTTTGATCGATTAACCAGCAAATTATTCAACTCTAAATATTTGTCTCTTTCAAGATAGTCAATTAGTTTTTAATGAAAAACCTAAACTAACATTTGCTAATTTTAATTTACCCATCAAAATGTAAAGTAATTTTATCTGTTTCATCATTACATGCAAGTTACCTTTGCATGAGAAACAAGTACAAATATTGATTCCTTGTAAATCATTGTAAAACTTTCATCTTATTTCATCTTCTTTTTTCCTCTTCGTTTTTTTCCTCATCTTCACTCTTCTTTACGATTCCATTTATCAAGAAAATACATTCTAATATCGTATGACACATTTTTTTCTTTGTTTTTCTTTCTTTTCCAGTTCTTATTATATTTCAAAGACAATTCAGATCTTTTCATGGTAAACTAAAGATGAAGGAAGAGAAGCGAAAAAAGTACTTGAAAAAAAGGAGCAAAAAGGAAGACAAAGAAGATGAACAGTGGAAGATGAAAGGAAATGAAGAAAATGAGAAAAGACAAGAAAAGTTCAACAAGATTCAGAGAAACAAGTAATGTGAATTATTAGGATAACTTTGTCTCTTACAAGTGTTTCACTTTGTGTTTTTACCTGAAAAAAACGCACACACAAACACAAAGAACTGAAACATTTCAAATTTACTGAGCCTTTCATGTAAACCAATCCAAGTAAAACTGTTATCCCAATGACCTCAACTTCAGGTCACACAAAATGTTAACCAATCTAATCTTTTTTGTTCACTCTTCTTGTCTAGATTGTTCACTGAAGGAAGGCGCATAAAGGAAATGAAAATGAACATGATTGGTGTTGATTAACATGAAGACAAGACTGAACGAGATTGATTGTGGCCTTGAATGTTTTTAATTATGATTGGCAGTTTCCTTTGCATTTATTTATAATTTTCATCAACCTCGGTTAAACTGTTGTTGAGTGTATAAGGCAAACCTTGTTGACAGTATTTCATATTTCACCAGATAAGTAACCTTAGCAATTTTTGTCATCGCCTTTTAAATCATAATCATTATCATCATTATTTCCTTACTTCACTCTTCATCATCATCATCCTTTCCATGAAGATGAAGGAGAAAAAAAAATTAACCGATTCAGCTTTGTATAGAAGATATGAAATCTTTTTTTTCTGCAAAAAGATTACCATTAATCCGTTTACTTTTTTCTTCCTCCTTTTTCTTGCTGGTTTATAAAACTTTATTTATAATGTATATATATTTTGATAATATAACATTCAAGATTTACTCGTATCTCAACAATTAATGTTTACTTCTCGTTGAGGTTAACAACAAGATTAACTGTTGATGATTCCTGTATGTTTATCCCTTTAAACATAACATTGAAAACTTCATTTCAGGCCGATCAATTTTGACCAGTTTTAAGGAAACATTGACTTGATCCAATTTCCTGATGTTAACAAAGTTAACATTTGTTTTTTTTCAGTTCAGAGTATTTACAAATTTCGTATGAAAAAGAAATGAATGTGAAAATTTTTAGCTTAATGATAATCAAAGGAACCTAATTTTTACTTCAGATTTTTGCTTGAAATTGTTCTTTGTTTTTTCTTTGTATTTTTCATTGTAAATCTCATTTGTTATCGCTAAATCACAATGAAACATCTGAAAGAGTTGAACATTACTTTGAAAATGATAAACTTTTATAGCTGAAAAGAATCAGAACTTCTCTATCTTTTTCAGATCTTAACCATTGATCATTCTTCATGTTCATCTCAAACTTTATTTCATCTTGTGAAGAAGAAAAAAAATCTTGTAACAATCAATGATAATAAATAACTTTTCCTCTTCTTTTTTTCAGCTTTTTTGAAATGGCAAGAAAAGCCAATGGAACAAAATGGATACAAATCGATGACTATAAAGAGTTTGGATGGTGATTATGATAATTGTCATGATTATCTTGCACTACAAGATAAATGCAAGTGAAAGATGATTAACTATTGACTGAAGTCAAATGAAATTATGAACATTGAACAACCACAACAACAGCAAGAGAAAACCATTGATATTGAAGAATAATGAAAAGAAGGAGAAAAAAAGGAAAAAAATGGAAAAGGTTCGATTATAATCAATTCAATTGGAGATTTAAATCACGATTTTGCATTGTAACATGGCACCAACTGTTCAGGATCATCTGTAATAATGTTAAAAATGAAACACAATTGGCCCAAGAAATTGAAAGGAAATACAAAAACATTGAACAAAAACAGAACAATTTTCAAGAGGAAAATGAACAAGTTTTTGGTAACAAACAAGCCCGTTGGTCATCAACAACCATGTACGATGTATTGTGTCGCTTGGTGTCCACATTGTGTTATAGATGATGGGCACTTGTATGGGAACACAAAAGGACTAAACATAAATATACAATTTTTATCGCTGTTATAATTTTCAACAATTGGTAAAGGAGCCAATTCTTGAGGCTAAACGCAATCGTCAACTAAACAAGCAACAATCAAGTTGACAAAAAAAAAGAGTAAGTATAATAAGACGGATCAAAATCAACTTGATCTAAGCAAAATCATTTCATCCTCTTTCCTTTATTATTATCATTATTAACAATGAATGTATTTATGTATATATATGTTAACTGAATAATTTTTTTCTATCCTTTTCTCTTCTTTTCTTTAGGCTAATCTTCAAATTGAATTTACTTGGCCAAGATTTGATCTGGGAATAGTGAATAAGGAGAAACCTTGCAAGACAAAATGTTGGGAGAAAAGGAGAAAAATGATGAACAAGAAGATGAAGACAAGAAAAGTCCCTTTGCAAGGTGGATTAACTCAATTCATATTTTAAGATTAATAATGTCAAAGTCTCAACATTATCCACTTTTCATAATCCAACAACAAACAGCGAGGACAATAATTGATAAAGTAAACGTTACAATGGTGATTCTCATTGATGGCCCAGCTGAAGATGTAACAACAAGCCAATGCATTACAATTATTGTAATACATTATTGTATTTACATTTGCAAAATAACCAGTTGATAAGAATGATTTTCATCATGACCAGAATTGTTATTCATTTAAATCAAGCTTAATCCATATCCGTCTTGATCCATCTCACATTGGCCAAGCCTTTGAATAATTTTGGGTTTTATCAATTTTTGTGATTCTCTTTTTTTCAACATTACTTTTCGTCAGTGATAATGATTATATTAATGATGATGATTATTGCAAGGGTAAATGTTGATCAATGAACAGTCTGGTAAAGACAGAAAATCATTGAAACTGAATATTGACCAATGTTTAAGATTAAATGATCTGTAAAAGAGGGAAAAAGAAAACCCAAAAAAAGGTTTCCTTTTTTTCAACCTACACTTTGATTCCTTTCACCCAAAGATTATCATCATTAACATTATTTTGCTTCCCTGTACACATTAATATAATAATAATACAATGACCATAATCATGATTGAATCGTAATTGATTGCCTTGGGATAAATTAATATATGTACAAGTACACACACATATAGACATTTCCCTTTTCATTACAGTAAATACAACAACAAATGTATTATAACAAAGTGAAAAGCAATTTCTTTAATTATATCGTCTTCCATTCCATAATAATAATCATTACAATTGCCTCAAGATTATTAATTATAATCAAGTAAATTGTCAATGAAAATAACCATTTTCAATGGTGAAAAAAGAGGAACCAAAAGCAAAAACAAAACTCAATAAAACCGACTAAATTTTGTCAACAAAAAGTGTTAAAATTAACAATTCCAACTGATTATCAATCTAACAATCAAATACAAAAAACGATGAAAAATGTAAAACCAAAAGCAAACTGTGAAACCAGAAAATCATTTTTCCACTTTTCTCCTCTTCTTTTGTCTAGTTTCATTTATTTTGATCACTTGTCTTCCCATATCTTCATCATCACCATCATCCTTATTTTGCTGACTATTTGGACTTGGATTTATTCTGGTAAGCAAACAGCGAAATCTGGTTTATTCTGATAATTCCCTTCATCTTTGCCAAATCAATTTATATCTTTTTTCACATTATCATCATGATTATGATTATCCTCAACATGACTAATTGTAATACAATTTGGTGACCATTTGAAATATTTGAAAAAAACAACAAAAAAGAGGAAAAACATTTCCATTTGTAAATAATGTTTTCTGCTTCATCATTTCCACCTTTACAATTGTTTGACATACGACTTATTACCTTTTGTTTGTAATGTTGGTAAAGATGATTTAACATTTTACCTTTTTTTACCATCAATTTAGTTCTGAAAAATTATACAACATTGTCAGGATTATTTAACAATGAACAAATAAAAGGTGTATAACAATTTGATTGCCGTTTGATTTCATTGGTAAACAATGTGGTTAAAAAAGGTATTGATTATTTAACCAGAAAATGAGAGGATCCAAAATGTTATTAGATTTTGCTTCTTTGGCTGAAACAATTGAAAATCAATTGATTGATCAAAAATAGATATCAATATGGAATAACAATTTTCTTTGCAATTTTAATTTTTTCCTTCTTTTTATCACTTTTTCTTCTTCCATTCATCTTCATCAACATCATCTTCTCCGGCCTTCATCGTTCACCTTTATGTTATAACCTTGTTCATTAAATGATGGAAGAGGATAAAAGCCCACTTTTACTATTAACTGATCATCAGGGAGAAGATATTTCTTCATGTCATCTTTCATCATCATCAAGGAAGCTCTTTAAACATTTTGAACATTCAATATCACGAATCATCGTTTAATATTTTCCAAGCCCAACTTTAAAGATTCACTCGCAAGTAAAACTGGATTGACAAATGTTTCAGTTCAATCTTAGCAAAATCAATGTCCAGTCGAGTTCACGGATTCATTTAATTTCATCTAAACTCATTAGAAGCCGACGAGTTTTTGGTTAATTGGAAAGAACAATCAATCATGATCCAAATTATTCAGAAAATGGATTTTCTTAATTTCTTCTTCTTACAGTTATTTTTGGATAAAGATTTTGATGGAAAATGCGATTCAAGATTGGAAATTTTGGAATTTTGTTCATCGATAGAATCAATAATTTTGAATTTTAAAGGTTTTTCCATGAAAATATGAAAAGTTTATTATTTGAAGATTTTTTCTTGAAGTTAAATTGATGGAATTGATTGAAATGAGATTTGTTTTGAATCTTTTTGTCTTTTGTTCGCTAATTTGATCTTCGATTTGTATTCATATTTTGTATTTAATTTCAACCTTTCTCATGAAGATCATGTACAGTTTAGAACTTTTGTTCACCAATTAGGTTTCAAGTTTAGTCAAATAGTTCATGTAACTGATTCAGATTATGCTCTGGAAAGACTAGTATGAAGATTACATGTGAAATGATAGGAACCAAGGTGATTGGACTCTCAACTCATTTGAAGTCTCAATTTGAGTGACTGCTTTTTTTGCGTGTTTCTGGCAACTACACTGTTAGTGCTTTTGGTGGGATCATATTTGAACATTAACAATGTTGATTGTGTTATAATGTTGTTTTGCATCATTTAAAAGTCAATCAATCGTTTAGACGTTAATTCACTGACGAGTGACAATCGACAATTTACAACAAGAAAAAAAAAGATTGGAAGCAATAATTCAAGTAAAGATGCTAAAAGAATGAGCAGCATTTTGAGATGAGAAAAGATGCTTTTATAAAAAAAAGAGTATATTTAGATAGGTATATTCTTGCAGTTGAATGTTAATTCAATGCTTTTGCCAATTTTACAGTTAAACAGTTTCAAGCTTGAATCGTGTCAATCAAGTAATGTTTGATTGTGAAAGTGAATCCAAGAAATGTCAACTCGATAAAAGTTTATAATAAAATGAAAATTTTAGTCAACTTTTGATTGACAATCAATGATATTTGTCAAAGTCTCAGGTTAACCAGAAAATTGTTACCAGTATTTACCAAACTTGAATCATTTAACCAGAAATGCATTCGGTTACCATTTAACCAGAAATGCATTCAAACGCGTTTCTCTTCGATATAACGCTTGAACATTGGATCGACTTTCGACCACTTGTTCTCTGAATCTGCATTTCAGTCGATCCGATGACTCGACCTCACGATTCCATAAAATTTATTAACGATTCTCATTCGAATAATTTCTTGTTCTCTGAATCTGCATTTCAGTCGATTCGATGACTCGACCTTACGATTCCATAAAATGAAAACTGACAAACTTATTGAAAATTGAGTTGCCTTTGAATAAACCCAAAAGTATTTCTGATCCAATCAAAAGGAAAATCAGAAAAACATTTCATGATAAGCCATTTATATCGAACCATTGGATTTATCGCTTGCAATTTAACCTGTTATTTGATTGCCTTAATGGTTCAACGTTTTATAGCACAAACTGTAAGATGGAACAGCAAAAAATGCAATTTCGTTAATCCATGTTTATTAGTGTTGGAATTAATCCATTTTTTATTTCACTTTCAATCCATTTACAGCAAGCACATTACAAGTCACGTTGATTCATCTTCACTTTGATGTTCCCTGTAAGTGACAAACATGAGTTGAACATGAATTTGATGTAAAAATGAATAAAAATCCACTAAAAAAAGAGACAAAGGAAGAACCCAAAAACCAGTAAACCAGAAATGCAAATGTTGATTAAGAAATGAAACGATAATTAAGATGTAACAATCAACACGGGATTGACCATTTAACTCAATGTTAACCAGTCAATTGAATGTAATTTTCAATTTAACCAAACTGATTAGCCAAATGGCCAGTTGAAACAAGAGAAGCTGCATTTGATTGAAAAATGATTAACAAAGAAACAAACAAAACTAATTTACATGATAATGCAAAAAGATTTTCAAAAATGAATATAAGGTAATGTTGGAACATTTTTCAAAGTCAATTTAAAAATTGCAATCACGATTAAGAATTACAATTCCGGTTGAAGGAAAAAAAAGTTCAACTCTCATCATAATCATTATCATTTAATGGCAACAATCAAATGATAATAATAACGACTTTAAAGTTGCAAGTAAATTCCATCATCATTATACTAATAGACGTTGATTGTTGAGATGATAATTTTTGCTATTCTCAATCAATTCTAATAAACACACAAATGTTTACAACAAAAAGGGCTAAAGAAAAGCCTTTAAGCAATTGGCATTTTCAGGTTTTCCTCATCATTATTGAATATCAATAATCCATTGAAATTTTGGTCTTCAGTTAACAATGAAAGATTGATTCATTTTAAAGCCTAATTTTGGGTGCAATAAAGGCAAATGTTGGGTTCATCGAAACTTGAAGGATGACTCGAATCACAGAAATGATTTGATTTATTTGATGCCAAGAGACTGTAACTAATAAAGGCTAAATGATCATCATCCTAATGATGATTATAATAAGCTCAATTTGTTATAGACCGTTATGTGAACACGAGTAACAACCACAGTTTAATGATGGCGATGAGGGAAGAGGAAGAAAGGATGAAATGGCCTCTTGTCTGGGAGGTAAAATGTTTGCCTCTTCAATAACATATTAATACATATTCCTCCTCCTCTTCATCTCTTCAAGTCCGTCTCTTGTAACGATACTTATGGTAACTGTTTCCGTCAATCTGTTACTCCAAGCTTGATTTTATTTTATCCTTGATTCCCTTCCCTTGTAAGGTCAATTAATGGCTAAGTAAGTGAGAGTAAAAGGAGAAGACAAAGTCGCTTTTCCTTTTCATCTTCTTCTTCGCTTCTCC